TAGATAGATAGATAGATAGATGATGGAAGATAGATAGATAGATAGATAGATAGATAGATAGATAGATGATGGATGATAGATAGATAGATAGATAGATAGATAGATAGATAGATAGATAGTTGGACAGATAGATGATGGATGATAGATAGATAGATAGATAGATAGATAGATAGATACATGATGATAGATAGATAGATAGATAGATAGATAGATAGATAGATAGATAGATAGACAGACAGACAGACAGACAGATAGATAGAGTGGTGGGATTCAGCCAGTTCGCACCCCTTCGGGAGAACCGGTTGTTAACTTTCTGAGCAGTTTGGCAAACTGGTTGTTGGAAGAAATCATTAGGGCAGAGAACCAGTTGTTAAATTACTTGTATCCCACCACTGGATGGATGGATGGATAGATAGATAGATAGATAGATAGATAGATAGATAGATAGATAGATAGATAGATGAAAGAGAGATATGAGAGAGAGGGGGGACAGAGGAAAGGGAGGAAGGGGGAAGGGAGAGAGAGAGCACAGTAGCAATAGCATTTAGATTTATATACCGCTTCACAGTGCTTTATCACTCTCTCTAAGCAGTTTACTGAGTCAGCCTATTGCCCCCAACAACTTAAGTCTTCATTTTAGCAACCTCGGAAGGATGGAAGCTGAGTCAACCTTGAGTTGGTGAAAATCGAACTGCCGTCAATTGGCAGTCAGCAGTAGTAGCCTGTAGTACTTCATTCTAACCACTGCACCACAGACGCTCTTAATGATGGTGATTCCTGCAATAGTGTGGAAGAATGAGGAAACAGCAACGGAAGAGGTGAAATCACTCCCACTTCCTTCTCTCCACATATTCGGGATACACCAAGCACTGTCCATACAAGTCCACAAAACTTGCAAAAAAAATAAAAATCAGACCAGAGATTATGGGATGCACAGTTCACTCTTGGTATAAGCATATATAAGTCTTCCTCGACTTACAACAGTTTGTTTAGTGACCTTCGAAGCTATAACAGCACTGAAAAAAGAGACTTATGGACATTTTTCACACTTGTGATGATTGAGGCGTTCCCATGTCATGAGATCAAAATTCAGACGCTTGGCCGCGGGTTCATATTTACGACGGTTTGTGGTGTCCGGGGTCATACGATCTCTTTTTGCGACCTTCTGACAAGCACAGTCAATGAGGAAGCCAGATTCACTTAACAACCATGTCACTGCCTGAACCAACTGCAGGCACTTCACTTACTGTAACACCTGTGGTAAGAAAGGTCATAAAATGGGGTTAAATCAGGGATGAAATGCTCCCGGTTCGGACCGGATCGCCCGATCCGGTAGCGATGGAGGTGGGTGGTTCGGAGAACCGGTAGCAAAAATCCCTGCCCCCCCCCATGCCCAGCTGAGCCGCACAATCATCAGAGGCTTTTTGTTTTAATTTTTAAAAGCATTTTTTCTACAACTTCTTCGGCCGAAAAAACGCTTTTAAAAGTAAAAAAAAAAAAAGCCTCTGATGATCGCGCGGCTCAGCTGGGATCATCAAAGGGATCGTCAGCTGATAATCCCAGCTGAGTTGCCTGATCGGCGGAAGGTTTTTTTTTCTTTTAAAAGCCTCTGATGATCCCAGCTGAGTTGCCTAATCAGCAGAAGCTTTTTTTCTTTTAAATGCCTCTGACGATCCAAGTTGAGTTGCCTGATCGTCAGAGGCTTTTAAAAGAAAAAAAAGCCTCTCCCGATCAGGCAACTCAGCTGGGATCGTCAGAGCCTTTTGAAAGCATTTTTTTACAACCTCTTCGCCGAAGAGGTTGTAGAAAAAATGGTTTTAAAGAAAAAAAAAATTGGCCACACCCACCCAGTCACATTACCCCTCCCCCTCCACCAAGCCACGCCCACAGAACTGGTAGTAACAAATTTTAGATTTCACCACTGGGTTAAACTCATTGAACAAACGTCTCATTCAGCAGGATGAATTTTGGGCTCAATTGTGGTTCTGTGTCAAGGATTACCTGTACTCACCTCACTCACATAGGTGCAGAATAGAATACATCAGACTGATGTTTCTCAACCTCCGTGACTTTAAGATGCGTGGATTTCAACTCTCAGAATTCCCCAACTATCTGAAAGTCACTGAGATTGAGAAGCACTTCATGAGATGAACCAACCTGCTAAGGAGAGCGGCTAACAGAAGACAGAGGTCTTCAAACTTGGCAGATTTTAAGACTTGTGGACTTCAACTCCCGGAATCTCAGCTATGCTGTCTGGAGAATTCTGTGAGTTGAAGTCCGCAAGTCTTAAAGCTGCCAAGTTTGAAGACCTCTGGAATAGAAGGTAAAGGTGTAGCTGCAAGAGAGGGGAAGGGACTAAATTGCTGGCTAATCTCGGAGGTTGAGAAATATCTCTATAAGCTTCACTGCTCTACTACTCTTCTTCTCCTCCTCTGAAAGTTGCTGTTATTTATCAACTTTAATCTTTACTCTTCAGCAGTGCGGAAAATTGGGACTTAATTTGCTTTGGGAGGGAAAGCATTGGGGGATTAATTGCTGCTCCTTTTCTCTCCCCCCCCCATTTAAACTCTTGTATTGCTTCAGTTGAGGTGCTCCAGCTTGTGACTCATTCATTTCCTGGTTCCCTCTTTTCCCCCCCTTCCTCTCGGGTGTCTTCAGCTGAGGATGAATGCATTTTTTTTGAGCAATGGGGCTGGGATCAAAGATGCTGGAGGGTGAAAAATAAAGAGTAACAGTGAACTGCAGAATAGGACAATTTTCTTCAGTTGGCCCAAGGACATGTATGGCTGTATGTGAAATTCTCCCCCATTGTTCTGTTATGCATAGTTTCTTTTTTTTTCTTTTTTTTTTATTGAAAAGTTTTTAAAAGTTTTACAGACATTTCCCCTTCCCCCACCGTCCTCCCCTTCCAACCCTCCCCTTCCCCTCCCTCCCCCCGCCACACTTCCCAGAGCAAAATACAGGGTATAACATTTGACTATTTCATATTCTATTCTATTCTATTTCCATATTCTATTCTTATTTCATATCCTATCCTACCCTATTCTTATTCCACATTCTATTCTTATTTCCTATTCTATTCTCTTCCATTCCGTTCCATTCTGTTCATTCATTCATTTATTCCGTCATGTTCATGTAGTGTCTATTGGAGGGTGGTGACCCTTTGAGAACTGCATGGAACGAAATTTCATTTTAATGGATGCCGATTGGCGTACATTCCAAGTGACCATAAAGTTATTCTAAGTCCAAACGAGGGCAGAGAATCGAGGAAAAACACCGGAAGGGTTTGAGTTCCAGGTTGCATCACTTTCCTCCAGCTGCTAGGCGGGGGGGGGAATTCCAGAGGTTTTTTTTGCATCCTGGTTCACAAGGGGGCGAATTCTGACGCAAATCAACCCTTCCTGCTTTTTCTCTTTTAATCTCTCTCCAGCTAATAATAATTTGGGGTCAGAAGGAAGCAAGCAAAGTCCATCCGAACCGGTTTTGTAAATAAGGACATTCTTCGAGCTGCATGTAACAGGATAACAGAGTTGGAGGGGACCTTGGAGGTCTTCTAGTCCAACCCCCTGCTCAAGCAGGAGACCCTATACAAGTAGTCCTTGACTTACGACCACAAGCGAGCCCAACGTTTTGGTTGGTAAGAGAGATATTTGTTCAGTGAGTTTTGCTCCGTTTTTTCGACCTTCCTTGCCGCTGTTGTTATGTGAGTTGTTTAGTAACACAGTTGTTAAGTGAATCCGGCTTTCCCCTCAACTTTGGCTGTCAGATGGTCGCAAAAGGGGATCACATGATCATCCCACGGCACTGCAACCGTCATAAATATGAGTCAGTTGCCAAGCGTCTGAATTACAATCAAACGACCATTGGGGAGGCTGCAAAGGTGGTAACTGTAAAAGAACTATGTAAAACAGAAAAAGAAGTCTGAAAAAATCAGTCCAGTTGTAGATTTTGAACAGTCATTAAATGAACTGTTTTAAGTTAAGGACTGCCTGTCATAATTTGTCTGGCGGGAGTTGGCCTTCCCCAGGAGAGGAATATAAACGCATCTCTCAAAATAGTCTTCCAGGATGGAAGGAAACTCCCCCGTCCTCCAGGTGGCACCTTCCAGCTGTGCCAGCAGAAAAATAACACAACAGTCACAGCCACAACCGCACGCCGGGCCCAAAGAGGCAGACGTAAAACGGGCAGGAAATTGGCCCCAAAATTTGCAAAAACAGGAAACATCCGGAGGAAACCCAAAAAGATGCACGGGGGCTGCAGAGAAGGAAGGGGAAAAGGGAGAAAGGTTCAGCTTTCCTGGATTTTTGCATTGCTGTTGTGTTTGCGACGTGTTGTGTGCGTGTAAAGCCATTTGGAATGCAGGGAAATAAGAAAGGGGGGAGGGATGGAGGATAGGCTGGAGATGGAAGGGAGAAGTCAATTTAAAAAAAAAAATTGCAATTTTTGCAAAAACAAAGCTTGTCGATTAGAAAGGTCGGCCGTTCGGCGGTTCGAATCCCTAGTACAGGTCTCCTGCGTGAGCAGGGGGCTGGACTAGATGACCTCCAAGGTACCTTCCAACTCTGTTACTGTTATATCTAAATATAATAATAAAAAAATTATATAAAGGGACCCTGGAGGTCATCTATCTGGCGCCTGCATGCAATCCTCGACTTACGACCCCAGTGGAGCCCAAAACAAAGGGTCTCGCTCATCAACAGAAATTTTGGGCTCCATTGGGGTCGTAAGTGGAGGACTACTTGTCGCTGCCTTTCCAGCGCCTCCAAATCCCATCATCCTCTGCGCCGGGTTGACGATGCTAGAGCTCAAGCACCTTTTCCCCGCCCACCAACCCCGAGATCTAGAGGCGGGGCGGGAAGGTGGGGGGGGGGGGGGGAAAAGAACGGCGGCTCGGGGCCAGAGCGCATGCGCCTTAACAGCGGCGGTTGTTGCGGTAGATTGTCCCCGCGCGGCCGCCGTCAGCTTCGCCGGAAGTGTCTCCTGCTCGGCCGCCGTAGCGGGCGCGCGCGAAAAGCAGGGCTCGCGGCCTGGCGTTGCCATGGCGGCGGTGGAAGGCCGCGGAGGGGAAGCGCCGCTGTGGGGATCTCGGGGACCGGGTCGCCCCGCCATGGAGGACGAGCTTTACCTGGAGAACATCGACGAGTTCGTCACGGACCAGAACCGAGTCGTGAGTGCGGATGCCGGGAGTGGGGTGGGGGGGAAATCTGTGGGAAGGGTCTCTCGGTCAGTAAAAACTCTTCTTATTACAAATAAATAAAAGTAAATAAATAAAATTTAACGATGGAAATGAGTTTAGCTGCTTCCCTCAGGCCCTTTTAGAGCCGGCTCGAATCCAGCATCCTTCCCCAAACGGCTCTACTCCAACTCCCATCATCCGCAGCGGCCGATAGGGAGGGTGGTAGGCCGAGGGTCTCTTGAGGGAAGGACAAAGCAAGAGGGATTTGAAGAGGGGCGACTCTTTGGAGGACCCCAGGGGTGGAGCCTTTATGGCTGCTGGCTCTGCAAGGGACTACAAAGCATCCCATAATAAGACTTGGCCTTTTGACCCTTGACCCTCCAAGGGTCAAAAGAGAGACCCCCCCTTCAACCGTTTTTTTTCTTTTTTGGAGGGTGGGGGGACCCTGAGTTCTCTCCATTTGGGGAGGGGGCTTATGTGACACAACCTCCCCCCCCCCCAATCCAGAGGAGCCCTGAACTCTGCATTCCCCTCTTGGCATTAAGGAAAATAAGGATAAGTGATAATAAATGTGTTTCTCTCTCTGTGTCTGTCGTGTGTAGTAAATCATAATCATAATAAGTTTATTTTGTCAAGCATATATAAGATAACAGGTGAAAGTATAAACATGAAAAAAGTAAGAGTAAAAAGGAATATTAGGACCGGGACGGAAGACACGCTGGTGCACTTATGCCCCTTACAGACCTCTTAGGAATGGGGCAAGGTCCACAGTAGACAGTTTAAGGTTAAAGGTTAAATGACAAAAAAAAATGTGATGACTTCTCCAGAAAATAAATATAAAAAATATAAAACAGTACGTGTGTGTGTATAAACATATACATTTATATGTATGTATATGTGTCTGTATATACACATGTGTATATGGGTGTGTGTGTGTATACCCTGTTTCCCCTAAAATAAGACCTCCCCTGATAATAAGTCCAATCGGGCTTTTGAGCACATGTGCTAAAATAAGCCCTCTTCCCGAAAATAAGGCCTCCCCGAAAATATTTAAACACAGAACTGGAAATCAGGTAAGATGGCAAGAGGAGCCCCATCTTGCTCCATGCGCCCCAAAATAATAAGACCTCCCCGAAAATAAGGCCAAGCGCTTTTTTCGGGGTTCAAAAAAAAATAAGACAGAATCTTATTTTCGGGGAAACATGATATATATGGGGGGGGGGAGGGAGAGACTGTAAATAAAAAAAAATATGATCTCTCCAGAACAATATATATATATACACTGCTCAAAAAAATAAAGGGAACAGAAGCAGAAGACCTCCGAGATCTGAATGAATGTAATAGCCTTATTAAATACTTTGTTCGTTACATACAGTAGTTTTGTGTTCCCTTTAGTTGTTTGAGCAGTGTATAAACTGTTCCCAACTCCAGGGTGATTGTAGTAGTGGATTGTAGTAGTGGATTGTAATAGTGGAGATTCAACATGTGGTTGCATTTTTGTTTAAATAATGACATGCATTCCTTTACAGGTAACATATAAATGGCTGAGCTTTACCTTGGGAGTTCATGTCAATCAAGCAAAGCAGTAAGTTATTGATCTCTCTTGCCTGTGCTTAGTAGTCCAGACTGAAAAACAGAAGCACATCATCTCTAATCCTCATGTAGTCCTCGTGACCACAATTGAGCCCAACATTTCTGTTGCTGCTATTGAGACTGTTGTTGTGAGTTTGCCCCCTTGTACGATCTTTCTTGCTACACTTTTTAAATGAATCACTGCAGTTGTTAAGTTAGTCACACAGTTGTGAAGTGAATCTGGCTTCCCCATTGACTTTGCTTGTAACAACCACAATCTAGATGGCCATCACTGAGCAGCACTGCCATGTTTGGCTTAAAGACCGCTTCATTTAGCGATGGAAATTCCAGGATTACATATAGCAGGCTTCATTACATGTCCATCTTAATTTGGGAACATCTTCGGAACATTTTACCCTTAAGGGCAGGGGTCTTACCCTCAAAGAGAGGGACTGGCCCAAAGTCACCCAGCTGGCTTTCATGCCTAAGGCAGGACTAGAACTCACCATCTCCTGCTTTCTAGATTTGTGCCTTAGCGACTGGACCAAATCGCTTTTAATTTTAGCTGTTTAATCTTGAGCTGCAAAGCTTACTTTGGATGACATATGCTCTTGTTTAGTTTCTCAGTGGACAGTTATTGAAAATTTCAAAAAATTAATTGTCTGTTTTAATCTCAGTCTTTGCCCTCTTTTTTTACAGAATGTTATATGACTACGTAGAAAGGAAACGGAAGGAGAACGTGGGAGCCCAGTTGCATGTCACCTATTTACTGGCAGGGAACCTTGTTCAGAACGGGCACACCGTAAGTCAGAAAGGGGTTGTTTCTCTTGCATTGGACATTTGAATTTAAATTTGGTAGCCGGAGTGGAAGCTGAAACCTGGCATTGCAGGCTCAAATCGCTTCCCTCAAAATGAGTTCTACCGATGCCCAGAAAACATGAATGCAGATTATATATGTTAGTAATCAGTCTTGACATATTGGGAGGTAAAGAATTTTGAGACTCTGGAAAGAGTGCAGAGAAGAGCAACGAAGAGGATTAGGGGACTGGAGGCTAAAACATATGAAGAACGGTTGTGGGAACTGGGTATGTCTAGTTTAATGAAGAGAAGGACTAGGGGAGACATGATAGCAGTCTTCCAATATCTCAGAGGCTGCCACAAAGAAGAGGGAGTCAAACTATTCTCCAAAGCACTTTAGGGTAGGACAAGAAGCAATGGGTGGAAACTAATCAAGGAGAGAAGCAAGAAGAAATTTATTGATAGTAAGAACAATCAATCAGTGGGACAACCTGCCTCCAACAGGTTGTAAATGCTCCAACACTGGAAGTTTTAAAGAAGAGATTGGATAACCATTTGTCTGAAGTGGTGTAGGGGGTTGGATTAGAAGACCTCTAAGGTTTCTTCCAACTCTGTTGTTCTGTCCTATTCCTATTCCTATTCCTATTCCTATTCTCTTCTCTTCTCTTCTCTTCTCTTCTCTTCTCTTCTCTTCTCTTCTTATTTCATATTCTTCTCTTCTCTTCTTATTTCATATTCTTCTCTTCTCTTATTTCATATTCTCTTCTCTTCTTATTTCATATTCTTCTCTTCTCTTCTTATTTCATATTCTCTTCTCTTATTTCATATTCTTCTCTTCTCTTCTTATTTCATATTCTCTTCTCTTCTTATTTCATGTTCTATTCTGTTCTATTCTGTTCTGTTCTGTTCTGTTCTATTCTATTCTATTTTTGCTGAAGTAATAAGCTGCCTTTTCTTTTTAGTACCATAAGGTTGCAGTAGTGAGAGAAGGTAAATTAGAAGGTAAGTTTATACACAACTTCAAAATCGCCTCTGAAAAATACGACAAATTTTTTTGTATATATATTCTTCCCCATAACAACAACCCTGTGAGGTGGGCTGGGCTGAGAGGGAGAGACTGGGCCAAAGGCACCCAGTTTACCCCACTTGTTTTGAGAAAATCCTCCCTCCCTCCCTCCCTTCTTCAAACGGCTTCTGCCTCCTTTCCAGCCATGAAATCCAAGTTCTCCACCCTGGCCAGTGTGCATGTCTACAGCATCCAGAAAGCCCAGCTCAGGGACAGCAGCCCCCTCTTCAACACCGACTACGACATCCTCAAGGCGAATCTCGAGAACTGCAGCAAGTGAGTGGGATCGTGGCAAGGCGACCGTTGGCGTCATGGCAGCCGTTTGGCTGAGCTACGCATTGCAAGCTGACAGCCTGACATCAGTAACGGTGGCGGGGGGGAGGGGGAGGGAGGGAGCAGTGGGGCTGGGGGACACAGGGAGGGAACTTATAGGAATCAAACCCAAGAAGCACCAACCGCCAGCACGAAGAGAGGGCTTAAACCAGCAGGCTCTGACAGATTCTAGAGAACTGGTAGCAGAAATTTTCAGTAGTTCGGAGGACCGGCAAATACCACCTCTGGCTGGCCCCAGAGTGGGGTGGGAATGGAGATTTTGCAGTATCCTTCCCCTGCCACGGCCACCAAGCCACTCCCACAGAACCAGTAGTAAAAAAAATTTGGATTTCACCATGGCTTAAACCATTTGTTAACACCTGATTGGACCTTGACTTCTAAGCCAGGGTGGACTGTCCGGGACCAAGGGAAAGTTAATGGTATCTTTTGCGCGCGGAAATCTCAGATCCAGCTTTGCCTCTTCTGTAACAACTTTGGCTTTAGTAAAATCTAGGTAGTCCTTGACTGACGACCACAGTTGAGCCCAAAATTTCCACTGCTAAGTGAAACGTGTGTTAAGTGAATTTTGCCCCGTGTTATGACCTTTCCTGCCACAGTTGTTAAGCGGATCACTGCAATTGTTAAGTTAGTCACAGGGTTGTTAAGTGAACGTGGCTTCTCCCGTTGATTTTGCTTGTCAGAAGGTCACTGAAGGGGATCGCGTGACCCCCCGGGACACTGCGACCGTCATAAAAATGAGTCTGTTGCCAAGCGTCTGAAATTTTGATCACATGATCATGGGGATGCTGCAGGAGTTTATAAGTTGGAGAAAAAGTCAAGTCATTTTTTCCAGTGCTGTTTTAACTTGTAACGGTCACTAAATGAAGTGTTGTAAGTTGTGGACCACCTGTGTACTTTTGGCTAACCTTGGGCCAGGAGTCTGTCTTTCTTTCCTAATTTTGACCAAGTTGGGACAGTCGACAAACGGATCTGAGCAAGCCAGGCGGGACTTTGCTGAATGCTGAAATTGTTTCCAGATCTTTCACAACTTTACTTAACGATTTTCTCACTCAACAACATACCTTTTGGGCTCAATTGCGGTCGTAGGTGGAGGACTGCCTGTATTTAGTTCCATTGCTAACTGAATGTGTTTGTTCTGTTCCTAGATTCAGTGCCATTTGCTGTCCTGCCGCCGTCATCAGGCCTGTCCCTGAAGGCTCCCAGGCTGAGACCCCTACCCAGCTGCCCCCCCAGCCTCCGCCCGCCACAACTGTGCACCTCGCTCCCGCGCTCAATGGCAATGCTCCAGGCACGTCTTCCAAGCAGCCCGCCCAGCCGATGAAAGGCATTATGGGAATGTTTGCGGCCAAAGCAACCTCCAAAACCAAGAACACCAGCAAGGAAGCTAAACCGGAGACCAAAGAGACACCCAGTGTAAGTTTCCATGCTTAAAATACTTGGCGGAAGAACCAGGGCTGGCTGGGGAATTCTGGGAGTTGAAGTCCACCCATCTTCAAGCTTCCAAGGTTGAAAAACACTGATCTAGAGAAAATCCAGGTAGTCCTCGACTTACAAGAGTTCATTTAGTGACCAAAATTACAACAGCACTAAAAAAAGTGCTGACTCACATTTATGACGGTTGCAGCGTCCCGGGGTTCACGTGATCTCCTTTTGCGACCTTCTGACAAGCAAAGTCAACGGGGGGGAAGCCGGATTCGCTTTACAACCATGTGATTGACTTAACAACTGCAGTGGTTCACTTAACAACGGAGGGGGAAAAGGTGTAAAATGGGACAAAGCTCACTTAACAAGTGTCTCACTGAATAGGAATTTTGGGCTGAGTTATGGACCTAAGTCGAGGACTGCTTGGTCTTCTCTGAAGTGGTTTTTATTGATTTTTCTTGTGTTTCCAGGATATCTTCTTTGCTAACTGTTTCTTTTAATGACTTCTAGGTTTCGGTGACCAACAGCAGAAAAGCCCCAGCAAAAGGAAATATGCTGAACAACTTCTTTGGCAAGGCAGCTGTTAGCAAAGAGGGTGAGGTCCTGTTCTGCCCCAGCTACGGACCCCAAAGAATGCAGCACACACAAAGTCCGTTCAAACCTTAGTTTACTAAATAAACCAGTCTTTTACAACAATGGCTGTTAATTAACTGCATTAACAGCCGCCAAGAATTCAAAGAATAATAACTGAAAGCTTACTATGGTTGGCAGAATGCCCAGAAGCAATTTGCAGGAAGCTGATAAGATAAGCAAGACAAGGTATGTGAACGAAGTTGTTCCCTGCAAATTGCTTCAGTTGGTGTTCCTCCTTAAATAGGCTAAGGGAGTGGCCAATTAGCCCCAAGCCTTACTCGCGGAGACCTCCTCCTGAGGAGCCACTCCTGCCTTTTGGCAGCTCTGCGCACCCGTGCATCGAGAAGAGGCTCCTCTTCTTCCTCTTCTTCCTCTTCACTTAAGGGAGCTTCCGGAGGTTCTGAAGGCCCTGGCTGAATCCCCGCCTCTGGCACCACATCTTCTCCAGCCTCCTCATTGTCTGACTCGAGCGCCAGCTGCACAGGCTGCTGGCGCAGCACCACACCAGCCTCCTCGCTGTCGGAATCAGCTACTAGCTGCACAGGCCTCTGATGGGCCACAATAGGTCCTCTGTATTTTCTCCTCTGTTGTAAGTACAGGTAGTCCTCGACTTATGACGACCACCATTGAGCCTAAATGCTCTTATTTCTAAGCAGGACTGAGTTGCTGAGTGAGTTTTATCCCATTTTATAACCTTTCCCGCCACACATCAAGTGAATTGCTGCACTTGTTAAGATAGCAAGACGGTTGTTTAGTGAATCTGGCTTTTCCTTCTGACTTTGCTTGTCAGAAGGTCGCAAAAGGAGATCACGTGACCCTGCACTGCAACCGTCACAAATGTGAGTCAGTTGTCAAGCATCCGAAGGTGAACTGTGTGTGACCACGGGGGAGCCGCAACGGTCATAAATGTGGAAAAACGGTCATAAATCATTTGGGTGCTATTGTAATTTCGAATTGGTCACTAAATGAACTGTTGTAAGTCAAGCCAGGTATGAGCCAGTTGCCAAGTGTCCGAATTTTTTTTTTTTTTTAATTTTGATTTATATGCCGCCCTTCTCCAGAGACTCAGCTTATTGCCCCCACAACTGGGTCCTCAATTTACCTACCTTAGAAAGGATGGAAGGCTGAGTCAACCTTGAGCCTGGCGAGATTTGAACCTGCAGTAATTGCAGGCAGCTGGTCTTTTGACCATGTGACTACACAGGAATGCTTCAAAAGTCCCAAGTGAAAAATTTTCATAAACTGTTTTTAGTGCCAGTATGACTTCGCACAGTCACTAAATGAATGATTGTAAGTCAAGGACTACCTGTACGAAAAAAAGATTGAACATTGGTTCTGATTGGAGGCATCTTGCTGCCACTGGGGGCTTAGAGGATGACCTCAGAGGGATTCATCCCTCTGAAGGTACTTATCCCATCTTGATCATCACATGTTAACTTTCCTATTTTCCTCGCTTCTGTGCAGACAAAGCCAGTGCTGAACCCGAGCAGCAGAAGGAAGAGCGATCAGCGGCCAAGTCCCCGGTTTCTTCCACGGACCCAAAATCTCCTCTTAATCCTCCTGGTCATGAGAAGGTCAGCAAGGAGGCCGAGCCGGCCAGAGGGCAGCAGAGGGAGAAGAAAAGGTAGTGGATTTCTGTTCTCCTTGGTGATCCAGGCTGCAAAGAGTTGGGCTGTTTCCCTCGTTTGTGTGATTCTTTGCACCACGTATACTGGTGTTTCCCAACCTTGACAACTTTAAGAAGTGTGGACTTTGCCTCCTAGAATTCCCAGCCATCATTCGGGAACTCCAGCTCCCAGAATTCCCCAGCCACCATGTGAGGACTTCAGCTCCCGAAATTTCTGTGGCCTAAAAGGCCATAATCAAAGCTTTGATTTTTGAATTCCCAGAATCCCCCAGACAGCATGTGTGGATTTCAACTGCCAGAATTCCCCCGCCAGCATGTGAGAATATGCAGGGGGAAAAAATAATTAGAAGAATAATATGCCATAAACAAACAAACAAACAAATAAATACACAAATAAGCAAACAAGCAATTCAGTTTAAGATGTGCCTGGCTCCAATTTTTAATGGTGGCAGAATAATCCTGGCTGAAAGTTGTAAAATTTATAAGGAAAACCTAACTTCTGTGCCTACAAAGAGTACTTAGTTTGGGAAGATTCTTTAGGGGACTCTTCACTGAGCTGTTTATTTTATTTTAAAAGCTCAATAAGAGATTGTCTTCTAGTTTAAGTCAGAGGGGGCTGTTAAGTGAGTTTTGACCCATTTTATGACTTTTCCTGCAAGAGTTGTTAAGTGAATCACTACAGTTGTTTTTTTTTTTTTTTTTTGATTTATATGCCGCCCTTCTCCGGAGACTCACGGCGGCTTACAATGCGTTAAGCAATAGCCTTCATCCTTTTGTATATTTATACAAAGTCAGCTTATTGCCCCCACAAACCGGGTCCTCAATTTACCTACCTTAGAAAGGATGGAAGGCTGAGTCAACCTTGAGCCTTGGCGAGATTCGAACCTGCAGTAATTGCAGGCAGCTGGTCTTAATAACCAGCTTAATAACAGGGTGCCTTAGACCACTGTACTACCAAGGCTCTTGGTAGTTGTTAAGTTAGTAACAGCGTTATTAAGTGTTGTGGTCCGCCAGCAGCCTGCGGAGCTGGCAGCGGAGTCGGACAGTGTGGAGACTGGGGAGGACCATGGGCCAGTCCTGGAGGCTGGGGAAGGCCCGGACGAGGGCTCTGTGTCGGAGGCAGAGATGGGGCCAGGGCCATCTGGGAGTGATGTGCGGACTCCGGAGCCTCCAGAGTCGGACAGCAGAGAGGCAGAGGAACAGGAGGAGCCTGTTCTTAGTGCACACATGCGCAGAGCTACCAGAAGGCAAGAGCAGCTAAAGCAAAAGGGACGGCTGGGGAGTAAGGCCAGGAGATGATTGGCCCCTCCCAGAAGGCTTAAAAGAGAAAGAAAGGCACTTGGGCCTTTTGCAGGAAAGCAATGTTGCTAACTCTGTTTCCAGTCGGCATCTCTTGTTTGTTTCTGAACTTCGTGGGGCTTTGCCAAGTAAGGCCTTTGGCAGGGTGTCAAAAAAGATAAAGGTTGGTGATTATCCCAAAAGACTTCTTCCGAAGGACTTTTTGCAACTAATTGGGACTCAACTGTGAATAACGTAATTCACAACTATTACAATAAAATAGGTTTGGGACTAATTGTGTATTGTAATTACTCAGTAAGCCTAAGTCACAACATTAAGTGAATCTGTTGACTTTGCCTGTCAGAAGGTCACAAAAAGGGGATCAAAATGACCCCGGGACAAATATGAGTCGGTTGCCAAACATCTGAATGTAAATCACATGACCATAGGGATGCTGCAACGGTCATATGTGTGAAACACACGGTCATAAGTCCCTTTTTTCAGTGCCGTTGTAACTTTGGACGATCACTGAGCGAATGGTTGTAAGTTGAGGAATACCTGCTTTGGCAAAGCTTTCATTTTCCTTCTTCTTTTTTTTTTTTACCTAAGCCAAGCTCTCTTTTTCTCCCAGAGCAAAGAGGACAGACCTGTCTGATGAGGAGGAGAAAGGAACGGCCCGGCTGAAGAAGAAAAGGCGTCGAATCAAACAGCCTCAGTCAGACAGCAGCAGTGATGAGGAAGGTGAGTAGAGGTGGGACTCACCGACACTTTAAATCAGGGGTCTCCAACCTTGGCAACTTTAAGACTTGTGGACTTCAACTCCCAGAGCTCTAGAAGTTGAAGTCCACAAGTCTTAAAGTTGCCAAGGTTGGAGACCCCTGGTTTAAATCAACCCTCGAAGCCAATTCGAACCCTCATAAATCTTTGGCTGGACTTCCCAACCTGCAAAAATGTAGAGGCCACCGAGCCTTCCTGACCATCTGGAGCCTTTGAAAACGAAGAACAAAAGGCTACGTATGCAGCCGAGCCATATAAACGATACAGAAAACGGACAAATTATTTTTCTCTTCTTGCTATGGTAGAACATCAAGCATTCATCCATCAAAGGTCATGGTGGGAGATTCAGAACCAAATAACAGGAAGTAATTTGTACACAATTTCCCAGAAATGTTCTGCCATCAGGTATAAGGTAAAGTAAAGGTTCCCCTCGCACATATGTGCTAGTCGTTCCTGACTCTAGGGGGCAGTGCTCATCTCTGTTTCAAAGCCGAAGAGCCAGCGCTGTCCGAAGACGTCTCCGTGGTCATGTGGCCGGCATGACTCAATGCCAAAGGCGCACGGAACGCTGTTCCCTTCCCACCAAAGGTGGTCCCTATTTTTCTACTTGCATTTTTTATGCGCTTTCGAACTGCTAGGTTGGCAGAAGCTGGGACAACTAAATGGGAGCTCACCCTGTTACGTAGCACTCGGGATTCGAACCGCTGAACTGCTGATCTTTCGATCGACAAGCTTAGCGTCTTAGCCACTGAGCCACCGCGTCCCTTTTACCATCAGGTATAGAGGTGGATAATTTAGATGGAGGATCCATCAATGGTCAGTGGTTTCTTAAGGGATCATGTTGGCCTTTGGTATCACAGGTAGATGGTCTATCAAGTACCAGTTACTAGCAAAACTCGTGCAAGTAAGCTCTTATTAAAGTATTACTAGCAGCAATTAGTAGTAGTAATTAGGCTTATTTTCAAAGTAGTGCAAAATATGACTGGTCGCCACAATGTAAAAAAGATGTTGAGACTCTGGAAAGAGTGCAGAGAAGAGCAACCAAGATGATTAGGGGACTGCAGGATAAAACCTGATGTCAGCACTTCAACCTGCATTTACTCTAGTGCTGACATAAGAAGGAGAAGAGGGGGCAGCTGGCAAGAGGACGCTTGACTTCTCACCTACTTATTTTCCTTGAAGTTAATATCCCCTAGGAGATGAGATGGGAGGGGGACATTCCTGGGAGCTGAAGTAATAGATATGGGGAGAGTGATTTGGAAGAGGGCCAATGAGACGCAGAGAATTGGGGAACGGAAAGGGAAGGTTTGGGGTCAGGAAGTCAGAGTTGGCTACGCCACGATCGGGGACAGATTGTCATGCTTAATAAAATGAAAGATTTTACCGAAGACTATTCGTTTGGAAATGCAATTTATTTTATTTGAGATGACATCGAAACCTGACACCTACGATGAATGGTTGCAGGACTTTAGGGGTGTTTTAATGGCGTTCCAGGCCAAACTTTAATTGGGTTTTATATTGTCTTTTAAATTTTATAGTCTGTATGTTTTATCTCTTTGGCTGTTCACCGCCCTGAGTCCTTCGGGAGTAGGGCGGTATATAAATCTAATAAAATTAAAATAAAATAAATAAATAAACTGGACAGCCATTTGTCTGAAATGCTATGGGGTTTTCCTGCTTGAGCAAGGGGCTGGACTAGAAGACCTCCAAGGTCCCATCCAACTTTTTTATTCTGTGCTGTGCTGAATGCCACTCGGCTTCATCGTTGCTGACTTAATGCAATGAACTAGTTTCAGATCCAGAACATGCTTTGTGGCTACTTCATGACCAAAACAGAATTGCCCAATAAAAGTGGACATAAAGGGAGACTGGACGGTCTTTAGCCCAATGTTTCTTTGGCATACATTAAGGAGATCGGTCAGTGTGGTGGAGCAGGGAAGGTACCACTACAAGGAAAGCCATATTCTGGTCCTCCCTCAGCCTTGGATGCTCGTGGAGTCATTTGTTTACATGCAGAAGGAAAGGATACGGCTGAAGTCACGCAGGCAACAGCAAGTCAGATTTACAGTGTTATTCCTTCTTGCAGACTCTTCCTCACTGGCAACCTCTGAAGACAATCCTCCTGCGCCAGCTCAGAAGCCTCAGCCACAGCCAGCCCCTGTGCCCGTGGAGGTAAATATGCCTAAGCACAGGGGTGTGGGTGTGAGAGAGGAGAGAAGGAAGGAAGAAAGAGAAAGGAGAAGAAAAATGTGAGAAAACAGAAAGAAAGGAAAGAAAGAGGACAGAAACAAGGAAGCGATGTGAGAGAAGGATGAGAGAAACAAGAAAGATGAGAAAGAGAAGGAGAGAAAGAAAGGGAAAGGAAGGAAAGAGAAAGAGGAGAAAAATAAAAGTGTGACAGAAAGGAGAGAGGAGAGAAACAAAAGGAAGGATGAAAGATGAGAGAGAAGGATGAAAAGAAACAAGAGGAGAGAAAGGAAGGAAGGAAAAGGAGAGAAGGAAAAGAAGTGGAAGAGAGAAAGAAGGAGGGAAGGAGGAAGGAGGCAAGAGAAAGGAGAAAGAAAAATGTGAAACAGAAGAAAGGAAAGAAAGAGGACAGAAACAAGGAGCGATGAGAGAAGGAGAGAAACAGGAAGAGAGAAAGAAAGGGGAAGGAAGGAAAGGAAAGGGAGGAAGGAAGGAAGGAAGGAAAAGAGAAAGAAGAGGAAAAGAGGAAGGAAGGAGGGAGGGAAGGAACATTGGACGTGTGTCTGTATCTATTCCAAATTTGGAGTGAAAATTCCTGAATCCAGTCTCATAATAACAGGAAGTCCTCAATTACAACCATTCATTGGGTGACTGTTTGAAGTTACGACGACACTGAAAAAGGTGACTCACAACTGTTTTTCACACATGATCAAAACCCGGACGCTTGGCAACTGGCATGTACTTATGACGGTTGCAGCATCCTTGGGGGTGGGGTGTCACATGATCCCCTTTGGTGACCTGACCAGCGAGATCAATCGGGGAAGCCAGATTCACTTCACAACCCTGGTTCTAACTTAACCACTGCAGCGGTTCACTTAACAACTGTGGCAAGAGAGGCCGTAAAACGGAGCAAAACTGACTTTTTTAAAAAAATGCCTCGCTTAGGAACACAAATGTTGGTTGCTCCATTGGGGTCGTAAGTCGAGGGCTACCTCTATAGGTAGAAAAGGATTCCATACGGCTGACGTTAACAGCCTGAGCCGACTCCTGCTAGATCCAGCCGAGAGCTCTCTAAATCCCCCCGGATCCGTTTCTCCCAGGTGCCACACAAACAGGTGTGCCCTTGCAAGAAGACTATTCCCCGAGGCACATCGCCCGGCTTTTATTCACCCACAATAAAACATTCTCCCACAGTGACCGACAATTGTGCTTGTTGAATATGTCCGAATAGGGCAGGGACTCCTCACTGTCTTCCTTTTCCTCTGCCCCTCTTTCAGGCTTCGGTGGGAGTGAAGAAACGCAAGCGGAAACGTGTCTTGAAATCCAGACTTTTGTGGATGACGAAGGCTGTATCGGTAGGTAGCCCAGGTGTCCCCCGGGCACAATAAATCTCCCGTGGTTCTGAATGGATCGGTCAGTTTTTCATTAACTGGTTGAGAAGGTCCATCAGATTATAAATATTTATATAAATAAGTATCAGACAAGAAAATATCAAATAGCTTATGAATGAACGTTAAGTATTAGAAGTATTATGTTATCTATAGTGGAGTTAAGGTTTCAGGGGAGGAGTTAGTAGTCTGAGGATAGGTAGGTTAATCTAGTTTATGATTGTTAACTGAAACAATTAACAACTCTGGGAAGTCGGGGGGGGAGGATGGGATGAGGGGAGGGAAAGGGTGGGGGGAATATTGGGGGGGGGTTTCTTTTTTTCTGTAAAACTTTTCAATAAAAAAAAAATATTTATATAAATAAATAAAAGTTTCAGCCCTTTTAAGAGAGCATCCTTAGATGTTCTCTTCCTTAGATGTCACCTGTCTCTGGTGAACCTCTTCAGAGTCCAGCCCCCCGCCCCCCCCCCCCCCTTTGGACCTGTGGAAGTCAGGTGTTCCCACCTGGTGAGCGTTGGGACAGCCAAGAAGTGCATACAAAGCTTTAGCTTCGCCATATTGTTTGGTCTAGTGCAGGGGTCGGCAACCTGCGGCTCCGGAGCCGCATGTGGCTCTTTCATCCCTCTGCTGCTGCTCCCTGTCGCCAGTCAGCTGCACAATTGATAGTTAGAATAAAGTTAGGAAAACTTTATTTCAGTTAGAATAAAGTAGAGGAAAAAGGATGTCGCGTTAGGAGGAGACACTGGTGGGGGGAACCGGACTTCCGGTTGGCTCCAGAATTGGAACGGGGGACTTCCGGTTAGGGCGTTTGTGGCTCTTTTGAGTGTTTAAGGTTGCCGATCCCTGGTCTAGAGTTAAGGCATCTGGCTGGAAAACGGGAGGTGTTGAATTCAAGTTCCACCTTAGGCATGAAAGCCAGCTGGGTAACTTTGGGCTAAACACCAGGAGACGGTGAGTTCTAGTCCCGCCTTAAGCATGAAAGCTGCCTGGGTGACTTTGGGCTAAACACCAGGAGATGCTGAGTTCCAGTCCCGCCTTAGGCATGAAAGCCAGCAGGATGATTTTGGGACAGTCAATTCTCAGCCCAACCCACCTCGCAGGGTTCTTGTGGAGGAAATAGGAGGAAGGAGCATTAGGTGTGTTCGTTGCCCTGAGTTATTTGCAAAAAATAATAAAAGGCAGGATACAAACAAAACGAACAAATATTGTCCTGTAACTGAAGCCCTGGTTTTAGGCTTTAGGTTATTCCTTTCGACATCGGTCCTTGACTCACGAACCACAATTGAGGCCAGAATTTACGTTGCTAAGTGAGAAACTCATTGAGTTTTGCCACGTTTTACGACTTCCCTTGCCACGTTTGCTAAGTGAATCAACTGCTGTTGTTAAACGAGTCACACGGTCGCGAAGTGAATCTGGATTTCCCCCGTTAATTTTGCTTGTCGGAAGATCGCAAAGGGGGAATCGTGACGCCGCGACCGTCATAAATACGAGCCTGTTGCCAAGCATCCAAATGTGAAATCACATTCACCAGGGGGATGCAGCCACAGTTGTAACTCTGAAAAATAGTCCCGAGTCACTTTTTTTTCGGTGGCATTGTAACTTTGTACCGTCATTAAGCGAACTGTTGCAAGTCGAGGACTACCTGTATAGCATTGTTTGCCACTCTTTCTTTTCCTTAAACGAAACATTCCTGCAAACAGACATTCTCGAGAGCAAGCAAGAAAGGGAAACCTTCCAGGTCTTATCCGTGTAAACTTGTGTCTCCTTTTGTTCCCAGTGACGGAAAAAGCCTACGAGAGTGAATCTTGCACGGAGAGCGAAGAGGACGTCCGGAGCAAGCCCCTCGCAGCTCACAAGGCCCCTCCTGGCCCCTCGAAAAAAGACCCCAAAGAGGAGAAGAGAGGCACCAAGAAAGGAGGGGTGGTCCCTGGCAAGGCCAACAAGCAGGCCTCCATCATGGGCTTCTTCCAGAAGAAATGAGCTCCAGAGGATTTGCAGGAATCCCCTTCCCTTAGGAGGCACGGGATTTGCTACGTAGGTGAACTCTCGGGATCCAGACGGTGGGACTTGGGAAGCTATTGATCTGGAAATTAGATGGACACCGGGTGCTGGAAGACTTGCACGGGGCAGCCAGGCGCTTAGAAGTTTTCAGTCGAAGACAGTACACCTTCCTTGGTCTTTTTAAAGCAGAGCTTTTGAGGCAGGTCCTCCTCAGGTGTGGTGGCTCCACAGCTTTGGCTCAGATCCATGCTCAAGAAATTGAACGGTTGTCCCTCCTCCTCAGTGGCGGGAAGGGGGCCATTGTCTCTCTTGGGGTTATCTTTGGGGCCACAAGTTGCCTCCTCGTTGACAAGAGGTCCACGGAGGTCTCCAGAGGGAAGCCCGAGGAAGCCAGCAGAGATGCCTCCCAAGAAGATCTAGATGGGACTTCATGATCCCACAGGACTTGCTTCCAAGAATAAGACCCCCACGAGATCTCATGATCCGTTAGGACTTGCAGCTGGAAACATCTGGCCTGCCCTCTTCAAGGATCTCCTAGCCCGGTAAGGCCCCTCTGTTCCCCAGGAACAATTGCCATGTCGAGATCGTTGAGGGACACTTTGGTCTTCTAAGAAGGCCATCTATTGACTTCCGATTCCTTCATCCAAACCCTCCGGATTCCTCAGATCTTGCAGCCAGCTTTGGATCCAGGAAAGCTTTGATCCAGCCTCCGAAAGATCCCCAGCCTGGGAATCGATCGGCTAAGAGCACCGTTAGGGTGGAAGATCCTACTCTGTCCTCCACACATCGGCTGAAATAACTACAAATACCTTCCCAACATGGTTGCACGAACCCGTGGCCCTGGTTTCCCCACCTCCAAAGAATGTGCCTTTGGGTTGGACCCTCTGGGGGGGATGCATAGCAGCCCCTCCATAAGCTGGGATGAAAAATTGGTGGTCTTTTGCTATTTTGGGGGCAGGGTCTGCTTAAGAACTTGGCTGTTGGTATCGAAGGAACAAGAAGGAAGATACTTCTGGGCCCAACTCCCAAAGAAATTAAACTTAAAAGATCTACAGAGGCCTCAGATTTAGGTACAACAGCAGCCAGTCCTACAATTTGGACATTGTCAGCTATTTGTGACAAAAATCACAACTGCCTCTTGGGTTATCATTTTGCCTCTCCCTGGTGTGTCTCCGGGTTTCCACTTCTCCAGGAGTTTTCTGATAAAGTGGGTAGTGTTATTTTCCCAGGTTTTCCACGGGATTTTCTCAGCGGGGAGAGGAAAAGGAGCTGGAATTCAGGTCCGTTGTCACACCATTGTATAGACACATGCACACAGATTATAACACAGTTCAATTCTAGCAGTCATTACGGTGTTTTTGCAGCCTTTAAGGCTTCATGTTTGGGCTGCATACGTGCACATGATCCCTCAATAAATGAGGCACATCCATGCATCTCCTCTCCCAACTTGTGGCTGGCTATTTGGCTTTTTGCAGCCAAATAATGGTAGTTGAGTTATAGACCATGTGGCAAAAGATGCTTTCTGGGGAGAGATCCCCCAAATAAACTTTCTTTTAAAATTCCTGATGGCTTCTTAGAATGAATTTATCTATTTGGCCCGCTAGAAGGCCAAAGGAGAAAGCTTTCGCCTTTTTTTTTAGCTCAAGTGTATTTTTCCACAGCGGTTTAAGCCTGAAAAAGCTGGACTCCAGCTTCGCTTCCCTCGAGCAAGTTTAATCCCTTGCTGAAAAAAATAAAAAATGATCCCGAAAGTATTCAGATTGCAAGGAAATGTCTCTCGCCCTGGTTTGATCAGCTCCCGGGTCAGTGTTTCCCAACCTTGGCAGGTTTTAAGAGGGGTGGACTTCAACTCTCAGAATTCCCCCATTCGAGCAGAGCTGGCTGGGGAATTCTGGGAGTTGAAGTCCACCCCTCTTAAAAACTGCCAAGGTTGGGAAACACTGCAATCCTAGTGGCTTATTTTACAATGAACGTCCCAGGGCACTAATAATACAGCTATTTTTTTTGAGATGTGCGTTTAGTTTAGTTTTAGTTTAGTTTAGTTTAGTTTTATTTGATTTGTATACCGCCCTACTCCCAAAGGACTCAGGGCGGTGAACAGCCACAAGATAAAAAACATAAATATACAAAATTTAAAACTGAATAAAATCGAATTAAACAAAGTTTGTCAACTTCCTATCAAAAACCAGTCTGTAGTGTTTACTCCAGTTTTGTATGTCAAACCCCAGGGCAGGAAGTGAGTCTGGCTTTGTTTGAGGAGAGAATTATGGGTTGGATAAGGAGTTAAGAGGCCTCTGTTGTCTGAGGTTAACAAAAGTTGGGATTCCCCGAGTTTCCCCACTTTTTATGTCTTTTCTTAAAACTTCCCCCCCCCCCCCAAAGAAATTTATACCGGAAAAGCCAAGTTGAATAAAGAGATGGTCTTGTATGTTACTTTTCCCCCTTCTTAATTTGTTTTTGGCAGGGGGGGTTGTTTGGTTTGAGATTCGTGCCTGTACTGCTGTTTGGTCAACGTCCTTCCCTGAAACTTTGAAACTTTCCCACGCAAGTGAATTCTTCAAAAGCGAGTCCACCCATAGCTGCCTTCATTGTGTTCATTTAAAAAAAAATCCTATTTTAAACAGAATAGCTGGAGATCTTCTATCCCAGTGTTTCTCAACCTTGGAAGCTTGAAGATGGGTGGACTTCAACTCCCAGAATCCCCCAGCCAGCGCTGCTGGCTGGGGGATTCTGGGAGTTGAAGTCCACCCATCTTCAAGCTACCAAGGTTGAGAAACCCTGTTCTAGCCCAAGATATTGGTACACAGCTATGGCGTCACCTCCTATTCCTTATTTTCATTAAAACTACCCAATTCCTGCAACCGTTCTTGGTATGTTTTGAGCCTCCAGTCCCCTGATCATCTTCGTGGCTCTTCTCTGCACTCTTAAAAACAGCTGGAATTCTTTACTAATCAGGACTTATCCAAAAATGTCAGCTCTCGACATGGATACAATCAAGAACTTTTGAGCTCAACCCTTATTGGCTGCATGGCCGCATCCGTATACAGGGTTGTCCTCAGTTTTGACCACAACTGGTCAGGAAATTCATTTTTTAAAGTGACGGGGTCTTGAAGTGAGAAGTCACACAACTACACTAAACGCACGGCCATTTTTGCAATGGTCATTTAAGGGGACCACCACCGGTCATTAAGCAAGATCTCAACGATGGCACCTAGCTTCACCTATTAGCCTGTCTGAAGTCAGCCACTCGGCTGTGGGGAGGGCTACCACATCTGGACTGCCAAACATCTGGACGGAATGGCCTACGCACCTCGGGCCTAGCTATCTTGTACGGGCATACACTGCCGGTCGTGTGTGTGTGTGTGTGTGTGTGTGTCGGGGGGGGGTATTTGTGAGAAAAAGTTGTGTATTTTATGGCACATTCAAATCACATTTTGATGAAAGTATACCAGATAAAAATATAAAAAAGGTATGTAACTTTTATTTCATTTCTCACAGCCAGGAAATCAACCAAGTCTCTGTTATGGGTTCTCTTTTGGCACTCTGATGCTTTGGTGTGTGTTTGTGTGTAGAGAGACATATATATATATATGTCTCTCTCTATATGTATTTATATATATATATATAACTTACGTAAAATGTGTGTGTGTGTGTGTGTGTGTGTGTATGCCAGGGTTTTTCCTATGTAAATCAAGAGTTAGCTCTGGAACGAGCTACCCCCAGGAATATGACTGATCCCGGATCTCCGCACTTTCCGTAAGGCCCTGAAGACGTTTTTATTTCAGCAAGCCGGCCTGGCCTGAATAGGTTTTATGGGTTAGTTTTAATTGTATAGCTTGGGGTTTTAAATTGGGAGGCCGATTAATTTAATTTATTTTTAGTTATCTTAACTTTTATATTGTATGTTATTTTAATTTTCGGCTGTTCACCACCCTGAGTCCCTTCGGGGAGAAGGGCGGTATATAAATTCAATAAATAAATAAAATAAGTAAATAAGATGTTTACATAGCCATAGTTCAGTGAAATCCCAATTCACTTATTTTCTAGGCTTTATCAGACATTAACCAGCATTTTGCTGTCTGTTATAAGACTTAAGGGAGACTAAAACAGACAGCAAAATGCTGGTTAATGTCTGATAAAGCCTAGAAAATTGGTGAATTGGGATTTCACTGAACTATGGCTATATAAAGATCGTGATTTACATAGGAAAAACCCTGGCTAAAACAATAATACACATATAGACCTATGAAAAAAGAACAAAATAAATGTGTGTGTGTGTGTGTGTAGATATAGATGCGTATATGCGGTGTAACGTTATGCACACGTGCAGCAGACACGCGTCCATCCAGCCTTCGGGGACACGTCAGGCTCCACCTCTTGGCAAGGCGTCGGGGGAGGGAGGGGAAAAGGCACGTCGGGGGGCGAGAAGCCCGGCGGCTCATGAATATTCACGAAGGGGCGTGGCCACGCCCGACGCAGGGCCGCGCTCCGCCAGGGCCGCTCATAAATATGGAGCAGGAGGCGTGGCCGGCTCCGCCCCGCCCTCCTCCCGCCGGGAGAAGATGGCGGCGGCGGCGGTGGGGCCAGGCGGGCGGGCCGCGGGCTCGTCGGTTCCGTCGCTACGGCGAGGCCGGGGTCGGCGGCGTCGGGACGAGGCCGTCCCAGCGGACGACGACGGAGCCCCGGAGACCCCGGCGCGGCGCTCGGGCCAGCGGGAGGGCGCCGCCGGAGATCCGGGCCCTCCGCGAGGTGCGTGGCCGACGTAACGTGTGAACGGGCGCGCGTCGACGTGGGGGGGGGGGGGGGGGGGAGGGAGCGAGCGAGCGGGAAGCGCGGCCATTGGCTGCTTTGGAAAGGGGGCGTGGCCGCCGGGCTCGCGTGAACGCGGGCCGAGAGGCCTTGGGGCGGCCACCCGCCTTCCCATCATCCGCAGCCATCCTGCGATTAGGAGCGGGCGGAGGGTGGCCTGCCGGCATCGGCGTGTCCGTCGAAGGGGTCGTGGGGAGGCCGCGGTGGTCTTTCCCGGATTTGTTTGCTGGCCAGCCCGCCTTAAGGCTCGCAAGCTTGAGACGCGGTGGTTGTGTGAATGCGGGCTGGCTGCCCCTGCAAGGCGTTCACGTGCAAAGAGGCCGAGTTCTGCAAATGCTGGCTGGATGGGAGTCTTTTCTAGCAGACCGAGATTTGGGGTTGGCTTGTGTGTGTCCAGCGTAGTGTCCCCTCAACCTTTGGCCACTTTGGAGATGGCTGGACTTCAACTCCCAGAATTCCCCAGCTGGCACAGATGGGAGAAAGACCCAGCAGAGCTGGCTGTGGAATTCTGGGAGTTGAAGTCCACCCAACAAAGGTTGAGAAATGCAGGTAGTCCTCGATTTACAACCACAATTGAGCTCCAAATCTCTCTTGCTGTGAGTTTTGCCCCTTTCTTGCCTCGGTTGTTAAGTGAATCACTGCAGTTCATAAATTAGGAGCGCGGTTGTTAAGTGAATCTGGCTTCCTACCCCCCCCCTTTACTTGGCTTGTCAGAAGGTCACAAAATGGAATCACACGACCCAGGGATACCGCGACCGTCATAAATACGAAACCGATTGCCCAAGCGTCTGAATTTTGATCTGGAGATTCCCCAGGGGTCGTAAGTGTGTGAAAAGTGGTCATAAGTCACTTTTTTTCCAGTGCCGTTGTAAACTTCGAACAGTCACTAAATGAACCGTTGTAAGTCAAGGACTACCTGTACTGATACAGAAGCTGTATTTAAAGTAATGCTGGCTGGGGAATTCTGGGAGTCCAGTTGAAGTCCAGAAGTGGCCGCACTTGAAAAACACTGGGTTACAGTGCACGTGAGAAGGAAACGTGGTGTGTTTTGGTTCCTCGAACATTGTTGAGATCGTCTCTGTGGGACCCTTTTCGTGGCAACTTGGCAACTTTTAAGACTTGGGGACTTCAAATCCCAGAATCCCCCAGCCTGTTATGATCCAGAGGGAAACAGGAAGCAAATATGGCTGGGGGATTCTGGGAGTTGAAGTCCACAAATCTTTTAACAATTGCAGAAACACTGGTTTAGAGAGCAGAAGTGTGTGTGAAGTGTGGTGTGTGTTGATTTCTGTAATAAGGGGGGGGTGTGTGTCTCCAAACTTGGCGACTTTTAAGACGTGTGGACTTCAACTCCCAGAATTCCCCAGTCACAATGGGCTTCCTGTTTCTCTCTGGATCATAACAGGCTGGGGGATTCTGGGAGTTGAAGTCCCCAAGTCTTAAAAGCTGCCAAGTTTGGAGACCCCTGTCCTAACAGTGTTGATGTCATCGCGGTGGGACCCTTGCCAGACCCAGCCCCCCCCTTCCCCAGATCCAGCGAGAGAAACAGGAAGCAATTATGGATCTCTTCTAGATCCGTCTGGATCGGGAGAGCAAGGAGATCCCTTGCTTGGAATGACGAGAACGGAAGGAACCACATTTTTCTAACTTTACTAGCAGCCGGTTTTCCTCCACCTTCGTTGAAAGGACTTTCACGGTCCTTCCACCCTCAGAGTCTTCTGCACCCCAGCGTGTGCATTCACAAGTGGGCATTGCACACGTCTGTGCCAAAAGTCACATTATGCCTGGTTTGCATTTTGGGGGATTTTGTTAATTTATTTGTATCCTGTATTTATTACCATTACAAATAAGGTGGTAAATTTACCCAACATCCCTTCCTTTTCCTATTTTCCCTACAACAACAACAACCTTGTGAGGTGGATTGGGCTAGGAGGGAGGAAATGGCCCCAAATCACTCAGCTGGCTTTGAGCCTAACGCGGGACTAGAACTCACCCTCCCCTGGTGATTGGCCCCAAATCACCCAACTGTCTTTTGCGCCTAAGATGGGACTAGAACTCACCGTCTCCCGGTGATTGGGCCAAAATCACCCAACTGTCTTTTGTGCCTAAGGTGAAACTAGAGCTCACTGTCTCCCAGTGATTGGGCCAAAGTCACCCAGCCGGCCTTCGTGCCTAAGGTGAAACTAGAACTCACCGTCTCCCGGTGATTGGGCCAAAGTCACCCAGCCGGCCTTCGTGCCTAAGGTGAAACTAGAACTCACCGTCTCCCGGTGATTGGCCCAAAATCACCCAGCCGGCCTTCATGCCTAAGGTGAAACTAGAACTCACCGTCTCCCGGTGATTGGCCCAAAATCACCCAGCTGGCCTTCGTGCCTAAGGTGAAACTAGAACTCACCGTCTCCCGGTGATTGGCGCAAAATCACCCAACTAGCTTTCGTGCCTAAGGCGGAATTAGAACTCACTGTCTCCTGGTGATCGGCCCAAAGTCACCCAGCCGTCTTTCATGCCAAACGTGGGACTAGAACTCCCAACCTCCCGTTTTCTAGCCTGGTGCCTTAATTCCCCGGCCAAAGTAGCTCTCACCATTAATTATCACGATGAATATTCCCTTCACAAGCCCAGGCCGAACCATTTCCTACCAGTCTTGTGTCCTGCTCCGCGATGCTCACTATCCTTGGTGTAATTTTGAGGGTTTAGCTGGTTTGATTTTTATCTCCGTTAACTGCTGTGTGTTACTCAGGATCCTCCGGGTTGTAGTAGTAACTAAATAAATAATAATAAAATCTTGGTGTCCAGAAAACAGCAGGGAAGCCGGGATGACTCACAGGGGAGATTTTTGCAAAGTGCGAAAATAAATGGGGTGTAGAGGTTTTAGTCTAATCTTGGTTTGAAAAAAGCCACACACACACACAGACACGCACAAAAGAGAGATAGGCAATGCCAGTGAGAGCATTTTGTGCGTTTCTTGGCACGTTTCGACTCTACCTGGCATGTAGGAATGGCGAAAATTCTCCCTCGGTGCGTCTTTTTAAAAATAACTGCTAAGCATGAGTCACCTCCTGGCTGGGCAACTTACGCAATCAAAACAGGACGGCGGAAGGAAAAAAAAAAATAAATCGGACCGTCCAGAAATGTGGTCCCTGCCCTAAGTAACCACACAACAATGCCCCAAACTTAAGATGACAACAAGTTCAACAATCCGTCCTAAGAGATCTAAAAGATGCAAAAAAAAAAAAAACCCCATGAAAAACAAACCAACGACAATAACACAAATTCTAGTGTAATATTTTAGGACAGTGTTTCTCAACCTTGGAAGCTTGAAGATGGGTGGACTTCAACTCCCAGAATCCCCCAGCCAGCAGCGCTGGCTGGGGGATTCTGGGAGTTGAAGTCCACCCATCTTCAAGCTTCCAAGGTTGAGAAACACTGGGCTGGGGGATTCTGGGAGTTGAAGTCCACCCATCTTCAAGCTTCCAAGGTTGAGAAACACTGGGCTAGGGAATTCTGGGAGTTGAAGTCCACCCATCTTCAAGCTTCCAAGGTTGAGAAACACTGGGCTAGGGAATTCTGGGAGTTGAAGTCCACCCATCTTCAAGCTTCCAAGGTTGAGAAACACTGGGCTGGGGGATTCTGGGAGTTGAAGTCCACCCATCTTCAAGCTTCCAAGGTTGAGAAACACTGGGCTAGGGAATTCTGGGAGTTGAAGTCCACCCATCTTCAAGCTTCCAAGGTTGAGAAACACTGGGCTAGGGAATTCTGGGAGTGGAAGTCCACCCATCTTCAAGCTTCCAAGGTTGAGAAACACTGGGCTAGGGAATTCTGGGAGTGGAAGTCCACCCATCTTCAAGCTTCCAAGGTTGAGAAACACTGGGCTAGGGAATTCTGGGAGTTGAAGTCCACCCATCTTCAAGCTTCCAAGGTTGAGAAACACTGGGCTAGGGAATTCTGGGAGTTGAAGTCCACCCATCTTCAAGCTACCAAGATTGAGAAACACTGGGCTAGGGAATTCTGGGAGTTGAAGTCCACCCATCTTCAAGCTACCAAGATTGAGAAACACTGGGCTAGGGAATTCTGGGAGTTGAAGTCCACCCATCTTCAAGCTTCCAAGGTTGAGAAACACTGGGCTAGGGAATTCTGGGAGTTGAAGTCCACCCATCTTCAAGCTTCCAAGGTTGAGAAACACTGGGCTGGGGGATTCTGAGTTGAAGTCCACCCATCTTCAAGCTTCCAAGGTTGAGAAACACTGCTTTAGGGGCTATAACTGCAGTGCAGTGTGTTAAAAGGGGGAGAAAAATTGGCTTGGAAATGGACGAGGGAGGGGCTCAGCGGGCTTCCCCCACAGGGAGTTAGAGAGCATTCCCCCCCCCTTGTGAAATAATCACGGATAAATCTCAGTACCAATGGAAGAGAATCTGGATAGATCAGGATTGAAAACTGGGTCCTTGGTGCTCTCTGAGCTTAGTGGTTTTCCTGCAGACGTCTCATGACCCAACTAGGGAACATTATCAGTTACGAAGCATCGATGTCCCCACTGGTGCAGGTGATGGTTTGCAAAATTGAATGGCTTTCCAGCTGTTTTGGCGAAGGACTTCTCTGCTGGATCCCCCATGGTTTTATGTAAACATTGGTTTACAATAAACCTGGTTTTCAACTCCTGCTGATGCGCCAAAGCAGGCCAGAGGTTCCCACCCCTCGGCCGAGATCTCCGTCCACATTCCTGACTGACAGCTGCCTGGTTTCCCCCCCCCCCTCCTGTGTGTCAGGGCCTTGTGCTCCTCTTTGAAAATAAACACACCCATGTCTTCCTTTGAAACACACCCGTTTCGTAACGAAATCTGTGCACGGAACATTTCTCTTTCCGAAAAGGGGTTGTAAAATCTGGGATGCGGTCATGTTGGAGAATTCAAGACCTCGGTGCCTTCCGCCATGCCCTTAAAACTTTCTTTTTCCAGCAAGTCGGGCTGGCTTAACATAACATTTTTTAAAAAACATTTTTAACTGGTTTGTCATTTTAAATTGGGGCCAAATTAATATATATCCTTGTAATTGTTTTTAATGTTTGTATTGTATGTTTTTAGCTGGCTGTACACCGCCCTGAGTCCCTCGGGAGAAGGTGCGGTATATAAATTCGAAATAAAATAAATCAAATAAATGTTCATGGCTCACCGAATGACCGCGTTGCTTAGACACGCAGGTTTCCACTCTCCACCGTGGTCGTAAGCCGAGGACTATCTCACTGTAGGGGGTTGCCTTTTGGCAGCAGGTGTGAATGAACCGGAATTGCTCAACGCTTGTCCTCTTTTTTCTTATTTTTTCCTTTTTTTTTGGGTAGATTTTATCTTCCGAACGCCCATCACTTTGGCCAAACACGGAGAAGTTCACGAGGAACATAAAAGCCACTTGCGAAAGGTACGTTGGGGAGGGTACGTTCTATTTCATCAATATGTTGCACCGGTAATCCTAGACTTACAGCCGTTCGCTTAGTGACCGCTGAAAGTTACAGCGTCCCTGGAAAAAAGTGACTCGGGACCGTTTTTCACAGTTATGACCGTTGCAGCCTCTCCCCAGGGTCACATGATTGAAATTGATGCTTGGCAACCGACTCGTATTTATGACGTCCGCAGGGTCTGGTGATCCCTTTGGCGACCTCCTAACAAGCAAAGCCAAAAGGGGAAAGCCACTTAACAACCGTGTGACTCGCTTAAGGACAGCAGTGATTCATTTAACACGTGTGGGAAGTAGAAATGGATAGCTGGGCATTGAAAGTGAAACAGAGGATGTAGAATATTATCAAACAGGAGCCTAAGTGGCGTAGGAGGCTAATGCCTCCTACTAAGGCAGCATTTAACATCCAGCTGCCTGAAATTACTGCGAGTTCAATTCTCACCAGGCTCAAGGTTGACTCAGCCTTCCATCCTTTCTAAGGTGGGTAAATTGAGGACCCAGTTTGTGGGGGCAATAAGCTGACTTTGTATAAATATACAAAAGTATGAAGGCTATTGCTTAGCGCATTGTAAGCCACCCTGAGTTTCCAGAGAAGGGTGGCATATAAAAATAAATAAAAACAAACGAACAAACATGGAATCTATTTTACCAACGGTTTGGGGAAAAAAGGGTGGAGATTAAGAATGTAAATTTGTATTGTTAAGCAAATTAAATACCCAGACGATGTTTATTAAGCACTAAAAATGTATTTAATAGGGGGGAAAAAACAACTGTGAGAAGTAAGGTCGTAGAATGAGGCCAAACTCACGTAACAACTTAACTTCGGTCGTGGGGAAATTCCTAAAACTTTGCCTCCAGAGGGGGAGCAAGTTAAATTCATTCCTTGCTCCATGGACCAGGGCAATTTTGGCCACCGGCTCCTGATAAAATTGTTTTAATTAAGTTGCGATTAAAAGCGTCAGAAAGGATAGGGAGAAGATCGCCCAGTGAGTAAAAAACCGAGACGTGAAAAGGGGATTCCCCATTTTACACAATCGACACAAATTCTCATCCGAAGGAACTTGCTGCTGCCGTTCCTTTTTTTCACAAAATCAAACTTTGCTTCCTAGCTGAGACATGAAAAATGGCAAGAAGAGAAAAACCCGGAGGATTTGATTCACAAGCTGATGGCGGACGACGCTGAAGTGGACAGGAGGAGGACGGACGACCAGAAGAAAGAGGAATCCCTTATGGCCAGAGTGAGCCACGAACGTGTAAGTGTAAGTGACTGGCCCCTCCAGCAGCCAAATCAGAGGAGAAGAGGTGGGAATCAGGGCAACCTGAGAGCTCTGAAGGGGAAGAGGGAATGGAGCTGGCAGAGAGAGAGAGAGAGAGGCGGAGCTTAGGCCGTCTGTCAGCCGTCAGATGGAGGGTCAACAGCCCCCAGGTCTGGAGGTAGCTGATGAGGAGGAGGAGGAACAGCTGGGTCCTGTGCCTGATATGCGGATGTGCAGAAGGCAGAGCAGTGGAGAGGAGAGGAGAGGAGAGCAGTGGAAATCTATGGGTCGGTCCTTGGGACGGAAGAGCCACCGCTGCTAGCAAAGCCCCACCCTTGCTCCGGGGATAAAAGGCAGGGGGTGGAGATGAATAGATGGGACAGACAACTATTCATCTTCCGGACGGACGGACGGACGGACTAGTTAGTCTGAGAAAGGCTGGAGGCTGATTGGAAAGAGGGTTTAATGGTGAAGCAGAAGCATATGGGTGACTCTGGGGCAGCTGAAAACATGGAGTTGAGAGTGAGTGGATTTTATACTTTTCTCTTGGGCTTTGCACTTGAGCTTCCTGTTCCTGTGCAAGAACATGTATTCTATTGGCTGTTGTAGGGGTCATAGCTGGCTCTGTTGGTTGTCTGAGCTAGGTTTGATTGAAGTTTGGACTCTAATGCAATGTCCCCAGAGATTGTGCCATGGGGTGAGCTCTGCTGCTAGATGGGTTAATCCTATTACGTCCTGGAGGGTTATGCCTTAATCCCATCACCCTGGAGCTGGAGGTCTTTTGTCTTGTAGATAGGCTGGCCCAGTCTTTCTTAATGGGCACCAAATATCAGGGAGCTACTCTCTGTCTTTAAAACATGTTTCTTCTTTTATCATCCAGGGAAATATAATAATCTGCCTTTTTTTTAATATTTCCTAAAACATTTCATTCTTCTGGGAGGGGAGGGGCTTCTTCCCACAGCACTCTGTGGGGTACTGTTCGTGCCATACTTACGTCCTGATTTTTCTTTGCTTACCGCCAGTTTCCCGAGTGCCTGTCGGATTCCGAAAACGAGGAACCCTTCCAGTGCCGGCCCGTCTATCGGTCAGCTTTTGTCTCCAAGGGCAGCGCCTACTCCGTCGCCTTGCTGGCTGGGTGAGTTTCTCCGGCAGATCCGGTTTAGCGATAGCGGATCATCGGCAAACTCGCTTCGACAGTAAAGAGGGTGGCTTATAAATTAAATGAATGGAGAAATAAGTTTTTAAAAGGAGGTCGGTTTTCAGCAGAATGATCGACTAAACGGCAGGCAGTCCTCGGCTTACAACCACGATCGAAGCCCCAAATTTCCGTTGCTAAGCGAGACATTTGTTAAGTCAGCCTTGCTCCGTTTTGTGACCTTTCTTGTCACCGTTGTTAAGCAAATCACTGCCGTTAAGTGAGTCACACGGTTGTTAAGTGAATCCGGCTTCCTCTTGGACTTTGCTTGTCAGAAGGTCAGAAAAGGACATAACGTGACACTTCCCGCCCCCCCCCCGGACACTGCGACTGTCATAAATACGAATTGCTTGCCAAGCGTCCGAATTTTGATCACGGGGAGGCTGCAACGGTCATAAGGGTGAAAAAACGGTTGCAGGTCTCTTTTTTTCAGTGCCAGTCTAACTTTGAACCATCACTTTAATGAACTGTTTTAAGTCGAGGACTACCTGCGTCTCAAAGGACAGACTTTAAGGGATAAGGAATGATTTTTGCACGGCTTAAATAAAGCGACTAACGTTATTTTTTTTTTCACTCCCCCCCCCTTTTTTTTTCTTTTCTTTTTTTTGCAAAATCTCCGTAGAAATTTCAGCTCCCAAGTGGAAAGGAGTCAAAGTTGCAACGATACTCTGGGTAATCGATCGAAGAGCAGGCAGAGATCGGCTCCTGTTCGAACAAAGGTAACCGGATCTTTGTGACGCCTGGGAAAAGAATCATGGCTTGTCTACAAAAAAAAAGTCTAGAATTTTCCTCTAAAAAAAGGGGGGATTCCTAAGAGGATATTAGCGGTTTGCGTGAAAGCCCTCGACATAAGACCGTGATGGAGCCCCTCCGTCACTGTTGTATGTTATAACCAGTAGTGGGTTGCCCCTGGTACAGACCGGTTCTATAGAACCGGTAGTAAAACCAGCGGGAGGCTCCGCCCACTGACCCTGACGTCATCAGAAGCGATCTGTGCATGCACAGAAGCAAGGCGCGTGCACCAGTGAAGCAAGCGCGCGCACGATCCCATTGCGAACCGGTAGTAAAGGTAAGTAGAACTCACCCCTGGTTATAACCTGGTTGTAAAAACAATCCATCGTGCAACTGATGTGATTTCAGGACCTTTTTTGCAGTGGTTGCAAAGTCATTAACCAATCACTACAGGTTGGATTTTACTGAAAACGGGGAGTTAATTTTTGCCCAAAACTGGAACTATATACAATCGTGGTCAAAATCGTGGAAACCTTTTGGGAAAAGTGTGTATTTTCTAAAACTAGCCAATAACACCACTTTTTTTTTGGCGTAGTACCATAAAATTATGTATCAGTGGAAAGATAATTTAATCAAGAATGCAATGCTTTTATGGAGGATTTGCTATTAGAGTAGCAGTTACAGCATAAAGAAGAAAAGTGAAACACATAGAAAAAAATGAGATACAAAAATTATCACCATGTCAGTTAATCCTTAGTTGGGTAACCTTTAGCATGAATGACGGCCTTACAACATCTTCCCATGGAGTGAATCAGGTCTTTTAGTTCTGCAGCTGTTATAATAATGTGAAACCAAGATTGAATGATGGCTTCTATTAACTGGGTTTTATTGCTGGGTTGTTGCAGCACTTCAAGCTGCATTTACTCTAGTGCTGACATAAGAAGGAGAAGCGGAGGCGTCTGGAAAGGGACGTTTGACTTTTTACCTACTTATTTTCCCTGGAGATAATATCCCCTAGGAGATGGGATGGGAGGGGGGAAATTCCTTTGAGCTGGAACAGTAGAGTGACTTGGAAGATGGCCAATGAGTGCAGGGGAGTGGGGAAAGGAAAGGGAGGGTTTTGGGTCAGGAAGTCAGTGTTGGCTACGATGGAGTCAGAGTTAGAATGTCGTCCTTAATAAATGGGAGTTTCCATCAAAGACTTTGTTTGAGATGCAATTTATTTGAGACGACCTCGAAACCTGACAGGTCGCTTCTGACTAACCAGTTTCTTTAGTCGGCTCCATAGATTTTCAGTTGGGTTAAGAAGGTCTGGGCTATTCCCAGGCCGTTCCAGCAATGGAATAGGATTCTCTTGAAACTCCAAAAACAAAAGTGGTGTCATGAGCCATCAAACCTCAAAAATACACTTTTCCCAAAAGGTTCCCACAATTTTGGCCACTACTGTATAATGTAGTCACACGACAGCAGGACACTGTAAATCAACAAACACCTGTCTTTAATAATTTAATATTTAATTTTGTGGGAAAAATGATATGAATCGACACTGTGGTTCCTCCTCCATTGTTCTGAATTTATCTTCCATTTTGCCTCCCAAAGGTGCCTTTTCAAGAGGCACCTGGACAAAATGGGAGTCTCCGGAGATTCTCCATCCTTCAGGTCAGAGTTGTCCGAAAGGTGCTTTTTTTCCCAAGAGGCAACTGGACTTCCTTGTTTTTTTCTTTGAAGACGTTTCGCTTCTCATCCAAGAAGCTTCTTCAGCTCTGACTGGAGGGTGGGGAAGGGAAAGATTGATACTCCTTCAGACAGCTGGTCATTTGCATCCTTTGAGAGGGTCGTTGAGGCCACTTGGAGGTTTACCTGTGTCCTGAGGGTCACCTGAGGGGTGCAAATGGGCTTGGAGCCGACAGTGAAGGGACAAAGGGCAGAAAACATCCTGCAGCCAAGAAGGCTCCACACCCATTTGCACTTGACACAGGTAAACCTCCAGGTGGCCTCAACGACCCTCAAAAAGGATGCAAATGACCAGCTGTCTGCAAGGAGCATAAATCCTTCCCCACCATCCAGTCAGAGCTGAAGAAACTCTAATGAGAAGTGAAACATCTTCAGTAAATATCCAGAAAGTCCAGTTGCCTCTTGAAAAAAATCACCTTTGGGACAATCATGACCTGGAGGACGGAGAGTCTCCGGAGATTTCTATTTCATGGCGCCATCCCTGACTAAAATGTCTTCTCTTGCAGGCCAACCCTTCCACTGGTGCCTCCGTTTCCCTCGTGGGCGTCCTTTCCTCCACCCAGAACAACCGCTGCCTCTCTGCTCCGGACCTGACGGCTGAGAAGCGCCTGGTCTCCCACCAGGCGCCGCCTTCGTTCCCTGTCCTGCCTAGGCAGGAGCGCTCGATCAGCCCCGAGAGCAATGACAGCATCTCCGAGGAGCTGAACCATTTCAAGCCCATCGTCTGCTCGCCCTGCACGCCTCCCAAGCAGCTGCCGGACGGGCGCGTGCTGAGCCCTCTCATCATCAAATCCACCCCCAGAAACCTGACCAGGAGCCTGCAGAAGCCCACCACCTACGAAGCCAGCCCTCGGATCCTGAAGAAGTGGGAACAGATCCTCCAGGAGCGTCAGGTCAAAAAGACTCTCTCCAAGGCTACCTTGACCTGCTCAGTTCCCGAGCCGGGCGAAGATTTCCCGGCTCCGAACCTCAACGTCCCCATCAAGTGTCCTCTGCAGATGCCCAGCGAGGTCTCCTTGCCAGACCCTCTCCCTCTCCCCTCTCTTACAAAGCTGGGCAGTTCTGCAAATCGGAGAGACTCGGAGGCTACGGAGCTGACCCCCAGGGTCCTCCCGCCAAGACCCACCGAGAAACCCCCCAATTCCAGGATTTCCGAGCTCCCCGAAGCGAAATTGGCGCCCCGTCTGGCTGGGCCACGCCTTCACTTCGATGCCAAAACGATATCCCGGAAAGTCGTCCGAGTGAACTCGGCCTCGGAGAACGGCACTCTCGGGAATACGGCCGAGCGGAAGCCGCGTAAATACTGGGACGAGAGCCAACTGTGCCGTCTCTCCAACGGCATCCGTCTCGAGAGGGGGCTCGGCGAGGAGACCCCCTCTCTGCGGCGCGGACAAAAGCGGCCGTGCAAAACCAAGCACCTGGACCCTTCGGTCAAGCGGCTGAGGCCGTCGGCGGGCTGTCGCAAGGGCCCTGCAACGTCCGATCCGCTGAGACGGCAGAGGCGACGGCAACGTGGCAGGACGGAGCAGCGACTGCAACAGGAGGAGGCCGACCGGCAGCTGGCCGTGCAACTCCAGCGGCAGTTCGAGAGGGAGATCCGGACAGCGGAGAGGCCGAAGGGACGAGCCGATCAGTATTTCTTACGGTCCAAGAACTCCACTGGGGCAAAGTAACCTTCGCCAACTACGTGGCTTTTTCAAGATATCCCCTGTAGATGTCGCTCGTCAGTCTGGCGGAGTTCCGGGGAGCAGGAGTTCTGTCCGGTTGGTGTAGGAGCCAGATGGAGGTCACAGTCCAGAGCTTTCTTCCCCCCCCCCAAAGCTGACTCCGAGATCATCAATCTCCCTCGCAGCGAAGACCCTTCGTCTGTTCTCATCGGATCTGGGGTGCCGGTCCGGCTGTTGCTGCCTTGGGATCCGAGTTGGTTACGATAACGGGGGTGAACCGACGTTGCGAGCGGCGTTTGCAATTTCAGGAGCAGCCCTGTGTGGCTGGAAGGCCCAGTGGCAGAATGGTGGATCTGCAATAAAATATATTTGAATCTGTAAATACAGGTAGTCCTCGACTTACGACAGTTCGTTTAGTGACCGTTCAAAGTTACAACATCACTGAAAAAAGTGACTTATGACCGTTTTTCACACTTAACAACCGCTGCAGCATTCCCCCGTAGTCACGTGATCAAAATTCAGGTGCTTGACGACTGACTCGTATTTATGACGGTCGCAGTGTCCCTGGGGTTACGCGGTCCTCTTTCGCGACCTTCTGACAAACAAAGTCAATGGGGAAGCCAGATTCACTTCACAACCATGTTACTATCTTAACGGTAATGATTCACTTAACGGCGAGAAGGAAGGTCGCCAAATGGAGCAAAATTCACTGAACAACTGTCTCGCTTACCAACATAAAATTTGGGGCTCCATTTTGGATCGTAAGGCGAGAACCACCTGTATTTAAATCGATAATAGATGGTTAAATCTCCAGAGCAAGGAAAGGGACACTTGCTTGCTTTGAGTCCAAACTAACCACCATGGGCCAGAGAGGGTCTTTCTCCCCCCTCCCTACCTCCTTGGCTCTCCAGCCCCATCAGTCCTCGGTGTGGGGTTGCGTTGAAGCAGTATCAAAAGGCACACCCTGCTTTGGGGCAGGCAGAGCGTGCAACAAACAACGCACTTAAGCTGCTTCTCACCAGTATGTACAATGAGGCCTCCGCAACCAGGTTAAACGTCCCGAATAGAAGCCAGTAAGCCAGGATCCCATCTCAGTTTATTTTTGGCGCACCCAGATTTATGCACAAACCTCTTTTTTGCAAGATGGGATGGTTGCGGAGTCCTCCCAACCACTTTCAGTATTCAGGGTTGCGTGTCCCTCCCGAGCCGGTTTGCGGTATCGCCAGAAATCCCTGTTTTCTGGCGTCGGAGACAAACCTGGTTGCGTTTTGTGGTTCGACCAAATCCAAGGATTCCTTTAAAGAAAAAAAAGTTTGGAGTTTTGAGCGGGTGGTTTGTTTCCCAACTGCTCTTCTAAAAAAAGGAGGTGAAGGGAGCAGGTTTTTTCCAAGCACTTCCAAAGCGGCAACTTTGGCTGACTCACGTGGTCGTTTGAAGCCGTTGGCGGCTCAACTTGAGAAAGTTCCGGGAAAGTAGAAAAAAAGTAAAGCTTTTTTTTCCCCTCAAGGAGTTAGAATCACGTGATCTCTGGAACCAGGTTGCATTTCAAAACCAACTTTGCCCAACTTTCCCCTCGACTCCCAGAATTCCCCAGCCAGCATGAATTCTGGGAGTTGAAGTCCTTCCTCCATGCTGGCTGGGGCATTCTGGGAGTTGAAGTCCACATCTTAAAGCGGCCAACTCAACTTTGTGTGGAGCTCAACTCCCAGAATTCCCCAGCCAGCATGGATGGCCTTTGACTCCCCGAATACCCCAGCCAGCATGAATTCTGGGAGTTGAAGTCCACCCAAGCTGGCTGAGGTATTTGGGAGTTGGAAGTCCTTCATTCTGGCTGGGGCATGCTGGGAGTTGAAGTCCACATAAAGTTGAAAACTTTGGCCAGCTCAAGAGTAGACTTCAACTCCTACACTGCCCCAGTCAGCATGAATGGACCAATTCCCAGAATTCCCCAGCCAGCATGAATTCTGGGAGTTGAAGTCCACCCAAGCTGGCTGAGGTATTTGGGAGTTGAAGTCCTTCCTCCATGCTGGCTGGGGCATGCTGGGAGTTGAAGTCCACACTTAAAACTGGCCAAATTTTTCAACTTCATGTGGACTTTGACTCCCACAATGTCCAGCCAGCCAGACTTCAACTCCTAGAATGCCCCAACTAGCAAACTGGCTGAGGAATTCTGGGAGTTGAAGTCCATATTTCCTTAAAACTTTGCTGAGCTGGGAAGTGCAACTTTAGAGCCTGGCTTGGGCCTATTTCCTAACCTCCCTAATTGAAAAGCATTTTCTGATGAGGATTAAAACTACCTTTCAACGCCGCCGTTCTTCGCTTGGCCTGGCCTTTGATTTGGATTAAAAGCCTTAGTTTTGGGGGTTCCCCCCCCCCTTTTCTGGTTCCATGACTTATTCCAAAGGGTAGCTATGCATTCTGTCATTTACCAGGATGGGTGAAAAGCAGGTTTTTTGGGGGGGTGGGGGGGTTGCAGGGAGAGGGATTTGGGCAGGACAGGAGTAGCCACCGATGATCAAAACTGACTGCGAAAACTTCCGTTTAGCTTTCGGGAGATTTTCCCGCGGGAAACTATGCCTCCCGACGTTTTCTTGGACTTCCACAGCCCCTGTCGGTAAGGAAAAGCACCCCAAAAACGAGATTTTTTTTGTATTGCATCCATCATCAGTGTTCTTCCTTTTAATTTGCCTCGTGGAGTTGCTGTCCGTGGAAGCGAAGGAAGAAGAAAGTATAAGCCTTAAAAGACTTTTCAATGAACGGATTATTTTTTGGGGTGGGTGGGTGGGTGGGGGAAGACGGTTCTCACCTCGGAGCCCTGCAAGCAGAAACTGCCAGGGATGTGCTGAATATTTTCATTTTCACACCTCCAGCAAGATGCCCTCCCGAGGACTTCCAACACCGGTAGTCCTCGAATTACGACGATTCATTTAGTGACCTTTTAGAACCACAAGAGTCCTTAAAAAAAATGACTTATCACCGATTTTCACTCTTAACGACTGTTACAGCATTTCCCATGATCCAAATTTGGACGCTTGGCAACTGACTCGTATTTAAGACGGTTGAAGGGTCCTGGGGTCATGTGATCCCCTTTTGGTGACTTTCTGATGAGCAAAGTTTTGTCAGAATTCACTTAACGGTAGCCAGACAGGCCGTAAAATGGAGCAAAACTCCCTTAAGAAATGTCTCGCTTAGCAATGAGAAATTTTGGGCTCAATTGTGGTCGTAAGGCGAGGATTACCTGTCCGGTCCCTTTCACAGATGCTCCCCCACCCCAAATCTGAGTGTTGTTTGGTGAGTCGGCATCTACGGAAGCCGAATATTGTGCTCCGTTGCATATTCACAATAACCAAGCTTTCACTCGGTCCTCCGAATCCCTGCCTGCCTTTTTAAATACAGAGTCCTCGACTTAGCGACCGTTCATTTAGTGACCGTCCAACGTTATAACGGCACTGGAGAAAAGAAGCGACTTACGGCCATTTTTGACACAACCGTTGCAGCTTCCCCCGCCATCCCGTGATTAAAATTCAGCAACTGACATGTACTTATGCCTGTTGCGGTGTTCCAGGATCACGTGACTCTCCCTTGGCGACCTTCTGACATGCCAAGTCAATGAGGGGGAAGCCAGATTCACTTAACAACCGTGTGACTAACTTAGCAACTGCAGTGATTCACTTAGCAACGGTGGCCAGAACGGTCGTAAAACGGGGCACTTAAATCCCTTAACTGACGTTTCATTTTGGACGGAGTTGCAAGTCGAGGACTACCGGTATTGGAGTCATGACGGGAGACAAGCATTTCCCCCCTCCCCACCCCCGCTGCTTAAAAATGCAGGTGTGACGTTAAGGATCCGCTATGCAAATGAGGAAACACCTTTTGGTGGTCAAGGACGGGGTTTTCGCCCACACCTGTTGATTTTTTACCTGGGATCGACTCTGGGATGGTTTCAAAGAAATTGCAAAACTGCATTCGCTCTGCTTCCTTAATCCCATCCCGAGCCGCCTCGGTGTGCTTCGAAATCATTTTGTGCTTCGGTGTCTCTCCTCGGCTCAAATCCCCGGAAATCCGCCCAGTCCCGAGACTCAAAAGCGTCGCTTTGCGAGTCCCACCTGAATCACTGTGGCTTCGTCCGATGTTTTGATAAAAGAAATCTGTTTACTGAGAAAGGAGTTTGCGTCTTTTTCTTCGTTAAGATTCACGAGTCTCCCGGAACTTTTATTCCAAGTTAATTTGGGGGGGGGGGGGAGAGGAAGATTTGCAAAGTTTTACGAGTTGGGATTAAATGGGATCCTTTTGGTAGTTGATAATTCAAATTATCATCCTTTAACGACCCCATAATCCCTTGTGAGGATGGAGTCTGGGCAATTGAATGGAGCTAGCAATGTTTACTGGCCAGATGCCCTTCCTGTCACCAATGCGGAGTTTTGTTCAGGAGATACATTCTCAACGTTCCAATATTCCAATTATAATAGGAGGATATGGAGTATATTCTGCTGGAACTACAAGACTGATGATCGCTCCCGTTGCGGATTTTGCTAAGACACCGGTATTCAAGTGTCTTGTGTAGTTGCATGTGGGAAGAGGTTACCAGTTTAATCAGTTGGTATAGTGGTTAAGGCACCAGATTGGAAACTGGGACACGGTGAGTTCTAGTCCCTACACCAGTATGGAAGCTGGCTGGGTGATTTTAGGGCCAATCACTGGGAGAGGGTGAGTTCTAGTTCTGCCTTAGGCATGAAAGCTGGTAGGATGACTGGGCCAATCACCAGGAGACGGTGAGTTCTAGTTCTGCCTGAGCCATGAAAGCCGGCTGGGTGACTTTGGGCCAATCACCAGGAAACGGTGAGTTCTAGTTCCGCCTGAGCCATGAAAGCCAGTTGGGTGACTTTGGACCAATCACCAGGAGACAGTGAGTTCTAGTCCTGCCTTAGGCATGAAAGCTAGCTGGTTGACTTAGGCCAATCACCAGGTGACGGTGAGTTCTAGTTCTGTTTTAGGCATGAAAGCCAGTTGGGTGACTGGAACAATGACCAGGAGATGGTGAGTTCTAGTTCTGCCTTACCCATGAAAGCCGGCTGGGTGACTGGACCAATCACCAGGAGATGGTGAGTTCTAGTTCTGCCTTAGCCATACCTAACATTCCTTCCTCATTTCCCCCACAACCACCACCCTGTGATGTGGGCTCTGAGGGACTGGCCCAAAGTCATTCAGCCATGGGATAACCGTGGTTTCTTTCTATAAAGCTTATTGGTTTCCTTGTAATAGTCACCGGGATGAAAGTTTAGCCTTTGGTATTTTTTGGCTAACCAAAACTTAATCCATCTTTTCATTTCAAGGAAGAAACCATGGTTATCCCACCAGATCAAAGCTAAGAACAGACACCACAGTTAAGTTCACATACTTTGTGGTGAATTCACTCTGGTCTGAAACTCCCTGCGGCAAGTACACCCTGAGGATCCAAGGGAGAGAGCAAAGCCAGAGTACTTTAAGGATTAAATCCTTCGTGAGATTAATTTTATTGCGTTAAGAATTTAAGAACGTGCCTACAAGAACCACCAGGAAAATGAAAATTGCAGCCGTTGAGACAGAAGAAGAATCTTTCTTCTGTGGAAACTTCTGACGGTCTTCCACAGGGAGAGGAACGGTGAAATAAGGAAAAAAACGTGTGTGGAGATGGTTGGTCTTAACAGGAGGACACTAAAACTTGGTGGTCTCGGTCTACCAGTGACACCTTCCCCAGGAGACCTTCTGGAAGGTCCCGATGGCCACTGATTAATTCTCAACATGGTCTCCATCAATGGTTTCTTCTCAACACGGGTCAAAGAGAGTCCGTCTAACAAACGAGAGGCCCATCATTCGTGCAGCTGTTCATTCGAGTCTTCCAGGTTCCATTTTTGAGCGTTGCCTTCAAGATGGACCTCAAGGTTTCAAGATGCACCTCATGGCTTTCAAGTTTGTGAAGCTTGGAGGACCTCAATGAAGCCTTCAAGTCTATGGGGTCCTGGAAACAAGGGTAATGTCTCCTCCGTGGGGTAGGTAGGACCAAGGGGCATCACCGCTCCATCAGCTGCAGGTCCTCTCAGCAAAAGTTCTCCAGTAGGCCACGTCCTACTTGAAGGTCTACAAGTAGGTGACGGCACACCAGTAGAGGTGGGATCTCTCTTATTGGTTGGTTGGAAGGGAGCCGTTCTTCTCTTGAAGGACCTGAACGGGGGACTCGTCCATCTTTCTCCTGGCCTTGATCTCCGGAAGGCTTCGGAACTTCGGGATGGGGTTGAGGTCAGTTTTGGGAACTTGGTCCTTGCCGATTGCCCTGGATTCATTGACCTTGTTACAAACGGCCACCGTGGCTTTATAATCTCTCTGAAATTCCTTCAGGAGTTCTAAAGCTTCCCGGTATTCCCGCCAATTCTCCTTTCTCCTCCGCAAGATGCACACTAGAATCGGGGGAAACGGAAGCAAACCATCATCAGCCACCTTCTAACCCAGTTAGGTTTGGCAAACCAGACACCCCAACGCGTGCAACGTGTGATGTGGCTATCAAAAGAAGTTAGTTTATTGATTAGCCCGTGGGCAGGGGTGAAACCTAAAATTCGTTACTACCGGTCCTGTGGGCGTGGCTTGTGGGGCGGGGTAATGTGACTGGGTGGGCGTGGCCAACTTTTTTTTTTTTTTTTACTTTTGAAAGCATTTTTTCTACAACCTCTTCAGCCAAAGACGTTGCAGAAAAAAATGCTTTTAGAAGCCTCTTGACGATCAGGCAACTCAGCTGGGATCGCCAGAGGCTTTTAAGGGCATATTTTTTTCCCTACAACCTCTTCGCCTGAACAGGTGGCAGAAAAAAAATGCTTTTAGAAGCCTCTGACGATCCCAGCTGAGCCGCGCGATCATCAGAGGCTTTTTTTTTTTACTTTTAAAAGTATTTTTTCTACAACCTCTTCGGCGAAGAGGTTGTAAAAAAATGCTTTCAAAAGGCTCTGACGATCCCAGCTGAGTTGCCTGATCGGCAGAGGCTTTTTTTTTACTTTTAAAAGCATTTTTTCGGCCAAAGAGGTTGTAGAAAAAATGCTTTTAAAAGGAAAAAAAACAGCCTCTGATGATCGTGTGGATCAGCTGGGCATGGGAGGTGGGGCCACGGATTTTTGCTACCGGTTTTCCGAACCACCCGCCACCATCGCTACTGGATCGAGCGATCCGGGAGCATTTCACCCCTGCCGGTGGGCCATATCAAAAGCACAGAGTTCCAAACACAAATTATTACTAAAATCCGATTAAAAAAAACAATTTAAAATGGAATTGGGCTATCGAAAGAGGCCAGTGAAGTAGCCTGCTTACTAGTAGTCCTCAACTTATGACTGTTCTTGAGGATGGAATTATAGTTGTAGGTTATTTTGGTCGTCATTGGGGGCATCCAAGTGACTGGATCCGATTTTTAAAAATATATTTTTTGCAGCCGTTGTTAAGCAAATCAGCAATTTCCCCAATTGGCATTTTTTTTTTGCTTAGCAACTGTACAGATTTATGACCAGCCAGAAAAAAAAAAGTGACTTGTATTAAGAATAGAGCCGGAAGGGACCTTGGAGGTCTTCTAGTCCAACCCCCTGCTCAAGCAGGAAACCCTCTACCATTCCAGGCAATTGGCTGTCCAATCCTCCAGTGATGGAGCACCTACAACTTCTAGTGGCATGCTGTTCCACTGGTTGTTCTAACAGTTAGCAAATTTCTCCTTAGTTCTAAGCTGCTTCACTCCTGGATGAGTTTCCATCCGTTGCTTCTTGTCCAGCCTTCGGGTGCTTTGGAGAACAGGGGGACCCCCTCTTCTTTTGGGGCAGCCCCTTAGATACTTGGAAGATACTATCATGTTACCCTTAGTCCAGGAGTGGGATTGAAAAATTTTAGCAACCGATTCTCTGCCCGATTGCTGGGTGGGCGTGGCCATGGGGGCGTGGCCTAGTTGGCTTCCTGCACCACAGCCCGGGGGAGGAGGTGTTTTCGCCCTCCCCAGGCTCCAGAGGCTTTTTTTGAGCCTCCGGGAGGGCGAAAACGGCCTCCCCAGGTTCTGGAGTCCCTCCGGAGGCTGGAAACGGGCCTGTTTCTGGATTTCCGGTAGACCTGTTTTTTCGCCCTCCCAGAGCCTCCACGCGGGCCCTGCACTTATCTGGCATCCAAAACGGGCTGCATGGAGACTCCTGGGAGGGGCGTTGTGGGCGGGGTCAGCCAGTCTTTGCAACTACCGGTTCAGCGAACCAGATTAAAATTAACATTTGGTTCATCCCTCTCCTGCCTTAGTCCTTCTCTATTAGAGTAGACAAACCCGGTTCCTGCAGCCATTCTTCACATGAATTGGCCTCCATCCAGTCCTCTGATTCGCTTGGTGAACAAACCTCGGACAGCTGTTGCCTTTCCCTGAAACAGACTTGGGGAATTCCCATCTTCCAGGTCTCCCTGTTCTGCCCCAGCTACGGACCCCAAAGAACGCAGCACACACAAAGTCTGTACAAAACTTAATTTACTAAAATAACTCAGTCTTTTCCAAACAAAGACTGTTTGGAAGTCAAAGACAGCCTACAAGAAATCAAAGATAAAGTAATCACAATCTTACTATGGGTGGCAGAAAGCCCAGAAGCAATTTGCAGAGAATCCAGACGTGAAGGAAAGTGAACTAAAGTTGTTCCCTACAATTTGCTTCAGTCGGCATTCCTCCTTAAATAGGCTAAGGGAGTGGCCAATTAGCCCCAAGCCTTGCTCTCGAGGAGACCTCGTCCTGAGGAGCCACTCCTGCCTTTTGGCAGCTCTGCGCACCCGTGCATCGAGAAGAGGCTCCTCCTCTTCGTCCTCTTCACTTAAAGAAGCTTCTGGAGGTTCTGAAGGCCCTGGCTGAGTCCCCGCCTCTGGCACCACATCTTCTCCAGCCTCCTCACTGTCCGACTCAAGCGCCAGCTGCACAGGCTGCACCACACCAGCCTCCTCGCTGTCCGAATCAGCTACTAGCTGCACAGGCCGCTGACGGGCCACAACACTCCCCAAAGCCCTCCTGGGATTGACCACCGGCCTTGGGGTCCTTCTCAGGTGCTGCCTCCAAACCCTTCAGCCCTTACCTAGGGGGATGTGGAGAATGTTTTTGGGCTTCCTCAGCTCCAGCAGGATTTCTTCCAGCCGTTCCATCCTGGTCTTCCGAGGCTTCGGCGCAGGGACCCTCAAGACCTGTGAGAAAATATTATTAAATATTTATAAAAAAAAATATATTAAAAGATTAACGACCGTTTTAACGAGAGGAGACTGAAGCCAAAGAAAGTTGGCTGGATCCAGGATGGGGACCATCCCACCCAAGACCTCCCCCACCGTCCCAAGGATCTCCTGACCTTCTTTTTGGCGGAGACGTAAGGTTTCTGGTAGCAATCCAGTCTGGCTTTTGGGTCGCGGTAGACCAGAGGATAGCGGAGGGCCTTCTCCAAAGCTTGGACGTTCTGTTGTATTCCTGGTTCAAGGCACACGTCAAGAAAGGGTGGGATGGAAAGGAAAAAAAAACGGATTTCTCCCTTATCATTTAGGAGGGGAGTTCATGAGTTGGTTCTGTTCTATTCTCGTTCTGATGATGTTACCTGGTCGGGTGATGAGATGTCTGCCGGAAAACCTCCAAACTCAGAGCGCATCAAGGAACCTTCAGTCCTTCCCGTCCTTCTCCTCTTTCTCTCTGCAAACCCTCCCCTCCCTTCTAGCACTGATGATGTTCCCTACTTGGGTCATGAAACGCCTGCAAGAAAACCACCAAGCCCAGAGAACATCAAGGACCCCACAGTTGCCTTCCTCCTCCTCCTCCTCCTCCTCCTCCTCTCCACAAACCCCACTCTCTTCTAGCACTGATGATGTTCTCTAGTTGGGTCATGAAACATCTGAAAGAAAACCACGGACCTTAGAGCACCAAGGACCCGGTTTTCAACCTTGATCTACCAAAATTCCTCCTCTTCTACCTCCTTCTTTTTCACTCTACAAACCCCACTCCCTTCTATCACTGATGATCTTCCCTAGTTGGATCCTGAATCGTCTGCAAGGAAATTGCCCAGCTCAGAGAGCAACAAGTACCCTACAGTCCTCCTTCTCTTCCCCACAAACCCCATCCCCTCCTAGCACTGATGATGTACCCTAGTTGGGTCATGAAACATTTTCAAGGAAACCACCAAGCTCGGAGAGCACCAAAGACTCCACAATACTCCTCTTCCTCTTCCTCTTTCTCCTTCTTTTTCTCCTTCTCCTTCTCCTCCTCCTCCTCCCTTCTAGCACTGATGATGTTCCCTAGTTGGGTCATGAAACATTTTCAAGGAAACCACCAAGCTCAGAGAGCACCAAAGACTCCACAATACTCCTCTTCCTCTTCCTCTTCCTCTTCCTCTTCCTCCTCCACCTCCTTCTCCTTCTCTTTCTCCTTCTCCTCCTCCTCCTCCCTTCTAGGACTGATGATATTCCCTAGTTGGGTCATGAAACATTTTCAAGGAAACCACCAAGCTCAGACAGCGCCAAAGACTCCACAATACTCTTCCTCCTCCTCTTCCACTCTACAAACCCAACTTCCTTCTATTACGGATGACGTTCCCTAGTTGGGTCATGAAACGTCTGCAAGAAAACCACCCACCTCAGAAAGCACCAAGGACCCTACAATTCAACCCAGACTTATAAATATCCTCTTTTACCAGAATAGTGGATTCCACCCTAAACGGGGATCCTTACGGAGAAGTCCACCTCCACCTGGGCTCCCCAGTGTGATTGTTAGATGGGGAAAAAGGTAGTTGTAGAAATGCTCTAGTCTCGTCCAGGTTTCTCCAACCTTGGCAACTTTAAGCCTGGCGGACTTCAATTCCCAGAATTCCCCAGCCCGCTTTGCGGGCTGTGGAATTCTGGGAGTTGAAGTCCTCCAAGCTTAAAGTTGCCAAGGTTAGAGACCCTGCTCTAGCCTAAAGGAAGATGGACTGAGCCCCCGTAGGAGTGTTTTTCAACCTTGGCAGCTTCAAGACGTGGCAACGACTTCGACTCCCAGAATTCCCCAGCTAGCCAAGATTATGAAAACCCCGGTGCACAACCTGAAAGAATGCATATACTCCTCGACTTACAACCCGTTCATTTAGTGACCGCCGAAAGTCACCACGGCACTGTTAAAAAGTGACTTAGGAATCATTGTTCACACTTACGACCACCGTGGCATCCCCGCGGTCACGTGATCCAAATTCAGACGCTTCTGGCAACGGGCACGTACTTATGACGGTCGCAGCGTCCCAAGGTCATGTGATCCTCTTTTGCGACTGTCTGACCAGCAAAGTCAATGGGGGGGGAAGCTGGATTCATTTAACGACCGTGACTAACTTATCCACTGCAGTGATTCACTTAAGGACGGTGGCAAGAAAGGTCGTAGAGGGGGGGTTCAAACTCCCTTAACCAATGCCTCCCTTAAGCAACAGAAATGTTGGCCTCGACTGCGGTCGTTAAGTCGAGGACAGCCTGTACGGTAGCCCAATATGATGTTGTGTGAACTACAAGACCCATAACTCCTAATCGGGATGGCTGGGAACCATGGGGATAATACTGTTGCACAGCTGGAAAAAATGCATTATGTATCTAGTCCCTGGTGTTATTTTTGGCGTGGGGGATGTTGGTCACGGAAGTCCTCGTTTTCATTTTTTAAAAGTTTTTATTTATACATTTTTCTTTAACATATCTAAGTGCTTAATAGGCAGTGTGTTGTCTGAATCAATTTACAAATCAGGGGTGAAATCCAGCAGGTTCTGACAGGTTCTGGAGAACCGGTAGCGGAAATTTTGAGTAGTTCGGAGAACCGGCAAATACCACCTCTGGCTGGCCCCAGAGTGGGGTGGGAATGGAGATTTTGCAATATCCTTCCCCTGGAGTGGGGTGGGAATAGGGATTTTGCAGTATCCTTCCCCCAGGAGTGGGGAGGGAATGGGGGTTTTGCAGAATCCTTTCCCTGGAGTGGGGAGGGAATGGGGATTTTGCAGAATCCTTTCCCTGGAGTGGAGAGGGAATGGGGATTTTGCAGAATCCTTTCCCTGGAGTGGAGAGGGAATGGGGATTTTGCAGTATCCTTTCCCCAGGAGTGGGGTGGGAATGGAGATTTTGCAATATCCTTTCCCCAGGAGTGGGGAGGGAATGGGGATTTTGCAGTATCCTTCCCCTGGAGTGGGGAGGGAATGGGGATTTTGCAGAATCCTTTCCCTGGAGTGGAGAGGGAATGGGATTTTGCAGTATCCTTTCCCCAGGAGTGGGGTGGGAATGGAGATTTTGCAATGTCCTTCCCCCAGGAGTGGGGGAATGGGGATTTTGCAGTATCCTTCCCCTGGAGTGGGGAGGGAATGGAGATTTTGCAGTATCCTTCCCCTGCCACACCCACCAAACCATGCCACGCCCACCAAGCCACACCCACAGAACCGGAAGTAAAAAAAAATGGATTCCACCACTGTTACAAATATATAATCATAACAGTAATAAAATTCTTTGCTTATATATAATGATATTCTTCCAATTTCTTATTTCTACCTTTGTTATTATTATCTAACCTTTGGTAAATCAGATCTCAAGTTAAGAAGCATCCTGTGTCTTCTTTATCTTTAGTATTAGCCTATCCATTTCCGCACAGTCTAATAATATTTTTCTAATTCTATTTTCCTCTGCGGGAGTTTCCTCCTTTTTCCAATATTGTTGCAAACGCAATTCTCGCTGCTGTCAAAACATGTAATATTAAATATTCCTTCTCTTTTATCGTATTTTTTTCTGGCAGTATACCTAGCCAGAAAAAAATATTTCTGGGTTTAGGTCTGTACGTTGTTTAGTTGTTTTCTCTAGCCATGTATGTATTTTCGTTCAATTTTTATTTTTATTTTTTTGGGCCTCTGGACATGTCCACCACATATGGAAATTTTTAAATTCTTTTAATCAGTCTGTGATTTTTTAACTTTCGGGCCAAAATTTATATATATTTTTAAATGTTTTTTAATATTTGTATTCTATGTTTTTTTATCTTGGCTGTACACCGCCCTGAGTCCTCAGGGAGAAGGGCGGTATATAAATTGGAAATTAAATTAAATTAAATTAATTAAATATCTTTTTTATTTCTTCCGTCCGGATCCTGTCAATCCCGTGGCCATCTGCTTCCTTTGGAGAGGACCCAAAGAGGGGGGGGTTGCCTCTCTTCTGAGCTTTTTTTCAGGTACCCCCCCACTCCAAAAAGAAGTCCTTCGAAGCCAGCCAATGGGGAACCCCACCCTCAACGAGCGGCAGGGGGATCAACTTACCTTTTGGCTCAACAAAATCGGATCCGGGGTCCCCTCCCAGCAGCTCCTCGTAACCCCTAAACTTCTCCGGCACGTTGAGAGTCACCTTCCCCAGGCTCAAATGGGACCTCCTGGAATCGAGAGATTCCTCCACCTTGCCCCCCCAAAAGAAGGAAAGCAGGGGGGGAAAAAAGAGATCACGACAAACTCAGGTTATTCCCAAACGATGCTTTTTGAGGAAGATACTTAGAGCCTTGGTTTCTATTCTATTCAAGGTCAGAATAAGAGAATAACGACGAATCGGAAGGGACCTCAGAGGTCTTCTAGTCCATCCCCCCTACTCAATTCCCCCTACCCTTTCAGAGAAGCAGCTGTCCAATCTCTTCTTGAAAACCTCCAGGAATGAAGCAGCCACAACTTCTGGAGGGGAGCCGTCATACACTTCAGCCATCTTACGTTGCTCTCTGAAGTCTTTCTTTCTTAATTCTAATGCATTTATTGGCTTTCGGCTTTATGTTTTTTCGATATGCTTTTAATTGGGCTGCAAGACATCCAGAGTCAAGCAATTTAGAGAGCGGGTTTTGTGTAGGGGTTAAAGTGCTGGCTTCGAAACCAGGAGTCAAGGAGTTCTAGTTCCGCCTGAGGTATGAAAAGTTGGCTGGGTGACTTTGGACCAATCACCAGGAGACGGGGAGTTCTAGTCCCACTTTAGGAATGGAAACAAATTGGGTGATTTGGGGCCGATTACCAGGTGTCAGTGAGTTCTAGTCCCACCTGAGGTATGAAAGCTGTCTGGTAGACTTTGGGCCAATCACCAGGAGACGGTGAGTTCTAGTCCCACTTTAGGAATGAAAATTGGCTGGGTGACTTTGGGCCAATCACCAGGAAGCAGTGAGTTCTAGTCCAGCCTTGGACACAAAAACTTTCAGGATGACTTTGGGCCAATCACTAGGAGACTGGGAGTTCTAGTCCCACCTTAGGCATGGTTTACTTAACAGCTGTGGCAGGGAAGGGCATAAAATGGGGCAAAAGTCACTTTACAACGGTCTCGCTTAGCAAGAGAGAGATTTTGGGCTCGGTTGTCATTAGTTGAGGGACTACCTGTAATCTGGCATCTCGCCGGGTCACCCACCTGAGTTATGAAGATGGGTTCGGTGACACCTTGTCCGCTACTCGTGAGCATCTCTTCCGCCAGGAAAGCGTCCTCCTCGGGTTCTGGAGGCAAGGCGTAGTCATGGATCTGGGCAAACAGTTTGGACAGTTCTCCAGAAACGGATCGGGAAGGCGGAACCAAGAATCGTGTCGATGTTTGTGCAGACGAATCCACCAACATCAGGCTCTCCTGGCCGTCTTCCACAAAAGGAGAACTTGGAGATCCAGAATATTCCCCTTCCTCTGAAGAACCCAAGAGATCCACGTCTTCCAACACGAAGGTGGGAAGCGGAGAAGTCTCCTCTTCCTCTTCTTCTGAAGAAACGGTCAACAAGGCCACCTCTGGAAGAAGGTCCCCTGATCCCATCAACGGGACGCCTTCTTCTAAATCCTCCCCGCTGGGATAGGAGATGGCCACGGGTTCCTCCCGATCCTCATCTTCTACAGATGATCCCCTTGATGGGAGATCCTTTTCCACCGAAAGCGATCGGACGGGTGAAAGAGGGACACCCAGGTCTTCTCCTTTGAGGCCGTGTTCAGATGATACCAGCGTTTCGGATTCTTCCCGTTCCACCAAAGACGCTGCCAACTGAGTCAGCTCTCCACCAGAAGCAGTGGAGAGGAGAGTTCTACCTTCTTCTCCTTCTTCTTCTTCTGGTCCAACGATCTGAACAGGTTCTGACCCATCCTGTCCCTCCGAAGGTGAGTTTGGAGGGGCAACAGGTTCCAACTGTATCTCCGGTAGACGTTCTCCAGAAGGTGTCCTCAGGTAAGGTAGGGATTCTGACCCGTCCTCTGGGAGACGTGGAGGCTCAGACGGAAGGTGGCCTGATGAAGGTGGCTCTCTTGGTGGTGGCAACCCAGGTGGACTTCGCGAAGGTAACTGAGATGAGGGGAGGAGGACTTCGGAAAGACTCTCTCCCAACCAGACCCGGGATGCAGAAACCTTCCCAGCCAGGATCCGATCGATGGAAGACTCGTGCAGGACATCGCTTCCGTAGGACGTCCCTTCTCGGGAGGACTCGGACGTCAAGGCTTCGTTGTATAAAGTGGTCATGGAGATGCAGGCCGACCTGTCCTCCGACCGAAGAGGAGATAGGATGGGCTGATCGAGGTCGTAGGCCAGAGAAAAGGATTGGCTGTCTGGAACAGCTGGGGAAGCGAGTCTTTTGTTAGGATCCAGATCTGCTCCCGTCCACAGTTGCCAGAAAGTGGTCTCCACAGCCATTTCGACCGGCGTGGGCCGCTTTCGGATCTTAGGTAGCCGGGATTTAATCTAAGAGAGACACAGAGAAGATCGGGGCAGGGGGAATCGTAACCACAGGGGCCTCAGCCTTCTGAAGTTCACGTAGAACAGTGTTTCTCAACCTTGGAAGCTTGAAGATGGGTGGACTTCAACTCCCAGAATCCCCCAGCCAGCAGCGCTGGCTGGGGGATTCTGGGAGTTGAAGTCCACCCATCTTCAAGCTTCCAAGGTTGAGAAACACTGACGTAGAGGTTCATCTTGAAACATCTCAGGACTTTAGAAGGGAATCTCTGAAGGTCAGGGTGGAACGGTGGGCTCCTTGGGGCTCTCTGAGCTCGGTGGTTTTCTGGCAGACGTTTCATGACCCAACTAGGGAACCTCATCAGTGCTGTGGAGAGGAGGAGGAGGAGTCTTTGGTGGTCTCTGAGCTTGGTGGTTCTCTTGCAGACGTTTTAGGACCCCATTAGTAAACCTAATCAGAGCTAGAAGTGAGCGAGGTTTTGCTCTCTGTTGGCTTGTATATATCCCACTCCTTTCTAGCACTGATGATGTTCCCTAACTGGGTCATAAAATGTCTCTAAGAGTACAACTCAGGTCAGAGAGTACAAAAGGACCCCACAATCCTCTTCCCACACACCCCCTCCTTCTAACACAGATGACGTTACCTAGTTGGGTCACGAAACGTCTGTATGAAAACAAGCAGAGAGAGCATGAAGGACTCCTCCTCTTCGTCGTCCTCCTCCTCCTCTTCACATACCCACTCCCTCCCAGCACTGATGATGTTCCCTAACTGGGTCACAAAATGGCTCTTAAGAATACAACCCAGGTCAGAGAGTACAAAAGGACCCCACAATCCTCCTCCTCCTCCTACACACCCCTCCTTCTAACACTGATGACGTTACCTAGTTGGGTCACGAAACGTCTGCATGAAAACAAACCAACTCAGAGAGCACGAAGGACTCCACAGTTGTCCTCCTCCTCTTCCTCCCCCAGGACGCAAACCCTCCTCTCTTACCTATTAACGAAATAGTAGTCTTAAATTGTCCGAGAACAGCTGCAGGCATAGTGCAAAGAGAGGAGAATACTTTCCTTCCTACAGTAATATTTTTAGGCGGTCATATTTTTTGAAGCATCAGCTCTCTGCTTAATTGACACCTGCCAAACTCATCAGTGTTTCTCAACCTTGGTAGCTTGAAGATGGGTGGACTTCAACTCCCAGAATCCCCCAAGCTTCCAAGGTTGAGAAACACTGCTTTAGATGGACGTCTTGTGTCCAAGAATGGTTTACAAAGTCAAGCCAAAAACTCATTTTTCTCCGAAAATTTGTTTCTCCCAGTGGCCCTCCATGCTACCTCTCGGAGTGCTAAAACAGGTACAGGTGATCCTCGACTTTCAACAGTTCATTTAGTGAAGAATCAAAGTTACGACACTGGTTAAAAAATGGACTCAGGACCGTTTTTTTCACACTTACGACCGTCGCAGCCATCTCCCAAGCTCAGGGGATCCAAATTGAGACGCTTGGCAACTGGCATGGACTTATGACGGCTGCCGTGTCCCCGGGAGTCACACGATCCCCTTTTGACAAGCAAAGTCAACGGGGGAAACCCGACTCGCTCAACGACCACATGATTCGCTTAACAGCTAGAGTGATTTGCTTAACGAGTGCAGCAAAAAAAAAAGGGTTGAGAAAGGGAACAAAAACTCACTTGACAGCTGCCCGGCTTAGCAGTGGAAATTTGGGGGCTCGACTGTGGTCGTACGTCGAGGACCACCTGTACAGGTTAAGTCCTCGACTTACGACAATTGAGGCCAACCTTTCCGCTGTTCAGTGAGACCTTGGTTGAATTTTGCCTCAAGTTGCGACTTTTCTCGCCGCATTTCTTAAGTTCAATCACTGCCGCGTTTCCATTTGTCACACCGTTGTTAAGCGAATCCAGTTTTCCCGTTGATTTTGCTTGTCGGGAGGCCGCCAAAGGGGATCACGTCACACACCCACACACGGCATAAGTACATGCCAGTTGCCAAGCTTCTTAATTTGGATCACGTCACCTGGAAAGGGGGTAACCCAGTCACAAGTCCCGTTTTTCAGTGCCCCTGTAACATTAAATGGTCCCTATAGGAACTGTTGTAAGATAAGGACTGCCTATCCTAAATTTTATTCCCTTTAAGCCAGAGGTCTTCGAACTTGGCAGCTTTAAGGCTTGTGGACTTCAACTCCCAGAATTCCCCAGCCAGAATGGGTGGACTTCAACTCCAAAAATAGCTATGCTGGCTGGAGAATTCTGGGAGTTGAAGTCCACAAGTCTTAAAGTTGCCAAGTTTGAAGACTTCTGCTTTAAGCCATCCTCTCCGAACCCAATTCCCCAGCCCTTCCCGATTCCTCCCCCTGCGCCAAAATCGGAGAAGGTCGACTCCTCCCCAAAATTTCTGTTTAACGAAGCGTTTTTTTTTTATCACCTATTTTCTCAAAGTTTGTACCTCCCGGCTGGCTTTGACGGGTATAAAAACACGCGGCTTCTCCAGCTTGGAAACTTTCTTCCTAACCAGCTTAATTCCCAGTTTGTTCTGGAGGAAACTGGTGAGCAGAGGTGGGTCACCTTGGGGAAGAGGGAAGGAGAAAGGTCGTTTTTTTTTTTAAACACCTGGCAAGAATGAAAAAAAAAATATTCTCTTCGTTTGCAGGGAGTCCTCGATTTATGATCGGATGCAAAACAACCGTTCCAAGTTACAACAGACCCCAAAAGGGTATTTATGATCCCGAGTCCGAGTTCTGACACCTGTCCTCCATTCTTACTGTTAGGGAATGGCTGTTGCCTAACTGGTTGGGTTGGCAATATATATAAACCATCAATGCATGTTTGCAGTCAAAATGTAATGTATAGCTTTAAGACTGTAATGCATCATACTGTATTCTGATTGGCTAGCTCTGTAGCCAATGTACTTAAGAGAAAGCTTGAATCATGGCTTATTTTTCTTATTGCATTATTATTGCTACCTCTGCTCCTTTCTGCCTGTTCTCTCTGCATGATCACTGCTTGTTGTTTTCTACTGTTTTACTGATTGTTTTACTGCTGTACTTGTTCCTGTTTGCAACTCCAAAAAGAACTGTTTTATTGCATATGACTACAACAACTGGTAAGAAGACTTTGTTCTTGGAATATCCCTGGATTGACAATTTAACTATCTTTATCTGTGTATGACCTGGATTGTTTATTGGACTTTGCTTTGCTTTTTCCTAAAAGTAAAAGAATATCACAACTCAGTGTGTCTGTGTATTGACAGTGCTTATTCACAATCACCCTGAGTCGTTTCTCATGTGCACAATCTTGCTACTCAAGGGTTACTCTGCGCATATTCCTTAACACTTACTGTCCTGCGTTCACGAGGTTGCATTTTGCAAGCCCGGCAAACCAACAGCCACCAAAAAAAATGTCGATAATTTTTATTTTTTTTATTTATTTATTTTCAATTTATATACCGCCCTTCTCCCTGAGGACTCAGGGCGGTGCACAGCCAGAATTAAAAACATGAAATACAAATATTAAAAACAATTAAAATCTATATAAATTTGGCCCAAAATTTAAATTTCTGGGGTTTTAAATTTGAGCCAAATCTATTTAATTATTTTAAATTTTAATCGCTGTTTTGTCTTGTGTTTTTAAATAGGCTGTACACCGCCCTGAGTCCCTCGGGAGAAGGGCGGTACAGAAATAAAATATTATTATTATTATTATTATTATTATTATTATTATTATTATTATTATTATTAATCTAGGGTGGAATCAAAAGAGGTCTAAGCCTAGAATCCCTACGGAGTCACAAACGATCCAACCTTCCTTGAATTCCATGGGTCTTTATCCAATTCCTAGCAGGCGCTGACTTTTAGTCGAGAAGATTCCTGTGCAGAAGCTTTTTAGCAATAAAAAGCAGTTTAATTGGACCTTCCTTTGTATGTGGACCTGGTACAGGTGCCAGGGAGAATGGCAGGTAGTCCTCGACTTACAACAATTCCTTGAATGACCGAAAGGACAAGGGCACTGGGGAAAAAAAGTGTCAGGATTGTTTTTTACGCTTAATGACCATTGTAGCCTGTGATCAAAATCAAGAGGCTTGGCAACCGGCTCCTACTTGCGACGGTCGCCGTGTCCCGGGGGTCATGTGATCCCCTTTTTGTGACCTCCTGGCAAGCAACAGGGAACCCTGATTCGCTTAATGACCGTGGGACTTAACAACTGCAGGGAATCACTTAACCACGGTGGCAAGCAAGGTCGTAAAAAGGGGCAAAACTGAACTGTTCTTGCTCAACAACGGATGTTTTGGGCTCAGTTGTGGTCATAAGTTGAGGACTACCTGTACAGCGACGGACATCCTTTCCCCAAGATGGAAAGGAAGAGATTTTAAGAAGCACCCTCTAAATTTCTCATATCTCTTTGCTGCATTTCAGGGGTCGAAAGGCCAAGAGGGACGGTCCCTCTTCCACCCCCCAGGGAAGGCCCCACCCGTGGCCCCCAGGCAGGCGGTACCGCTTCTGGACGTGGTGAATGGGTTGCCGTAGAAGGTCAGCTCCGTCAGGGAGGGGAAGAGAGCCACGGCCAGCAAGTCTTCCTCATTCTCGATCTGCCAATCAAAAGACGGAGAGGCTGTTCAGGCGGAGGGTGCAGTTGCACTGATGATGTTAGCTAGTTGGGTCATGAAACGTCTGCAAGAAAGCCACCAAGCTCAGAGAGCACCAAGGACTACATACTTCCTCCTCCTCCTCTCCCCAAACCCCCTTCCCTTCCAGCACTGATGATATTCCCTAGTTGGGTCATGAAACGTCTGCAAGAAAACCATCAAGTTCAGAGAGCACCAAGGATGACTTCTTCCCCTTCTCCTTCTTTTCCTCCTCCTCCTCTTCCTCCTCCTCCTTTTCTTTCTCCTTCTCCTTCCTCCTCCTCCCCCCCTCTCTCTCCCTTCTAGCACTGATGATGTTCCCTAGTTGGGTCATGAAACATCTGCAAGAAAACCATCAACAACTTCTTCTTCTTCTTCTTCTTCTTCTTCTCCTTTGTCTTCTCTTCCTCCTCCTCCTCCTTCTTTTCCTCCTCCTTCTCCTTCCTCCTCCTCCCCCTCCCTCCCTCCCTCCCTTCTAGCATTGATGACATTCCCTAGTTGGGTCAGGAAACATCTGCAAAAAAGCCACCAAGCTCAGACAGCACCAAGGACCTCCTCCCCCTCCTCCTCTTCTTCTTCCCCCTCCTCCTCCTCCCCCCCCCCTGCAAACTCCATCCCCTTCTAGCACTGATGATGTTCCCTAGTTGGGTCATGAAACGTCTGCAAGAAAAGCACCAAGCTCAGAGAGCGCCAAGCACCCTTCGTGATCCTGAGCTATTTTAAATGCAACAAAGGTTTCTACAGACCAAAAAACACAACTGCGCCATGAGCTCACACGTGTCCCCCCCGACCCCCCCCATTGTGGCCAATCCCTACATGGAAGGAGTCGGAACCAACGCCCTAAACTCCTTCACGAGGCTTCCACCCACCCGCTGGCATAGCTACGTGGACGATACTTGGGAAACCGAAAAAGTCCAGTTGCCTTACGACCTAGATAATGGAGCATCCCCAGAGATATTCAGGTTTTTCGCCATTTCCAGGTACTCCAGGTGGTTGCAAAATATGAACCTGGCTTGGAGTAACATCTAAGTGTTCGGAGACTACAGTTGGTCCAGAACGCAGTTGCGTGAGTTATAGTGGGTGCACCTAGATACACCCACATTACACCAATTCTCCGCGAGCTGCACTGTCTCCCTATCGTTCTCCGGTCACAATTCAAGGTGTTGGTTATACCTTTAAAGCCCTACATGGCTCAGGGCCAGGTTATCTTCGAGACCGCCTTCTGCCGCATGGCTCCCAGCGACCGGTAAGATCCCACAGAGTCGGTCTCCTCCGGGTCCCATCAGCTAAACAATGCCGGCTGGCAGGCCCACAGGGGAGGGCCTTCTCTGTGGCTGCCCCAGCTCTCTGGAACCAGTTACCTCCTGAGGTCCGGACCATCCCCACCCTATTAGCCTTCCGGAAAGCGGTGAAGACCTGGCTTTTCCGGCAGGCCTGGGGCCGTTGATCTCGCTCTTGTGATCTGGCGAGATCCGGCCATGAATTGGAGTGCATGTGTTTTAACATTTTAATGTTTTAATGTCTTCTTTTAACTTTTGTATGGGGATATTGTTGCATTGTTTTATTCTCGACAAAATAAAATAAATAAATGCGACAAAATACAATAAATAAAAATAATAATAAATCTAAGGAAGACCCCCTGTTCACCTGGTTGTTGGCAAGACTGAGAAATCTCAGCTCGGTAAGGGAAGGAGGAACTCCGTGCTGATGTTGGGAAAGGGAGTCTTGGAATCCTCCAGAGCTGAAGGAGGCCTTTCCTGAAAGAAAGACAAGAAGAACTGAACCTGCAAACACCTGGGACTCCCAAACCTCCCAAAAAGATCCTTTTCCTACTTGGTGACAACTGCTCAGGGTTGTTACTCAAGGGAGAATCACAGAGTTGGAAGGGACCTTGGAGGTCTTCTAGTCCAACCCCCTGCTCAAGCAGGAGACCCTGTACCAGCGGTGAAATGCTCCCGGTTTGGACCGGATCACCCGATCCGGTAGCGATGGCGGCGGGTGGTTCAGAGAACCCGTAGCAAAAATCCCTGCCCCCGCCCCCACATTGCCCAGTTGAGCCGCACAATCATCAGAAGCTGTTTTTTTTTTAATTTTTAAAAGCATTTTTTCTACAACCTCTTTGGCCGAAAAAATGCTTTTAAAAGTAAAAGTAAAAAAAAAAAAGCCTCTGCCGATCAGGCAACTCAGCTGGGATCGTCAGAGGCTTTTAAAAGCATTTTTAATGCTTTTAAAGCTGGCTGGAGAATTCTGGGAGTTGAAGTCCAGAAGTCTTAAAGCTGCCAACTTTGAAGACCTCTGCTCTAAGGGCTGGAAGGAACCTTGGAGGTCTTCTAGTCCAACCCTGCTCAAGCCCTATGACACTATGCCATACCAGACAAATGGGTGTCCAACCTCCATTACAGGTAATCCTCAACTTACAAAAGTTTCATTTAGTGACCCTAATGGCACAGAAAAAAAGTGACTTTATGACCATTTTTCACACTTAACGACCGTTGCAGCTGACTTATATTTATGACGGTCGCAGAGTCCAAGGTCACATGATCCCCTTTGCGACCATCGATGAGCCGAGTCAATGGGGAAGCCGGATTCACTTAACAACCGCGTGATTCGCTTAACAACTCTTATCGATTCGCTTAACAAAAGTGGTGGGAAAAAGTCGTAAAATGGGACAAAAATCACTTAACGAATTTCTCACTTAACGACATAATAACTTTGGGGCTGAAATGTGGTCATAAGTTGAGGACTTAGCTGTATTGGAGGACCCTCGATTTCGGGAGGCAAGCCTGATTAATTGTTCTCACTGTCAGGAAGTTTCTCATTAATTAATTAACATTAGGTAATTAATTAACATTAATTGACCCTTGATTATACTGCACTGCTCTGCAATTACAAATTTAATATCCATTTTCCCCGCCTGCAGCAATTCTTTTGGAAACAAGAATTGTTCCTATTTTGTTTCAACCACCTAAAAAGAACCGGATGTCTTCGGCAAAATTGGCCACCTTGCCAAATTCCTGTTGTGAGTCAAGGAAACCTTACCTGAGCCTTTTCTTCTGGAGGTCTGGCCTGAAAGACCACCTCTGTTGAAAAACACAAAGAACGTCAGGGTGCTTGGAAGGGGAGGCAGTCGCCCCCTAAGATGCCACCAAGGCTAAACCCGTGTTGGATCTTGGCCGAGAGGACTTCTGGGAAGGTTTGCAACCTCCAGCCTTCCCTGGGGGCTCGGCTTTGTCACAACGTTTGATGTACAAGATGGTCCACAAAAAACTCTTGATAAGATAATGCAACATATCAAGGAAAATCCTGGGATTAGGATTCCTTCTTCCCTTGTTACCCTCTGCAGCACGTCTTTCTCTCGCTCGTCTATCTGTTTGTCTCTGTCTGTCTGTCTATCTATCATCCATCCATCCGTCAATCAATCAATCAATCTATCTATCTATCTATCTATCCATCCATCATGTCTGTCTGTCTGCATCATGTCTGTCTGTCTGTCTGTCTGTCTGTCTGTCTGTCTGTCTGTCTGCCTATCTATCTATCTATCTATCTATCTATCTATCTATCTATCTATCTATCTATCTATCTATTTATCTATTCTTCTCTATCATCCATCCATCCATCCATCCATCCAAACTATTGTTTATCATTTATCTCATCTGTCGCCCCATCCATCCATCATCTATCTATCTGTCTGCCTGCCTATCATCCATCATCTATCTATCTCTCTATCTATCCATCCATCCATCATCTATCTGTCTGTCTGCCTGCCTATCATCCATCATCTATCTATCTCTCTATCTATCCATCCATCATCTATCTGTCTGTCTGCCTATCTATTCTCTCTCTATCCTATATGTCTGTCTGTATCATCTATCTATCATCTATTTATCTATCTATCCATCCATCCATCATCTATCTGTCTGTCTGCCTACCTATCCTCTCTCTATCCTATATGTCTGTCTGTATCATCTATCTATCATCTATTTATCTATTTAGCTATCCATCCATCCATCATCTATCTGTCTGTCTGTCTGTCTATCCTCTCTCTACCCTATCATCTCTCTCTCTCTCTCTCTCTCTATCTATCTCCATCTATCCATCCATCCATTCAAACTATTATTTATCATTTCTCATCTGTCCATCCATCCATCCATCCTCTATCATCTATATCTACTGTATTCTCCTCTCTCTATCATCCATCCATCCATCCATCGATTCAAACTATTATTTATCATTTCTCATCTGTCCATCCATCCATCCTCTATCATCTATATCTACTGTATTCTCCTCTCTCTATGATCCATCCATCCAGCCAGCCAAACTATTATCATTTATCCCATCCATCCATCCATCCATCCATCCATCCATCCATCCATCCATCCAGAGAACAACCAAGCTCAGAGAGCCCAAAGACCTCGCAATTCCTCCTCCTCCTCCTCCACTTCACAATCCCCCCTCCCTTCCAGCACTGATGATATTACCTAGTTTGGTAACGAAATGCCTGCAAGAAAACCACCCACCTCAGAGAGCACCACGGACCCCACTGAAGGCACAGGATCCAACCTGGCTAAAGCGAAGACCTTACAGAAATCCAAAAGTGGAATGTGTGACAAAACAGGCAGCTGGAAAGAACCCTTTTGGGAGCAAATGTTCAATAAGATAAATAAAATCGAACATGTTTACTAAAACCAACTATCTCCTTAACGACTGGGTGGATAAAACGTTTCTTCACCGCTTTGAGAGGGTTCCCAAGGAAGCGGAGAAATGCATCCCACCCTGAGTAAGTTAAGTTTTACTTTTACAACTGAAAAGAGGCCCCACCTGTCTTGTCTGGATCCTGGGTGTTTTGGGTTATGATGTAACTGTACTGCTGGTTTAGCCTCGGGGACCGATCCTGGGGGGGCTTTTGGGGAGAGTTTTTCCGGCAACGTAAGCCTGCCCGGATGCCCGACTTTGCCGATAAAGGATGGATGGAGAAGTGATCGTGGCCCAAGTAATGGAGATACGGGACCTCTTTAATCCCGTTTTTGTCCAAGTTCAGCTGCTTTAGCCTAAGGAGAGAAAAATATCAGTTCTCGGTTTCCTGCGGCACAGCAAATTTGGGAGGCAAACCCCACGTCCCCGTTGGTGCCACCTGCCATCTCTCACCTCTTACAGAAAGCTCGAAAATTATGTGGAAGTCATCCCATTGGGGGCACCAGCAGGTGAAAGTCTGTAGTAGAGATTCTCAGCCATCCAGGTCACGGTGCTTTTTTTCAGGAGGCAACTGAACTTTCTTGGTTTTTTTCTTTTGAAGACATTTCACTTCTCCTCCAAGAAGCTTCTTCAGTTCTGACTGGATGGTGGGGAATGGAAGGATTTATATTCCTTGCAGGCAGCTGGTTAGTTGCATCCTTTTAGAGGGTCGTTGAGGCCACCTGGAGGTTTACCTGTGTCCTCAGGGTCACCCGAGTAGTGCAAATGGTTCCTGTAGTCTGCAATTTTTTCCCCCTCTGGAAATCCGTTCCTCCTCCCACATCCTTCGAAGGGTGTTCCCACTATCCTGTCAGAGCTGAAGAAGCTTTTTGGATGAGAAGCGAAACGTCTTCAGAAGAAAAAACCAGAAAGTCCAGTTGCCTCCTGAAAAAAGCATCTTTGGGACAACCGAACAGCCTGGATAGCTCTGCAGACTAAAGCACTGTAATTTAACACCAGCTGCCTGCAATTTCTGCAGGTTCGAATCTCGCCAGGCTCAAGGTTGACTCAGCCTTCCATCCTTTCTAAGGTAGGTGAAATGAGGACCCAGATTGTGGGGGCAATAAGCTGACTTTGTATAAAAATATACAAAAGTATGAAGGCTATTGCTTAACGCACTGTAAGCCGCCCTCAGTCTCCAGAGAAGGGCAGCATATAAATCAATTTATTTTTTAAAAAGTGGCCTCAAAGACCCTCTAACTAAAAGGATGTAAATGACCAGCTGCCTGCAAGGAGTATCAATCCTTCCCTTCCCCACCCTCCAGTCAGAGCTGAAGAAGCTCCTTGGATGAGAAGTGAAACGTCTTCAAAAGAAAAAACCAGAAAGTCCAGTTGCCTCTTGGAAAAAAGCACTTTTGGGACAACCACGACCTGCATGACTGAGAATCTCTACAGACTTTTAGCTATACAATTTGGGATGAAGACCCTTGGAATGGGGTGGGAGGAGGAACGGATTTCCAGAGGAAAAATGGCAGACTACAGGAAGCATTTGCACCACTCAGGTGAGACCCTGAGGACACAGAGAAACCTCCAAGTGCTTCAACGACCCTCTAAAAGGATGCAAACGACCGGCTGTCTGCAAGGAATATCAATCCTTCCCTTCCCCATAATCCAGTCAGAGTTGAAGAAGCTTCTTGGAGAGGAAGCGAAACGTCTTCAAAGAAAAAAACCAGAAAGTCCAGTGGGCTCCTGAAAACAAAAAGCACCTTGGGACACCAGGATGTGACTGATTTTGTCAATCCCAACTGGCCAATTTGCAAGTCTCAAAGACTGTCAATTTTAACGCCGACTTCCGTTTGGGAAGATCGTGTCTACAGGTGTGGCAACAGTAAAGAACTCGGGTTGGAAGTATCATGACAAGTTTGAGGCCTACAACCCTTAGATAGCTTCTCTTGCTTGGAAGAGAAAATTCTAAGGAATGTTGGCCTGTAGCCAGCACGGACACCAAGCAGCTTGGTCAAAACAGAATTTAACAGAATAACAGAGTTGTAAAGGACCTTGGAGGTCTTCGAGTCCAACCCCCTGCTCAAGAGGAGACCCTATACCATTCCAGACAAATGGTTGTCCAACCTCTTCTTAAAAGCCTCCAGTGTTGGAGCAGCCACAACTTCTGGTGGCAAGCAGTTCCACTGGTTAATTGTCCTCACTGTTAGGAAGCTTCTCCTTAATTCCAGGTTGCTTCTCTCCTGGATGAGTTTCCATCCGTTGCTTCTTGTCCTGTCTTCTCAGGGGCTTTGGAGAATAACTTGACCCCCAACTCTTCTTTGGGGCAGCCCCTCAAATAATGGAAGGCTGCTATTATGTCACCCCCTAGTCCTTCTCTTTGATAGAGCAGACATCCCTAGTTCCCTCCATCAGAATAAAGGGACCTTGGAGGTCTTCTAGTCCAACCCCTGCCTAAGCAGGAAAGCCTATCCCATCCAGACAAATGACTCTTCTTGAAAACTTCCAGTGATAGAGCATCCACAACTTCTGGTGGCCAGTTGTTCCACTGGTTAATTCTTCTCCCTGTCAGGAAATTCCTCCTTAGTTCTAAGTTGCTTCTCTCCTTGATGATTTTCCATTCGAAAAGCTATTGGTTAGGGTTCTTTAAGTGTTGTGTACCGCCAGCGGCCTGCGCGGATCGTGGCTGATCCCGACGACGAGGAGGCTGGTGTGGGGTCGCGTCAGCAGCCTGCACAGCTGGCGCTCGAGTCGGACAGCGAGGAGGCCGAAGAGGATGTGATGCCAGAGGCAGAGACTCAGCCAGGGCCTTCAGAACCTCCAGAGGCTCCTTCAAGTGGAGAGAGCGAAGTGGAGGAGCCTCTCCTCAATGCTCGGGCACGAAGGGCTGCCAAAAGGCAGGAGTGGCTACTCAGGAGGAGGAGGTCTACTCGAGAGTAAGGCTTGAGGATAATTGGCCACTCCCTTAGCCTATTTAAGTCGCACGCAGTTAGTAATTTCTTGCTGGAAACAACGTGTAATTATTACAGAGCATTTTGGAGAGTGAGTGTCTTATCGTATCTGGTTTTCTGGGCTGGTTGCCAACCTCTGTCGGACTTTGTTCTTAATAACTTTGATAAGGAAGAGCCTGGTGGCGCAGCAGACTAATAGCCTGTTATTATCATTCAGCTGCCTGCAATTACTGCAGGTTCGAATCTCGTCAAGGCTCAAGGTTGACTCAGCCTTCCATCCTTTCTAAGGTAGGTAAATTGAGGACCCGGATTGTGGGGGCAATAAGCTGACTTTGTATAAATATACAAAAGTATGAAGGCTATTGCTTAACGCCTTGTAAGCCGCCCTGAGTCTCCAGAGAAGGGCGGCATATAAATCAAATTTAAAAAATAAAAATAAATAAATAAATAAATAAGGACTCTTTGCACGGGAAGCCTGCATTCTCGAAAGGGGTTTGTTTGGAATTAAACAGTGTTTGCGAAGCTTGGTATGTGTCACATCCTCTGGGAATCCGGAGCTGGGGCAGAACATTAAGAGGCTACAAACCGGTGAGGTCTCGCCTACCTTCGAAGATTGGCCAAACTGAGGAAGACACTGGAGTCGGAGAGATGGTTGTCATCTAGAAGCAAGACCTCCAACGCTGGGAACTTCGGGCAGTTCCAGCTGTTGACAGAAAGAGAAAATGTCTATTGGCAACTTTAATCCCCATCGTTGCGGTTTCTCCTGCCTGCCTTTCTTCCCTTGTCCTCTCCTGCCTTCTGTTTCTTGGGGAACTGAGATCGAAGTCCTAGTTTCATCTCCAGAGGAAAATCCACTCAAGTCCAAACAGGAATTCTGGGTTACATGGAAAACTCTCCTACGGCTGTCGACCTACTTCTCTTCGCTGTCTTCAGAGAAGCTAAACTTGATGCTCTCTGAGCTGGATGGTTTTCTTGCAGACGTCTCATGACCCAACTAGGGAACATCAGTGCTACGAGGAAACAGGGTTTGTAGAGAAGAGGAGGAGGAGGAGGAGAACTGAGGGATCCTTGGTGCTCTCTGAGCTTTGTGGTTTTCTTGCAGACGTTTCCTGACCCAGCTAGGTAACATCATCAGTGCAGCTTGGGTCCTTTCCAGCCCTATGATTCTGATTATTAGATATTATTCTATTCTAGCATTGATGATGTTACCTAGTAGGGTCAGGAAATGTCCGTAAGAAAATGATCAGGTTCAGAGAGTACCAAGAGCTCCAGAGTCCTCCTCCTCCGCTTCCTTGCAAATCCCACTTCCTTCTACCATTGATCATATTACCTAGTTGGGTCATGAAACGTCTGCAAGAAAACAAGCAAGCTCAGAGCGCCAAGGAAGCCCTCAATTCCTCCTCCTCCACAAACTCTACCTCCTTCTATCATTGATGATGTTACCTAGTAGGGTCATTAAACGTTTGCAGGAAAACAAGAAAGCTCAGAGAGCACCAAGGACCACATAGATCAACCCTGAGCTACAAATATTCTCCTTTATTAGCAAGATAAACTCACAATCTCGTTGACGCTGAGCCGGGGTTGGGCTGCTGGAGGTTCGCAGGTTCGGGAGAATCTCTAGCTAAGATTCTGTGCAGTTCGGAGAACCCTCAAATCCCATTCTTGGCTGGCCCCGCCCACCCCTTCCCGCCCCTCCCAGAAGTCCCCTGTTCTGTCCCCGTCCCACACACGCACCCCCACAGACGGCCCGGAGTTAATAAGCCACACGACAAAACTCTTTGATGATAAAGCTGGCAGCAACCCAGTGGCTAGCTGCCAATTCAGACTTTACTCACACAAAACAAAGATTAGACTACAAGCATTCTGATAAAACAGGCAGAGTTTCAACAATACAAGGATTAGTCCAAATGCAGTCCAATAAAGCAGGCAGAAGTCCAGTAACGCAGAGATCATGGATTATTTCTAGTTTTTGCTCGTCACACACTGAACCGGCCACCACACCCACATTTATACCCTGTGGGGTGTGGTCCAGTGACTCAGCTAATCCCTGGCACGCCTTCCCCTCTGCTGTGCACGCTTCTCCCTGCGCCTCTGCCGAGGGTCCAGCCAACACTTATCTCCTTCGTCGCTGTCCACCTGTGGCTGCGGGGACGTGCTTGGCTCTGAGCCTATCTTTTGGCCTTCGGTGTCCTCCGGAGGCATTGCCAGAGAGGAGGGTCCTGGAGAGGGAGGCCTTGCCAACTCCTCTCCCTCACTCTCAGAGTCTGCATCTGTCGATAGCCCAGGCTCAGGCAACGGAGCCACAACATCCCCACAGAGCCTGTTTTGGATGCAGGTAAGTGCAGGGCACGCGCAGAGGCTCAGGGAGGGTGAAAAACAGGTCTACCGGAAGTTCAGGAGGGCCTCCGGAGCCTGGGGAGGCCGTTTTCACCCTCCCAGAGACTCAAGGAAAGCCTCCGGAGCCTAGGAAGGGCAAAAACGCCCCCCACCCCCAGTGGTGCAAGAGGCCGACTAGACCACGCCTACCCTGGCCATGCCCACGCCCACCCAGCAACTGGGCAGAGAATCCCTTGCAAAAAATTTTGATGCCCACCCCCGCGCTGAGCTGAATGGAAGGTAATGCAGGTGAGTAAACCAACACGGGAAATCCTACATCTGCTTCCTTAGGCTCATAGAAGAGGGGACTGCCTTTTAGGCTGGCCAGGAACTTACCTCTCCGGGGCAGCCAGATTGAGGGGAAGGGAAGAAAGTCCGTTGGCCGTCAGGTGAAGAGCTTTCAGACGTGGTAAACTTCCCAGAGTCTGCACATCCTCAGGAGACAAGTTGTTGTAGGAGAGATCCAAGATCTGGGGAAGAAGCAAAACGTCCCCCTTTAAACCATTATTAGCTGGAGAGTGGGGGGAAAAGGCAAGGCACCCACTTCAGAGGAGTCGAATTCCAGCAAGAGTGGAAGCCAAGATAAACATGGTTTATTGGTTAAGGCTTCAGGCTAGAAACCAGGAGATGGTGAATTCTAGTCCCACTTTAGGCGCCCAATGTGGCTGACTTAGGCATGAAAGCCAGTTGGGTGACTTTGGGCCAATGACAAGGAGACGGTGAGTCCTAGTTCCGCCTTAGCCAATGAAAGCTGGCTGGGTGACTTTGGGCTAGTTACTAGGAGATGGTGAGTTCTAGTGCCACATTAGTCATGAAAGCCAGCTTGGAGACTTTGGGGCAACCCCTCTCTCTCTCCTCAGCCCAACCCACCTCACAGAGTTGTTGTTATGGGGAAAATAGGAGGAGGAAGTATTGGATATGCTTGCTGCCTTGAGTTATTTGTAAATAAGGGTAGGACGAATGAATGAATGAATGAATGAATGAATTAATTAATTAGTCTGTCCGCCCATCCATCTATGTATCTATCTATGTATCTATCTATGAATCTATCTATCTATCTATCATCTATCTATCTATTTATCATCTATATCATCTATATCTATATCTATCTATCATCTATCTATGAATCTATCTATCTATCTATCTATCTATCTATCATCTATATCATCTATCATCTATGCATCTATCTCTCTATGTGTCTATCTATGTATCTATGTATCTATCATCTATCTATGTATCTATGTATCTATCATCTATCTATGTATCTATGTATCTATCATCTATCTATGTATCTATCTATCTATCTATCTATCATCTATCTATCTATCATCTATATCATTTATATCTATATCTATCTATCATCTATCTATGTATCTATGTATCTATCTTCTATCTATCATCTATCTATCTATCTATCTATCTATCTATCTATCATCTATCATCTATATCATTTATATCTATATCTATCTATCATCTATCTATCTATCATCTATCTATCATCTATATCATTTATATCTATATCTATCTATCATCTATCTATCTATCATCTATCTATCATCTATATCATTTATATCTATATCTATCTATCATCTATCTATGTATCTATGTATCTATCTTCTATCTATCATCTATCTATCTATCTATCTATCTATCTATCTATCTATCTATCAATCATCTATCTATCTATCATCTATCTCATCTATCTATAAAATGTAACCTGCAAATTAGCAGCAGAAGTGCCTGGGGCTGATGAGGCCTTTCCAAGCTGACTTTACACACAATATATAGAACACGTGAAACTGGCTTTTAAATTGGAAAAAATTAACTCTGTCCTGCCCGATTCCCAGCTGGGATTCATGCAACTTTCACTTTTGGCCTTCGAACTTACTTCCAAGTGAGGAAAATCCCCAATCCTGACTTTAAGATGCCTCAGACCATTCAGAGAAAGTTCCAGCTCCCGAAGGCCAGGAAAGTTACGAAAAGTTTCTAGACGAAATGTTAAAATAGAGACATGTTTAAAAAGCGGCCATCTGAAATAGACTGTTGTTTTGGCCCAAGGATCCAGCAGCCAATGATAAAACATTCGGTGGTATTTTAACTACCACTAATAAAAGATCTCCCTGATATTGCCAAAAATAAAATTAAAAAAACCACGCTCATATATGTAGTTTTTATTCTGGCATAAAAGACGCCACCTGGTTACAGCTACTCCTCGTCTTACAAACATTCATTTAGCGACCAAAGTTACAATGGCACTCTACTTTCTACTTTCTACATTCTATTCTATTCTTATTCTATTCTATTCTATTCTATTCTATTCTATTCTATTCTATTCTATTCTATTCTATTCTATTCTATTCTATTCTATTCTTTTCCATTCCATTCCATTCCATTCCATTCCATTCCATTCCATTCCATTCCATTCCATTCCATATTTTCTATTCTATTCTATTCTATTCTATTCTATTCTATTCTATTCTATTCTATCTATTTATTCTATTCTATTCTATTCTATTCTATTCTATTCTATTCTATTCTAGAACGTAAAGACATAAATAAACCTGAGCACCACCTGTAGTCAGAATGGACCAACCAGACATGACCCATCCAAACCACCCCGAAAATTACGAGCGTGGTTTCCTTACCTAAAGTCAGCAGATTTTCGGTGGCGTTGATGTAAGCGACAGAATCAAACTGCATGAAATCGCTCTCCCTTGCCTGTCGAAACGGGAGAGCAAACAACTCGGTATCTTCCCTTCGAAGGGTCTCTTCCTGACCGGCTGACCCACAAGAGGTGGCCCAACGCCTCATCCTTCGACAGAATCCCTTAGAGCTACAGCTAGTCCTCGACTTACAACCCCAATTCAGCCTGAGATTTCTGGGTTGAGTGAGTTTTGCCCCGTGTTACGACCATTCCTGCCTGCCACGTTTGTTAAGCGAATCACTGCGGCTGTGACGCTAATAAGATAGTTGTTAAGTGAATCTTGGCTTTCCCCCGTTGGCTCAACTAGGCAAAAGGTCGCCAAAGTGGACACTGCAGCCATTGTAAGTACAAGTTAGTGGCTAAGCATCTCAATTTTGACCACGTGAATGCTGCAATGGTCGTAAGGTGTGCCAAGCAGCCATAAGCAAGTCACTTTTTTTTGTAACTTTGAATGGTCACTAAGCAGGGAGGATAAAAATCAATGATTTTTATTAAAAAATCAGATTTTTTTTATTTAAATCGGATTTTTTTTATTTTTATCGAATTTATTTTAATAAAAAACTTTTGGGGTAAAAATCTATCGTAAGATAGTTTTCTATTTAAGATACATAAATAATTGAGTTTATTCAGCATGAAATGGAGCTTAGTTCTGTAGCAGGAGGCTGTATATTCTGCAACACTGGGACTATCGGTGAGTCAACGATGGGTCAAAGGAGAGTAGCAGAGATGACAATTGCTCTTTAAAAATTATGATTTAAATCGAGTTGATTTAAATCAAGCCTTTTTACTAGGGATTTAAATCATGATTTAAATTGTGATTTAAATTGACTGGATTTAAATCAAATCCACCCTGTCACTAAGTGAAGAGTTGTAAGTGGAGGACTACCTGTAAAAATAAGAAACAAGCCCCAGCCACCCAAGAGAAAAAGAAAGTGAACCAAGCCACCCAAAATGCACCCTTTAAGGGCCCAGGGCCCTCTGTACCCCAACACCCGGGGGACTCACCCGTCCCGTCCCCTTGAAGCCAAGGGATGTTGCAGGTTCGAATTCCAACTCACCAAGGCGAAATTCTGGTGGCTGATATTCACAGAGCACAAGTCCGAAGGTGTCCGCACATGGTGGAGCTTAATCTGGAAATCACAAGCCAGAGAAAGTGGGGACATTCAGCCAAGCCAAAAAAAAAAAAAAAGGGAAAGTTCAAGTCCCTACCGGCCAAAAACCCATTTCCTGTGCATTGGCAATACAAGAATATTCTGTAAAATGGGTCTCTGCGTGTGTGAGTGTGGTCGTATTTCAATAAGGTCTGTGTGAGCTGATTGATGGGACAGGATAAAGGGAATATGCTGAGGCCCTACGAAGACTGTGGAGAAGAGCAGCTAAAATGAATAAAGGATCTGGAGGCTAAGCCAGAATAACAGAGTCGGAAGGGACCTTGCAAGTCATCTAGTCCATCTCCCTGCATTAGCAGGAGAGTTTATACCATTTCAGACCAATGGTTGTCCAATCTCTTCTTAAAAACCTCCAGTGATGCAGCACCCACAACTTCTGGTGGCAAGCTGTTCCACTGGTTAATTATCCTCACTGTTAGGAAGTTTCTCCTTAATTCCAGGTTGCTTCCCTCCTTGATTAGTTTCCATCCATTGCTTCTTGTCCTGCCTTCAGGTGCTTTGGAGAATAAGTTGATCCCCTCTTCTTTGGGGCAGCCCCTCAAATATTAGAAGACTGTTATCGTGTCACCCTAGTCCTTCTTTTCATCAAACTAGATCTCCCCAATTCCAGCAATTGTTCTTTATGTGTTTTAGCCTCTGCCCCCACTAATCCTCTTTATTGCTCTTCTCTGCACTCTTTCTAGAGCAGAGGTCTTCAAACTTGGCAGCTTTAAGACTTGGGGACTTCAACTCCCAGAATTCTCCAGAGAGAAAGAAAGAGAGGGAGGGAGAGAGAGATGACAGAGAGAGAGAGGAAGACAGAGAGAGAGAAACAGAGAGAAAGGAAGAGAGAGAGAAACAGAGAAAGAGAGAGAGAAAGAGATGACAGTCTCAACATCTTTTTTTACATCGTGGTGACCAAAACTGGATGCTGTATTCCAAGTGTGGCCTTACCAAGGCCCTATAAAGCGGGATTAACCCTTCACGTGACCTTGATTCAGAGGATGAACTGGGCATGTCTAGTCCAGGGTCTCCAAATTTGTGGACTTCAACTCCCAGAATTCCCCAGCCGGCATATAACAATAGTGTTATTGTCCCAAAGGTGCTTTTCGAAAAGGCTTAACTGTTTTTTTTTCGCCTTGAAAACGTTTCACTTCTCATCCAAGAAAGCTTCTTCGGTTCTGACTGAATGGGTGGGGGATTGAGAATCTCTCCCTCTGACTTTCAGTGCAGCTGTAACTTGGAATGGTCATTAAACGAACGGCTGTAAGTGGAGGACTACCTGTATAATCTCCTGAGCCAACTTCTGCTCCGTTCTCAAGGCCTTTCCCGTGAGGCTCCTTGGAGGTCCTTCCAAGATCTTAAGACACCTAGTGTTGTGGAGCCGGAAGGAACCCTGAGGGTCATCTAGTCCAACCCTCTGCAGTGGGCAGGAGAACCAAGCAACACATCAAAGGCCTACACTCACCAGCTGGGCCGCATTGAGGACTTTCTCTGGCCTGGGGCACTGGGCTTTCCGCAAACACTCTTGCCAGCTCTGCTGGGCAACTCTCGTGCCAAACAGTAATTCGACTTTGGTTTTCTCCACATTATGACGAGCCACCTGCCAGTGACCGGCTCCTGGAGTGATAGGTGCAGAAAGAAAAACAAGGTGCACCCAGTTAGGAGAACTCAACTAAGGTGGACTTTAAGTTCCGTTAGTCCAGTGGTTAAACCAGTACATGGTAAGTTCTACCTTAGGCGTGAAAGTTGACTTGGACCAATCACTAGGAGATGGTGAGTTCTAGTCCTGCCTTAGGTATGAAAGACAATTGGGTGACTTTGGGCCAAATATCAGGAGATGGTGAGTTGTAGTCCTGCCTTAGGCATGAAAGCCAGCTCAGTGTCTTCGGGCCAATCACCAGGAGATGGTGAGTTCCAGTCCTGCCTTAGGCATGAATGACGATTGGGTGACTTTGGACCAATCACCAGGAGACGGTGAGTTCTAGTCCCACTTTAGGCATGAAAGCAAACTGGACGACTTTGGGCCAATCACCAGGAGACGGATGAATTCTAGTCCCGCCTTAGGCATGAAAGACGATTGGGTGACTTTGGGCCAATCACCAGGAGACGGTGAGTTCTAGTCCCGCCTTAGGCATGAAAGACAATTGGGTGAAATTGGGCCAATCACCAGGAGACGATGAATTCTAGTCCCGCCTTAGGCATGAAAGACGATTGGGTGACTTTGGGCCAATCACCAGGAGACGGTGAGTTCTAGTCCCGCCTTAGGCATGAAAGACAATTGGGTGACTTTGGGCCAAATATCGGGAAATGATGAGTTCTAGTCCTGCCTTAGGCATGAAAGCAAACTGGGCGACTTTGGGCCAATCACCAGGAGACGGTGAGTTCTAGTCCTGCCTTAGGCATGAATGACGATTGGGTGATTTTGGGCCAATCACCAGGACACGGTGAGTTCTAGTCCCGCCTTAGGCATGAAAGACAATTGGGTGACTTTGGGCCAATCACCAGGAGACAGTGAGTTCTAGTCCTGCCTTAGGCATGAATGACGATTGGATGATTTTGGGCCAATCACCAGGACACGGTGAGTTCTAGTCCCGCCTTAGGCATGAAAGACGATTGGTGACTTTGGGCCAATCACCAGGAGACGGTGAGTTCTAGTCCCGCCTTAGGCATGAATGACGATTGGGTGATTTTGGGCCAATCACCAGAGACGGTGAGTTCTAGTCCTGCCTTAGGAATGAAAGAAGGCTGGGTGACTTTGGGCCAATCACCAGGAGACGGTGAGTTCTAGTCCTGCCTTAGGAATGAAAGAAGGCTGGGTGACTTTGGGCCAATCACCAGGAGACGGTGAGTTCTAGTCCTGCCTTAGGCATGAAAGCAAACTGGGCGACTTTGGGCCAATCACCAGGAGACGGTGAGTTCTAGTCCTGCCTTAGGCATGAATGACGATTGGGTGATTTTGGGCCAATCACCAGGACACGGTGAGTTCTAGTCCCGCCTTAGGCATGAAAGACGATTGGTGACTTTGGGCCAATCACCAGGAGACGGTGAGTTCTAGTCCTGCCTTAGGCATGAATGACGATTGGATGATTTTGGCCAATCACCAGGAGACGGTGAGTTCTAGTCCCGCCTTAGGCATGAATGACGAATGGGTGATTTTGGGCCAATCACCAGGAGATGGTGAGTTCTAGTCCTGCCTTAGGCATAAAAGCTCATTGAGGACCCCACAGTTCAACCCTGAGTTACAATCTTCTCTTCTACGGGAATCTTTTCCCGCAGGGTTTCGGCAAAGGGAGCAGAGGAGACATTCACACAATACATTTGCACTCTGTTGCACAACTGGGTGACCTTTTCATTGCCTCAATGTTTTGAGAGGGTGACAGGCTACAAACTGGTAGCACTACTCTAGAAAGATTAACAGGGCCACTCTGGGGAGGCCTTTCCAGAATTCTCTCCCTTTTCAGCTGCAAAGATCCTTCCCCCCGCCCCCCGAATGCCATCACTCTGCTTAACAATTAATTCTCACAACACTGTCAAATAATTTACTAAGACTGTATTACTATTCTTCTTCTCATCCTTCCTAGTACCTATCTCTTCCCACTTATTACTATAACCATGTTGCTTGTATCTTTCAATTATATTGTTTTTATTTGTTTCCTAGTATGATTTGATAGCTTATTAGTAACCTTGACTATCACTAAGTGTTGTATCGTTTATTCTTGATGAATGTATTTTATTCTCTTTATGGACGCTGAGAGTTTAAGCACCAGAGAAAATTCCTTGTGTGTCCAATCACACTTGGCCAATAAAGAATTCTATTCTATTCCATATTTCTATTCTATTCTATTCTATTCTATTCTATTCTATTCTATTCTATTCTATTCTATTCTATTCCATTCCATTCCATTCCATTCCATTCCATTCCATTCTAATTAATTCCTATTCCTGTCTTGTCTTGTCCTATCCTATCCTATCCTATCCTATCCTATCCTATCCTATCCTATCCTATCCTATCCTATCCTATCCTACTCTATTCTACTCTACTCTACTCTACACCTTCCCCAGTTCTTAAAAGCTGCATATCCGGACACGTTACCTTCTTCGTATCGAGGCTGCAAAAGGCTTTTCGCTGGAAAGCAGTTGGTTGGGTAACACTGCCCATCATCCAGTTTATACAAGGCCGCCATCAGCTCTTCCTTCAGCGCTTAAGGCAAAGCAAAATGTTAATTAACACCTTCCCAGCTTTTGAAATCTCCCTCAATAAAAGTCCTGGAGGAAGGAGGTTCATCTGCATAATCTTGAGGCATAAAATGACTTCCTGGTTCCTAGAGAAATAAAACCACAAAAGTTGCTCGAAATGATGGTTCCCTATAAGCCGATTGAACCACAACGGAGGGCAACTGTCTCTGAACTCAGTTCGTTGGACTGTTTGGAGCGCAGGGTTAGTTTAGGGTTTAGTTATATCAGTGATGGCTAACCTTTTTGCCATCGCGTGCCAAAAACGGGGGGGAGCACGGTGGGGTCACACGCACGCGTGCCCACATCCATAATTCTATGCACTCCGCCCCCCCCCCGCCACTTTTGGCACGTGATGGCACGGTGGGCCTGGTTTTTCGCTCTCTCCAAGCTCCAGAGCCTTTCTAGGAGCCTGGGGAGGGCAAAAAAAGGTCACTCATGCCCTTGTCACCTCCCGCCTGGACTATTGCAACGCTCTCTACATGGGGCCTCCCCTTGAGGAGCACCCGGAGGCTCCAGCTGGTCCAGAACGCAGCCGCGCAGGTGGCTATGGGAGCGGCGTGGCGCTCCCATGTGACCCCCCCTCCTGCGCGAGCTGCACTGGCTCCCGGTGGTCTTCCGGGTGCGCTTCAAGGTTTTGGTTACCACCTTTAAAGCGCTCCATGGCTTAGGACCTGGTTATCTATGGGACCGCCTGCTGCCACCAGTAGCCTCCCACCGGCCGGTACGCTTCCATAGAGAGAGGCTCCTCCGGGTGCCGTCGGCCAAACAATGTCGACTGGCGGCCCCCAGGGGAAGAGCCTTCTCTGTGGGGGCACCTACGATCTGGAACGAGCTCCCCTCGGAGATACGGAGGATCCCGGATCTGCGCACCTTCCGCTGCCCTCTTAAGACCTTTTTATTCAACCAGGCGGGCCTGGCCTAATTTTCTCCCTCTTTTATAAAAGATTTTTAATTTTCAAATATCTTTTAGTATTTTATACATTCAATTTTAAATTGGTTTTAAAAGTTTGGGGTTTTAAATTTGTCGGGGCCAAAATTATTTAATTTGATTTTATTCTACTTTTAAATTTTGTATGGATGTGTTTTATTGTTTGGCTGTGCACCGCCCTGAGTCCTTCGGGAGAAAGGCTCTGGAGCTTGGGGAGAGGGAAAAACAGGTCTACCAGGCCCACCGTGCCATCACGTGCCAAAAGTGGCGGGGGGGCAGAGTGCATAGAATTATGGATGTGGGCACGCGTGCGTGTGACCCCACCGTGCTTCCCCCGTTTTTGGCACGCGATGGCAAAAATGTTAGCCATCACTGATATAACTAAACCCTAAACTAACCATGTGCTCCAAACAGTTCAACGAACTGAGTTCAGAGACAGTTGCCTCCTTTGTGCTTTAATCCGCTTGCGGGGAACCATCATTTCGAGCAACTTTTGTGGTTTTATTTCTCTAGGAACCAGAAAGCGGTATAGAAATAAAATAAAATGAATAAATAAAATAAAAATGGCCTTCCACACCCTCCCCAGAGGCCCTCCGGAGGCCGGAAACAGTGTGTTTTCTGACTTCTGGTGGGCCCAGAAGGCCCGAAAATCAGCTGGCCGGCGCACGCATGCATGCCGGAGCTGAGCTCACGTGCCCACCGATATGGCTCCATGTGCCATAGGTTCGCCATCATGGAGTTATATCATAGAAATCCTGAATATTGGCATAACTGAGTAAACGCTTCAGTTCACAGGTAGTCCTCGATTTGCAACCACAATGGAGCCCCAAACTTTTTGTTGCTAAACGAGACATTTGTTAAGTGAGTTTCGCCCCCCCCCATTTTACGACCTTTCTTGCCGCAGCTGTTAAGTGAGTCACAGGGTTGTTAAGGGAATCTGCCTTTCCCCCTTTGATTTTGCTAGTCTGAAGGTCGCCAAAGGGACTCAGGTGACCCCAGGAAGCTGCGACCGTCATAAAGATGAGTCAATTGCCAAGCATCTGAATTTTGATCACATGACCATGAGGGATGCTGCAATGGTCGTAAGTGTGAAAAATGGCTGTAAGTCACTTTTTTCAGCGCCCTTGTGTCTTCGCAGGGTGACTAAACGTATGGCTGTAAGTTCAGGACCATGCTGGCTGAGGGATTCTGGGACTTGGTGGCGCAGCAAACTAAAGCGCTGTTAAATAGCACCAGCTGCCTGCAATTACTGCGAGTTCAATTCTCACCAGGCTCAAGGTTGACTCAGCCTTCCATCCTTCCGAGGGAGGTAAAATGAGGACCCGGATTGTGGGGGCAATAAGCTGACTTTGTATAAAAAAGATCACCGCTTGGGGGGGCCCGAAAGCCCTACTAAGCAGGTATATACAAAAGCATGAAGGCTATTGCTTAACACATTGTAAGCCGCCCTGAGTCTCCGGAGAAGGGCGGCATATAAATTAAAGCAAACAAAAAAATGGGGGCAAAACTTATTTAACAAATGTCTCGCTTAACCACATGAATTTTGGGCTCCATTGTGAAAGGGTATATAGCGTTTCCTTCTTGAGCAGGGGGTTGGACTAGAAGACCTCCAAGGTCCCTCCCAACTCTGTTATTTGTCCCCCTTTGCAAAAAAATTTGCAATCCCTGTTTTTTTCCAGGGAAGACACCCCCCGATGTCACTGCTTAACAAAGCAGCCAGACCTCTGTGACATGGGCCAGAGGGACCCATCTCAGCAGGCCCTGCCAGGAGGAGACCACCACCTGCCCAGACCAGCAATGCGGGTGACACATGGCGATGTGAGGGTACAAATCAATGTGAACCGTTGCTCCAACGTCCCGCTCCAATGCCAGCCCCCCGAGACCTCGTCACCCCCCTCACGGAGCTTGCCACCCCTTTCACGGAGCTTCTCACCCCCCTCACGGAGCACAGCCAATGCCAGCTACAAAGTAAGCAGAGGGCCATGCGAGTTCTCAGGTGTGGGGGGGCTATCACGGTTCAAACCGCCCTGAGTCCTTCGGGAGAAGGGCGATATATAAATTTAAATATTATATTAAATTAAATTAAATTAAACCCTGGGCTTAGAAATCCCTAGATTTTAAACCACTCTTGTCTTATTACTTCTGCTTCAAATCCATCCAAGAAGCTAGAATGAGAGAGAAGAAGGGCCGGTTAGCGTTCCTTGAGGTCATCTAGTCCAGCCCCCAACCCCTCGGGGTAGGAATCCAAAGGAAACCATCTCAGGGTATCATTATCCCGTGTTCCACTTTCTGGGCTGCTACGAACAAACTCTTAAGTAGCTTCAAGCAGCATCCTTTCTCGTTGTTAAAAAAAAATGGGGGTGGGGAGGGCGCTACAGGTAATCCTTGACTTACGAACCACAATAGAAACCCAAAAAATTATGTTGCTAAGCAAGATAGTTATTAAGTGAGTTTGGCTCTGGGCACCACCTTTGGCACAATGTCATTTCGTAAACTCACACCTCGTTTTAAAAAAACAAGCAGTAAGCTGCTTTAAGATTCCCAAAACTTGACTGCACCGTCTGATGGCTTGTTTATTTTTATAATATGAGGTCAATCTTTATACCAATTTTATCTGCATTGTTTGTATATTAGCAAAATATATAAACAAAATTATGATAGTCGCAGTGTCTTGAGATCACGTGATTCCCCCCTTTTGCGACCTTCAGACAAGCAAAGTCAGCGGGGGAAGCCAGATTCACTTAACAACCCTGTTGCTAAATTAACAGCTGCAGCGGTTCACTTAACAACTTTGGAAAGAAAGGTCCCAAAATGGGGCAAAACTCACTTATCAACTGACTCGCTTAGCAACAGAAATTTGCTGGGGCTCAATTGTGATCCTAAGAGCCTGAGTGGCGCAGCAGACTAATGCAGACTAATGCTACTGTTAAAGGTAGTATTTAGCTTCCAGCTGCCTGCAATTACTGCGAGTTCAATTCTCACCAGGCTCAAGGTTGACTCAGCCTTCCATCCTTTCTAAGGTAGGTAAAATGAGGACCCGGTTTGTGGGGGCAATAAGCTGACTTTGGATAAATATACAAAAGGATGAAGGCTATTGCTTAACGCCTTGTAAGCCGCCCTGAGTCTCCGGAGAAGGGTGGCATATAAATAAATAAATAAAAAAGTTGAGGAATACCAGTAATCCTCCCAACAGCCTTGCAAGGTAGGCCAGGCTGCTCGATAAACACCGATCTAACAACCTTGCAGCCTGGGTTTGCAATAACACATCGTACGCGCTTGTTGAAGTAACCCCTTTTTCTGAGTTTATGCAATACACCGAACCCCAAAAAACAACAACACCCAAAAGCTAAAAGTTAACCCTGACCCAGATTTGCCCATTTGGGCCAATGTCTCTGCTGACATTGGCCTGACCAGGTTAAGAGGGTGTCTTGTGGAGGCAGCCACTGCCCTTCCCCTAAAGGGGAGAACCTCCAAGGTCTCCTGCAACCTGCAAATGCAACCGATTTTGGTCACCATACTACAAAAAAGATGTTGAGATTTTAGAAAGCAACTAAAGTTGCTCTCTTAGAGAAGGGCAACTAAGATGATCAAAGGCCTGGAGACTAAAACATGAAGAATGGCTGCAGGATTTGGGTCTGGCTAGTCTAAAGAAAAGAAGAATTAGGAGTGACATGATAGCAGTGCTCCAGTATTTGAGTGGCTGCCACAAAGAAGAGGAGGGGGTCAAGCTATTCTCTAAAGCACCGGAAGCAGGAGAAGAAACAATGGATGGAAACTAATCATGGAGAGAAGCAACCTGGAATTAAGGAGAAATTTCCTAACAGTGAGGACAATTAACCAGTGGAACAGCTTGCCACCCGAAGTTGCAGGTGCTACACCACCGGAGGTTTTTAAGAAGAGAATGGACTGCCACTTGTCTGAAATGTCTTGTCTGAGATACGGAGGATCCCGGATCTGCGCACCTTCCGTCACGCGCTTAGGACTTTTTTATTTCATCAAGCTGGCCTGGCCTAAATCTTCTCCCCCTTTTTAAATGTAAATTTTAATTTGTTTTAAATTATGGGGTATTTTAAATTCAGCCAAATTATTTAATTCGTTTTTAATTTATTTTAAATTTTTGTATTTATGTGTTTTATCTATGGCTGTTCACCGCCCTGAGTCCTTCGGGAGAAGGGCGGTATAGTATATATAAAATAATAAAATAAAATAAAATAAATAAATGGTATAGGATCCTGTGCTTGAGCAGGGGGTTGGACTAGAAGACCTCCAAGGTCCCTCCCAACTCATTTAGTCTAACAAAGAGAAGAACTAGAGATGACTTGAAAGCAGCCTTCCAATATTTGAGGGGCTCAAATTATTCTCCAAAGCACCAGGACAAGAACCAATGATTGGAAACTTAACCAAAGAGAGAAGCAACCTGGAATTAAGGGAGAAACTTAACAATGAGCCAGTGGAACTGCTTGCCACCAGAAGTTGTGGGGCGACTGGACAGTCACTTGTCTGGAACGGTATAGGTTTTCCTGCTTGGGCAGAGGGCTGGACTAGAAGACCTCCAAGGTCCCTTCCAGCTCATTCTATTCTATTCCCCCCCCCAGTATGTGATGGGCGAGGACTACATAAACCATAATCCACAGCCCCGGTTGTGGGGCCAGGCCAGCTGGGGGAAGCGATGGGGATTCTAATACCACGCTGGAAACAGCCCCAACTTGGTTGAATGAATGAAGGAATGGGAGAAAAAAAAAAGACATAATTAAAGCTTCTTATAAAGAGAGGGGGCGGGGGGGGTGAGCAAACCATAGAGCGTCGAGTCCTCCCGTGGCTAGAAAGCCTCCCGCGCTTTTTCTCTCCCCACCACCCCCGTGGAGGACGGGAGGACGGCGGCTCCGACTCCAGCTTCAGGCCCCGGGCTGGCGGGGCCTTTCCACGGTTTCTCTCCTTTCCGCCGTTCCAGAGAACCACGATTCCCTCACGATGCCCCCTGGTAGCCATGGCAACCCGCCCGCCGGGAAACTCCACTTCCCAGGGTGCTCCGCGCGCGCGGCTTCCTATAGGGCGGCGCTTCGCCTTCCCGGCGTGCTTTTCGCCGGCCTCTCCCCCGCTCAGCCAATCGGCGGCGAACAGGTCGCGAAGGGGGAAAGGAGGAGCCAAGATGGCGGCGAAAGGCGGCGGCGGCGGCGCGGGAGGCGGAGGTGGCGGCGCAAACAAGAACGGGATCCTGGACAAGGTAGCGGCCCTCGGCTGGGAGGCCCCTCGGCCTCCGGGGTTGTCGCGGGGCGAGAGAAGGGCCCCCCCTCGGGATGAGGCCTTCCCCCCTTCCCGCTTCGCCTCAGCAGCGTCTCCCCAACTCTGAGTAGGCCCGGCCTGGCTCTCCACGTCGCCCCGGGAGCTGAGGGAGCCGCTCTGCCTCAGGAGAGAGAGGGAGGCCGAGCCCCGCTGGGATAGATAACCCGGCGCCTGTCAGAAACGCGAGGACTACAACTCCCAGAATCCTCAGCCGCCCCGCCTGGGAGACGCAGATGTGTTGGGGGGAGAAAGAGCTGCTCGTCGTTGATTGGCCAGCTGGGAATTCCTGAAGAGTCCCGCATTCACACGTGTTGACCCCCTCTGGGATCAGTAACAAGAGTTGGAAGGGTCCTTGGAGGTCATCTAGTCCAACCCAGGCCCCTGCTCACGTAGGGAGCTTATACTAGGGATTCGAACTGCCGACCTTTCTTGATCGACAAGCTCAGCGTCTTAGCCACTGAGCCACCTAGGATCCTGCGCAGAGAGCCTAGTTCTTTCTTCCTTAAATTTAGGATTTTAACTCTCGTGTCTGTCTATCTATCTATCTATCTATCTATCTATCTATCTATCTATAACCTCTCTCCCTCTCTCTCTCTGTCTATCATCTATCTATCTCTATGGTTATCTGTCTATCTACTATCTATAGTTATCTCTATCTATCACCTCTCTCTCTCTCTGTGTCTATCTATCATCTATCTATATGGTTATCTGTCTATCTATCATCTATCTATCTATCTATGGTTATCTACTATCTATCTATATCTTCCTATGGTTACCTATCTATCTATCTATCACTTCTCTCTCTCTCTCTCTCTCTCTCTCTCTCTCTCTCTCTCTCTCTATCGTCTATCCATCTCTATCTATCTGGTTATCTATCTATCTACAATCTATCTGTGGTTATCTATCTACTATCTATCTATGGTTATTTATCTATCTACTATTTATCTATCTATCTATGGTTATCTATCTATCTATCTATTGAATTGTCCACATATTTTTTTTTATTTATTTATGTCTTTGTGGATGTTTTTATTTATATTGATATTTGTGCTGGTACGTACAGGGGGTCCTCGACTTGCGACAGTTTATTTAGCGACCGAAACGACAGCGACACAGACCAAAAGTGACCTGTGACCGTCGGTCTCACTTAACAGCTGTTGCAGCATCCCCCCCCCCCTTTTGGTTGCGTGATCCAGTCAGATGCTTGCTGTGTATTTTATGACATTTTGCAGTGTCCCAGGGGTCACGTCATGTGATCAAAATTTCGGGCGCTTGGCAACTGACTCGTCTTTATGACGGTTGCAGGTCACAGGATCTCCTTTTTGCGACCTTCTGACAAACAGGGAAGCCAGATTCACTTAATAACCATGTTACTAACTTAACAGCTGCAGGGAGAGCGTAGTTTTACCTTAAAATTAGTATTTTATCTCATGTTATATTGTGCACTGTTTTTATTTATTTATGTGTATGTATGTACCGGTATGTATGTGTATTGGTTGATGTTTTATTTACATCAACCAATACATTTATTTATTTACATTGATATTTGTGCTGGTACGTACAGTTCATTTAGTGACCAAAATGGTACAGTCAAAAGTTACGATTGTTTGTCCACATTAATGACTGTTGCAGCATCCCCACGATCATGTAATCAAATGCTTGGTAACACGTGTTATTTATGACATTTGCAGTGTCCCGGGTTCACGTCATGCGATCAAAATTCTGGCCCTTGGCAACTGACTTGTCTTTATGATGGTTGCACTGTTCTGGGGATCACGTGATCCCCTTTTGTGATCGTCTGACGAGCAAAATCAATGGGGAAGCCAGATTCTCTTAACAATCGTGTGACTAAATTGGCAAGTGCAGTGATCTGCTTAACAGCCGTGGCAGAAAAGGTCGTAAAATGGGGGGAGGGGGGGAATTCACTTAACAAGTGTCTCCCTTAGCAAGAGAAATTTGGGGCTCAAGTATGGCCGTAAATGGAGGAGTAGCTGTGTAATGTGTTTATTTATTAGTGTGGTATGTCAGTGACTGCATGACCGCTGTAGAGGCCATATGCTAAATAAAATAAAAATGACTCCACCAGACCAAGCTAGATTTGAACAGCGCCCTAACCACATACACACACCCTCAAAAATAGGTGGGGTGGGTTTTTGCTTAAGGTGAACTAATCCCTGCATCATATTGTGTAAATCTTGACCCACATTTGTTAACTTTGCTCTTGTGAACACAATAGTGACCATATCTTTGGAATGCTGGGCTGGCTTTTCAGAGGGTGATGTTTTAATCCTTTTTTTTTTCATACTACAGTTCCCAAGTATATAGGCATAGCGATAAGTCCTCAACTTACAACCATTCGTTGAGTGACCATTTGAAGTTAGAAGGTCACTGAAAAAAGTGACTTACGACTGTTTTTCACGCAACTATTGCAGGATCTCTACGGTCAGAGACACTTGGCAACTGGCTCATATTTATGACGGTCGCAGTGTCCCAGGGTCATACAATCTCCCTTTTGTGACTCTCTGACAAGCAAACTCAAAGTAACAACTATGTTGCTAATTTAACAACTATTGCAAGAAATGTTGTAAAATGGGGCAAAATTCACTAAATGAATGTCTCATTTGGCAACAAATTTTGGATCTGTTGTGGTCATAAATCGAAGACTACCTGTATTTAAAGGTCTGAAGTACTGTGTGGAATCCTTACTCTTTTGTTGTGCTTATTTATTCTTAAAGGGAATCAAGTCGTCCTCCCTGTTTTCCCCCGTCTCATTTCAATTTCACAGGCAGATTTCCTCACCCTGTGCAGCTTTCCTTAGATTGAAAACAAAAATAAAATCATTTTTCGCTTCTAGTCCTGTCCAGATGTCGGTGATTGGATCTTAAGAAACCGACTCTTTTTTTTTGTTTTGTTTTAATTCTTAGAGAAGGAAACCTTTTTATAGCAGCATTGACTTCACTGGTTTCTTTTCCTTGCTTCTGTGTTGAGAATAAAAACACAGGGTGTTGTCTGGATCTGAGCCTTTCAGCTCTTGCCTTAGAGGACATTCTGGTCCATAAGCAAGTTTACTGCCCGATTTGACTTTTTAAAAAAACGGTTAGAATTAAGTTGTCATCCCAGACCGTTGACAGTTGAGATTTTTTTAGATATGACTGTTGGGTTTCAGAAAGGATGACGTGTCTTTCTTTGAAGCTAGCAACAGGAAGTCAACTGGTAGGAGGAAGAGATGCCAAAATGAGAAGTGAGGTGAGGTTACAATTAGTTAGACATTAATAAGAATTAATTGATTGACTCCAGCAGGCTGTGTTCACATACAGGTTAGTGCTCGGCTTACGACCACAATTGAGCCTACAATTTCCCTCACTAAGCAAGGCGGTTCTTAAGTGAGCTTTGCCCCATTTTACAACTTTTCTTGCCACGGTTGTTAAGCGAATCACTGGCGTTCTTAAATTACTCGTGTGGTTGTTCAGTGAATCTGGCTTCCCTATCGTCTTTGCCAAGCAGAAGGTCGCGAAAATGGAGATCAGTGACTCTGGGACAAGATAACCGTCATAAATACGAGCCAGTTGCCCAGCGTCTGATCCCATGACCAGTGGGATGCTGCAACGGACATAAGCGTGAAAAACGGCCCAAGTCGCTTTTTTTCAAAACTGCTGTAGCTTTGAATGGTCGCTAAAAAAGAAGGGTCGAGGATTCCCCGTATCTAGTGGCACTCCAAAGTTAGAATGAAAGCATCCATGGTCCGACTTCTGCTTGATTTAGGCAGGTGCTATTATGGGGTTCAAGACCCTCGTGGCTTTTGCATGGGAAGATGCTAGAAATTTGGCATTTCAGGAAAATTGGAGTACGTTTAATATTAGCATTGGCACTAGATCCTCCATGCCAGGGGTCTCCAACCTTGGCAACTTTAAGACTTGTGAACTTCAACTCCCAGAATTCCTCAGCCACAAGTCTTAAAGTTGCCAAGGTTGGAGACCCCTGCTCCATGCTACGTAGCATATCTGACAGCAAAGGATAGTCAGCAATTTCAGTCCGGAGCGAATACTTCAGGGTCTTCCCATGTGATGCTTCGAGTCTTTAAGTCTTCCATGAACCATCTTTATTGTGTATTTTGAGGGTGTCTCCTTGGTTTGGCATCGGTGGGGGGGGTGATCCACCTCATTGTCGTACAGTTTTAATGAAGAGTTCGCCCAATAAGAGCTTTGGGTGAATAGTGGGTGAAATTATCATTGAAGAAATACATTTAATGCTTGAATTGGAATATATCTTATTATTTAGGATTAGAGAGATATATGCACTTTTCCTCCAGGGGTTCAACATAAGATACATAGCACCTTCCTTAACAAATACAGGTAGTCCTCAATTTACAACCACAGTTTATGTCGCTGAGCAAGACAGTTAAGTGAAATTTTGCCTCATTTTACAATCTTTCTTGCCACAGTTAAGTGATTCATACGGTTGTGAGTCTGGCTTCCCCATTCCCCAGTGGGGAAGCCGGATTGACTTAACAACCATGTTGCTAGCTTGCAGAGGTTCACTTAATAGCTGTGGCATGAAAGGTCGTAAAATGGGGCAAAATGTCTCACTTAACAGAAATGTTGGGCTCCATTGTGGTTGTAAGTCGAGGACCTTGCCTGCAGCAAGTAGCATGAATGAATTGCTTTGTTTGCACAACAGACTGGTGATTAATTTAAGAATAATGCACTCGTTAAATTTAATTTGGAGGATGCACAGTACATTCTGAATAATCACCTGGACAGGATTCTGGTGTTTGCTTACTTTGTGGTCAAGCTTGTCATTTGAAACATAAGTACAATATAATCGTTACTGCTAGGCCTTTACTGTATTAAGAAAGAAATATTATAAACATTCCATTCTCAGGTTATTTACATGAAATTCCTACTAAGCAATCTCCCTTTTCAGAACAAGCATTTGTCCTTTCATGTGCTTTTATTAAACAACAATAGTAGTGATAATGGTGGATATCTCTCAGCGTCATACTGACGCAAACAAATAAATTGTCAATTAATATTGCAGACAGCACCTGGCCAGGTGTAAGGGAGGGAATCTGGAACTTAGTATCAGGGACAAAATAAATTAATTTCATTTATTAAATTTGTTGTGGCCACCCACCCGCTTAGACAATACCCAAAGTGATTGAAACAGCTAAACACACAGGCCCAAAGTAAAATAACCGGAACAATAAACCTTGCAAACATGATGTGATCCTCAGATACATCAACAAACATGTTAAACTTAGGCCTGGAAACAGAGACAAGTCATATGCCTCTTTATAACCTCTGGACTTCAGCTCCCAGAATCCCTCAGCCAGCTGTCTCAGGGATTCTGGGAGTTGAAGTCCGTAGGTCCAAAGTTGCAGAGTTGCCCATCCCTGTGTTACGGGCTTTCTGGAACCCTACAAAAGTGAGCCCCATTACTTTCTCTCAGGCAGATGGCTGCCCCTAAGGATTCTTGAAAGAACGCCTTTCCTTTTTCTCAAAAAAAAAAATATTTTTTTTAAAAAAAAAAGACATTTGCATTGTTGCAAGCTTACATGTTTCATCGTTGTACTGATGGATATGCTTTGTACAAAAGCTAATTCTGGGTGCCTTCATGATTTTGTAATCACTAAGAAGACCCTGTGTGTTTTTTCACCAGCAGCAGTCATGTTGTTAAATCTGAATTTCACAACCAGATCCAGGGTAGTGCTTGTCAAGACAAACAGCAGTCTTCACACAACCTACCAAGAATAATTCAGTTGTTTTAATTTAATTTTGTGTGAATTCAACACGGGGCAGAAGTGAGAAAGCATTTGCCATCTCCTCCCCTTTTTTCCTCCCTAAATTTGTTTCTAATCCTCTGAATTGGTTTCTAAACTTTTTTTGCCTCACAGTGGAAAATCGACGACAAACCCGTGAAAGTGGACAAATGGGACGGGTCAGCAGTGAAGAATTCGCTGGATGACTCTGCCAAAAAGGTAAAAAAAAACAACCCTCCTCCCTTTTGGAATAGATGGACTCCTCCCCCCCCAGTTCCGATGTCTTTCCTATGAATTCCACCAGGCCTCCCATGCTTGTTTTCATGCTGGTCAGCTTGGAATAATATCTCTATGATTCTGTAATGTATGTGCGTTCCTCTGCATTGCTTAAGGACCCTCAAGCTGTTGATCTGCCTCCCTGACAGCCCCCCCATCACAACAAGCAAACCCTACTCCCTTCTAACACTGATAATGTTACCTAGTTGGGTCATGAAATGTCTGCAGGAAAACAACCAAGCTCCAAGAACACCTAAGGACCCCACAGTCCTCCCCCTCCTCTTTCTCCTCCTCTTTCTCCTATTCTTCCTCCACTCCACAAATCCCATTCCCTTATAGCACTGAAGATGTTACCTAGTTGGGTGATGAAACATTTGCCAAGCATAAACAAACAAGCCCAGAGAGCACCTAAGGACCTCATAGTCATCCTCTTTCTCCTCCTCCTCTCTGCACACCCCACTCCCTTCTACCACTGATGATGTTCCCCACTTGGGTCACGAAATGTCTGTAAGAAAACCACCCAGCTCAGAGAGCCCCAAGCCCCCCCCCCCCCCCACATTCCAACCCTGAGCCCCAAAGATTCTCCTCTTATCGGCGAACCCCTTCCTTCCCTTTGAGGGTCCATGCTCTGGGCTGACGTGAGCTCTCCTTTCCCAACCAGGTCCTTTTGGAAAAGTATAAATACGTAGAGAACTTCTGCTTGATTGACGGGCGCCTTATCATCTGCACCATCTCCTGCCTCTTCGCCATCGTGGCTTTAATATGGGATTACCTTCACCCCTTTCCGGAATCGAAGCCGGTGCTTGCCGTCTGCGTGGTGTCATATCCTTTTTCCCCTGCTTCCCGTCTCAAAAGAGAATTCCTCACTTTACAACGGTCGCTGGTTGCTTTGTTGGGCCACCAGGAAGCCCTGAGCTGAGTTTCCTGACTCTGCTTCGGAAACTTGCCAGGTTTAAGGAGAGCTGAGGTTAGCACTTGGCACTAGCGATAACCCCTTAGACTTATAGACCGCTTCACAGTGCTTTTACAGCCCTCTCCAAGCGGTTGACAGAGTCAGCCTCTTGCCCCCAACGATCTGGGTCCTCGTTTTACCCACCTCAGAAGGACAGAAGGCTGAGTCAACCTTGAGCCTGGTGAGATTCGAACTGCCAAATTGCAGGCAGTCAGCAGAAGGAGCCTGCAGTACTGCACTCTAACCACTGTGCCACCGAAGCTCATCAGGAAGCTGAGCTTCCCAAGTCTGATGCTTCTGCCCATTTTGAGTGGAAAGAAAGCTGGTTTATCTCATTTATCTCTTTATCCCGGAGTGTTCTCGTGGGCCGGAGTTGTACCTTCGGTCACTAAGCCAATGGTTGTAAGTCGAGAACTACCTGCATTCATTCTGACCACTACAGATGGATGGCCTCTGTTCCTTCAGATTTTCCATTTTGTTCTAACTGAACTTAATTTGGATTTATGCCCTGACCTAGCCACCCATCTTCTTAACCAACTCTGGACGGCTCCTAATCCAAAATTAAAACAACTCATCCAATCCTATTCAAACTATAAACAGATGAAACAAAGACTTGGCACCGAGTTACCCTTCCGAGGTGCCGTTCTCTAATTTTATGTCAGAGCTTGGGGCAAAAACCAGCTCTTCAAAGCTGCTCCAGGTGCATCGCATCTCTCTGATTTATGACTTCTCCTTTTCATGACGTTGCATATCAAGTTGGAACCCAACGTTTTGCCCGAGATAGAGAAACTAAAGGTGAATTCATCCAAGGGAATTTGGCTTCAGACTACGTCTCCTTGAAGCGAGGATGTGAAGTCATCTTTGGTTAAACCGTGGCACCAACCACTCCTTCAATGCATGGCCTCTGGTGCACCTGATCCCCCATTCAGAAGCATATATTTAGGTACCGGTAGTCCTTGACTGAACAACTGTTTGCTTAGTGACCGTTTGAAGTTACAACGGCACTGTAAAAAGGTCCTTGCAGTAGTAATCATTGGAGCATCCAGATGACAGACAGGCTAGGTAGGTGGGTGGGTGGGTGGAGGGAGGGATCAAAGGATTGATGGATGAATGGATGAGCGGATGGGTGAATGAATGGATGGATGGATGGATGGATGGATGGATGGATGGATGGATGGATGGAGGGCTGATGGGGTGGGTGGATGGAGAGATGGATGGACGAATGGATAGATGGGTAGATGGACGGATGGATGGATGGATGGATGGAAGGAAGGAACAGCTGCCTCTCGGAGGTTTGAGTGCTTCATCACTGGAGGTCTTCGAGAAAAGGTTGAACAGCCATTTGTCTGGGATGATATAAGGTCTCCTAGTTTGGACAGGGGTCGGACTAGAAGACCTCCAAGGTCCCTTAGGACCATTCTATGATTCTGGTCTCTTTCTTTAACCTGGCCCAACGTATTTCGTCATGATGGGAATTCTGACCATCTACACCTCATACAAGGAGAAGAGCATCTTCCTGGTAGCACACAGGAAAGACCCCACAGGGATGGACCCCGATGACATCTGGCAGCTTTCCTCCAGTCTGAAAAGGTAACCCCCCCCCCCAAACCCCTCCTCCCTCTCCCAGGACTCCCTAAAGTCTGCCTAGAAGGGAAAGGGTGACCCCAGCCATTGGCCCTCCCGCCATGCAGAGGGTTATGTTGAAGTCATCCTGCACGGATCCAGGCGTAAAATAATTTGGATTGCAAACTCAGCAAAAGTGCTCCACCTTTTCTCGACCCACGGCTGAGTGACCGGTGAGGAGTAGCTCTATCACCAAGAGGTCACAATTTAATTTAACTTAATTTAATCTTTTATTCTTTATTCTGTTGTTTTATTTGGTATTTATCTTGTTTTTGATTTTTATTTTATTTTGTATTTATTTTATTTGTTATTTTATTTTATATTTTATTTTATATTATTTTAATTTTAATTGTTAATTTTATAGTTTAATCATTTTTTATTTCACCTAATTTTATATTGTTTACTTTATTTTATATTTTGTATTTTTATTTTATATCATTCATTTTTTTATTTTACCTTAGTTACATTATTTTATATTTTGTATTTTTATTTTATTTTATATTTTATTCATTTTTAAATTTTACCTTATTTTATGCTATATTATTTTATGTTATTTTTTATGTTATTTTATATTTTATTCATTTTTTATTTCACTTTATTTTATGTTATTTTATATTATTTATTTTTATTTTATTTTATATTACATTGTTTTGTATTATATTGTTTCATGTTTTATGTTGCATTGTTTTATAATTTATATTTTGCTTCATTTCGTTGATTTTTGGAAAGCGCCCCCAGTGTTAACCAGCTGGACGGTTCCCCTTCTGACCCCCTCCTGTCTGTGTCCCTCCCCTTTTGGCAGGTTTGACGACAAATACAGCCTGAAGATGACATTCATCAGCGGCCGAAGCAAGCAGCAGAGAGAGGCGGAATTCACCCGATCCATCGCCAAATTCTTTGACGGCAATGGGACCTTAGTAATGGAGACCTTTGAACCGGAGGTCTCCAAGCTTCACGACAGCCTCATGACGGAAAAGAAGCTGAAATAGGCTGCCGGCCATCTTCCCGCTTAGATCATGCTGAGCTTTAAAAGTCAATAAAGCAATCAAAGCCAGAACGTACGGCAACCTTGGTTTTGTCCTGAAACCCTCCCTCCTTTCTCTCCCTCCCTCCCTCCCTCCGTCCATCCCTCTTTTGGGCAAAAGAGGATTTTAATGCAGGACCTGCGAAGCAGACTTTAGAGTCTAGATTTTGGGTTGGTTTTGCTTCCCTTTAGACCACGGATGTCCAGTCTTGACCACTTATAAGACTGGTGGACTTCAACTCCCAGAATTCCCCAGCCACAGGGAATTCTGGAAGTTGGAAGTCCCCCAGAGTCTTAAAAGTTTCCAAAGTCGACATCCCTGCTTTAAGATCAACATCCTTGGGTGCCATCTGAGCTTGGCGATATTCTTGCATTTTCTTTCATTTACCAAATGAAGTAACTTCACCTGTGTGCAGCATCCCCAACGCACTGATGTCGTTCCCTAGTTGGGTCGTGAAACGTCTGCAAGAAAATCGCCAAGTTCCAGAGAGCACCAAGGACCCCCACAGTGCAACCCTGAGCTACAAACATTTTAAGGCTTTGGGAACCTCGATTCGCAAAGCAATTTTGGAATGGGAAAAGTTGAGCCTATTTTATTTTTATTTTTATTTTGTTAAATTTTATTTTATTTTTAAATTCTGCGGGCATTGTCAAACAAAGGCTGAATCGGGATTTGATTTCGGCAGGGAATGACTGTTTAGTTAATTGTGATTGTGTTTTTCAATTATGTCTGTCGTTTAACCGATTTGTCAAGGTCCACTTTTCTTTTTTCTTTTGATTTATTTTGGCGGATTTGATTTTGGAGGTCTGAAGATACTGGTGCTCCTCGACTTACGACCGCAATTGAGCCCAAAATTTCTTGTTGCTAAGTGAGACATTTGTTAAGTGAGCTCTGTCCCATGTTACAATCTTTCTTGCACCCGTTGTTAAGTGAATTGTTGCAACTGTTAACCTCAAACGGTCAGTAAATGAACTGTTGTAAGTCGAGGACTGCCTGCAAAAGGAAAAAAAGTGATGATTTAAAACATATTTTCCATCTGCTGTGTCCCTTTTTTGGTGCATTTTATCCATGCAGTTAAAAAAAAAAAAGAGGTGGAAAACTCTCTTTTGTTCCTTGCATAAACTGCCGTTTTCTAAAAATAGTGGGGGTTTTTTCCCAATAAAAGACAAAAACTTAACATGACAATTGTGGAATTGTTCGTGAGTGTGATACACAGTGTTGTCATTTTTTTTGGGTAGATTGCAATTCTAATCATTTCCACATGCATCCACACAGGGCTGATCTGAGTCACTTGGTGAATATATAGGGATTTATAAGAAGTTTCATTCACAGCTTTGTTTTAAGCCCAAAGCTTTAATAAAAGCTATAAATTAATTATATAATCATAAATATTGTAAGAATTTTTTTTTTTTTTTTTAAAAGAGAGAGACACTTCAGTGTAGTAGTTAAGGCATCAGGTCAGAAACCGGGAAGCTATGAGTTCTAATCTCGTCTTGGGCACAAAGGCAGCTGGGTGATTGAGCCAGCCACTTTATCTCAGCCCTAGGAAGGAGGCAATGGCAAATACTTCTGAAAAAGGTGGTCAAGAAAACTCCAGTCTCTGAAAATCAGACACTATCAAATGGGAGGGTAAAAATTAGAAATAATATCAGGGAACAAATTACCGATTTGTAATAGAGGCGTGCATACGTTTCTTAAGATAATTGCAGTGCAAAAGTGGGTTATTTTTCACTCCTGCTAGAATACGTGTGTACTTTCTGTGTTTCAATATTTACAATACCGTCATGAAGAGAATTGCAAATGGGAACTTTTCTAAAGCTGTTTTTTTGGAACGCACCTTGGAATAAGCAATAAAAATACCTTGGTGTTTCTTTAAAACATTTATGGACTACAACTTGGTTATAAAATTGCCTGGGAGTTTGGGATCAGTAAAATAATAATAGTCTCCCTCATCAGATATGCTGTCTTTAAAGGATGCCAGAAGGGTGTGAAAAGACAAAGCAATATTAGTGTCACTTTTAAGTTAATAAAAAAAGAACACTAATCTTTTAATTCCCTGCAAAGGGATTGGCAGATGCGTCTCTAACCACTGTGTATTGTTGCTGGTGATGGGCGCATCCCTCCCCATCTGTCAGATGTTTGGGATTAACAGCACATTACTATATCTGCGGAGCTTCTCAAGTCATCCAGGTCATGGTTGTCCCAAAGGTGCTTTGTCAAAAAGCAACTGGACTTTGTTTTGTTTTTTTTTTCTTGAAGAGGTTTCGCTTCTCATCCAAGAAGGCTTCATTCAGTTCTGACTGAAGAAACTTCTTGGATGAGTCAGAACTGAATGAAGCTCCTTGGATGAGAAGCGAAACCTCTTCAAGAAAAAAAAAACCCAAAGTCCAGTTGCTTTTTGACAAAAGCACCTTTGGGACAACCATGAACCTGGATGACCAAGAAGCTCCATTAGACATTTCTCTCCAATCTCCAGATCTCTCGAAAATCTCCAGCGATGGAGCATCGTTGGTGGACCGCCTCGGATGCATTCGTTCCCTCTGTGAAGCTCATATCCCTTGTGTTTGCTTGTTTCAGACTTAGAACATTAGAATATCAGAGTTGGGAGGGACTTCAGAGGTCTTCTAGTCCAACCCCCTGCTCAAGCAGGAGACTGAATACTGTTTCAGACAGGTGGCTGTCCAGTTTCTGCTTAAGTTCCTCAAGTTAAGCTTCCTCGGCTCCTACCAGAGACTTTGTCCTCTGAACAGCCCAGGATTTGCCTCTGGACACTGGATTTGATTTTCAAATGGTTTGAAGCTGCAACGTCTGCTACTTAAAAGTAATAATAACCCCAGAAGTCTTGATCTTGTATTGATGTAAAGTTCCAGTGATAGAAAACTGGCTGCGAATCCCTTCCTCCCTTCCCCTTCCTTCCTTTCCTCCCTTTCACTTTCCCTCCTTCCTTCCCTTTTCTTTCTCCTTCCCCCGTTTCCTTCCTTCCTTCCTCTCTCCTTTTCCCTCATACACCTTCCTTCTCTTTCCCTTTCCCTTTTCCCTTTCTTGTTTTCTCCCTCCCTTTCCCTTTTCCTTACTCCTTCCTTCCTTTTCCCTTCTTCCTGTCCTTTTTCCCTCCTTCCTTTTTCCCTTTCTCTCCTTCCTTCCCTTTCTTTCTCCTTCCCCTTGTTTCCTTCCTTCCTCTCCTTTTCCCTCGTACACCTTCCTTTCTCTTTTCCCTTCCTTGTTTTCTCCCTCCCTTTCCCTTTTCCTCCTACTCCTTCCTTCCTTTTCCTTCTTCCTGTTTTTTCCCTCCCTCCTTTTTCCCTTTTCCTCCTTCCTTCCTTCCCTTTTCTTTCCCTTTCCCCTTCCTTGTTTCCTTCCTTCCTCACTCTCTCCACCTTTTCACTCCTACTCCTTCCTTCCTTTTTCCTTTTATTCTTTTTTTCTTGTTCCAGCCACTCCCTTTAGTGCACAGTTGAGTAAGATTTAATTTAATTAATTCAATTTATATGCCGTCCCTCTCCGAAGACTCCGAAGATCATAAGCCTTGTCCTGTTGGATGAGACCGCTGGTCCATTTCATGCAGCAGTCTGTCCCCCAGTTACCCCTAGGAAGCCCACCATCTTCCAGCAGATAGCCCTTGGAATCACACAGGTAGTCCTCAACCATAACTGAGCCCAAAATTTGGCCCCCATTTTATGACCCTTCTCGCCTCAGTTGTTATCACTACAGTTAATAAGTTGTATAAACTGGTCACTAAGTGAATCTGGCTTCCTCCATTGACTTTGCTTGTCACAAAAGGGGATCACATGACCCTGGGACACAGCAACGGTCTTAAGTATAAACCAATCGCCAAACATCTGAATTTTTACCACATGGTCATGTAGATGCTGCAAAGGTTGTAATTGATAACGGTTATACATTTTTCAATGCCGTAACTTTGAATGGTCACTAAACTGTCATTTTTAATCTTGTAAGTAGAGGGCGACTTGTATTGTCTGCATTCTCCCTCTCGCCATTCAGTTTTTCTCTCTCATCCATCATCTGTCTGTCTGTCTATCCAGTGGTGAAATCCAATTTTTTTTACTACCGGTCTGTGGGTGTGGCTTGGTGGGTGTGGCTTGGTGGGCATGGCAGGGGAAGGATACTGGAAAATCTCCATTCCTACCCCACTCTGGGGCTAGCTGGAGGTATTTGCCGGTTCTCTGAACTGCTCAAAATTTCTGCTACCAGTTCTCCAGAACCTGTCAGAACCTGCTGGATTTCACCCATCCATCCATCCATCCATCCATCCATCCATCCATCCATCATCTTCTTTCTATCTATCTATCTATCTATCTATCTATCTATCATCTATCTATCTATCATCTATCATCTATCATCTGTCTATCTATCATCTATCTATCTATCTATCATCTATCTATCTATCATCTATCTATCATCTATCTATCTATCTATCTATCTATCTATCTATCTATCTATCATTATCTATCATCTATCTGTCTATCTATCTATCTATCTATCTATCTATCTATCTATCTATCTATCTTCTATCTATCCTCACCCATCCTTGATTTATTTTTAAACTTCTCTTGGAACTCGGGGTGCTTCCCTCCAATTTGCCTCCATCCAAGCTGGGGATGGGCATGAAAAAAAGCAATCGACTCATTAGAATGGTATCTGTGGCTATTATTTAATACATGTTTTTCTTTCTGGAATCTCAGAGCAATTCAGGGCTGAGAAAGCCCCCAGGGGAAAGCGATGTTGTCTTTCAAGGTGGAAACAGCTAGGGGGAAAAAAAATCATCCAACAAATCACATGATCCCGATTCAGATCCGGTTCGGGGTTGGATCTTTCCCTGCCGATCCTTCCGTGGACTCCTCAATCGATTCTGCCACTGATCCCTACAAACGGAGAATCTGTCACTCAAAGCAACCAGGTAGAGAAAAGTGGACAAGGGGTACTAAGAGTGCATAATTAGACTTTAATTTCACCATTCAACAAAGGGATTCAGAGGTCAGTTACAGATTTGCAAATGGTTTTGTTCCTATCTTCAGGAACTGACCAAAGACCCAGAATCTGCCCTGGACTTCAAGCCCTAGCATCCCATTACGGCCCATTGCTCTGGACCTCCTTCCACTTAGTGACTCAAGTCATGGCAAAGATCTGCTAAATGAGCCACGGAGAAGCTTCCAGCTTTTGGGCCAGTATCTCCAAGTCTGAGGTTCTCCAGTCAGGACAGTTGGAAGATTCTCCTGCTGTTCTCCCATCCCCACGTGGAGAGGTGATGGGAGTCATAGACCGATGCACCAAGGTGGGATGATACCTTCAAAACTTTGGCAGTTTTCAGAAGCCTGGGCTTTTCAAAGAAAAGGAGAAGCTTGGGGGAGACGATCCTTGACGAAGGGATGGAGATACTCACAGTGCTTTCAAAAGCAGAATCCATGGGTTCTGGAGACACTTTCTGTCTGAGAAATCCTCCATATCTAATCCTGCAAAAGAGAGAAAGGTTGGTGGGACTTCCATCTAGCAGATCATGGAAGCCAAAGTTTTTGGGTCAGCGAAGATGTTAGGCTACAGAAGTGTATTCATTGGTGGTTTCACCTCCATCTCCTGAAGGACCATTGTCATCCTTTGGTGGGGGTGGGACCTCTTGGCCGCTTGAGAGGAATTCTCACGGAGAAGTTTCCTCAAGCTTCAAGACCAGCTCCATTCCTCCACGCTCTGTTATTTATGAGGGGGTCTTCGGTGCTCTCTGAGCTTGGTTGTCTTCTTGGAGACGTTTCATGACCCAACTAAGCAACAGTGCTAGAAGAGAATGGAGTACTAGTACTGCTACAGCACTAGTGATGTTAACCGAGTTAAGCTCAGAAAGACCCCAAGGACCCAACTATTAACACCAAGATCAACACTCGACCAACAATCAAGCAGCAAACAACACCCCAGTCAAGGAACTCAGCCAACTCAGACAAATAACCAAACAGTAAAGAAAATTCTAGTCAAGGAACCAGCAAGAAGATTCTCACCAACATTGATAAGACAAATGATTGTATATAAACAAAGAGCACTCTATTTATATACAGAAATTCCTGTATATAGTCCTCCCTTCTAGCACTGATGATGTTCCCTAGTTGGGTCGTGAAATGTCTGCAAGAAAACCACCAAGCTCAGAGAGCACCAAGGATCCCACAGTCCTCCTTTTCCTCCTCCTTGTCCTCTTCCTCGCAACCCCCCTCCCTCCTAGCACTGATGATGTTACATAGTTCGGTCATGAAATATCTGCAAGAAAACATCCAAGCCCAGAGGGTACCAAGGAACCAACAGTCATTTTCCTCCTCCTCCTCCTCCTCCTCCAACTCTACCCCCTTCTAGCACTGATGATATTCCCTAGTTGGGTCATGAAACGTCTGCAAGAAAATATCCAAGCTCAGAGAGCACCAAGACCCCCCAAGATCAACTCCTAGCTACAAATATTCTCTTCTATTGGTCTTCTTTATGCCATCCAGATTTCCAACCCCACTTCCCAGAACCTCCAGAACCTGTCAGAACCTGCTGGATTTCACCCCTGCTTTAATGGAATCTGCCCATCGTAAATTTTGACAATCGTAAGACGAGGTCGATTACTTCTCCAACCTGATTGCAGCGGTCATAAAGCGAATACGATTTTGCCCCAAATCAGAAGTCAATGTGTAAAATGAGGCTGAAAATGGTTGTAAATGAGACCCAAGTATCCAACTTGCAGCAACGGGACCACAAGGGGGGACCATGTGGGGGTGGGTCCCCATTGGAACTTTGGATCTCTCTGGTTGCAAAAACAGGTTGCGACTCACTTAACAGCCACCTTGCTTAGAAATCCTGATTCCAATTGTAATAAGTCGAGGACTACTTGCATTGTAGAGCTCTACATGCACTGTGGAGGTGAGTTTATACCTTCTACCCTTTGGCAGGAAAGTACATGGGATGGATGGATGGAGAGATGGATGGATGGATGGATGGATGGATGGAGAGATGGATGGATGGATGGATGGATGGATGGATGGATGGAGAGATAGATGGATGGATGGATGGATGGATGGATGGATGGATGAAGAGATGGATGGAGAGATGGATGGATGGATGGGTGGATGGATGGATGGATGGGTGGGTGGATAGGTGGGTGGATGGATGGATGGATGGATGGAGAGATGGATGGATGGATGGATGGATGGAGAGATGGATGGAGAGATAGGGGATGGATGGATGATGGATGGATGGATGGATGGAGAGATAGATGGATGGATGGATGGATGGATGGATGGAGAGATAGATGGATGGGTGGAGAGATGGGATGGATGGATGGAGAAATTGGATGGATGGATGGATGGATGGATGGAGAGATAGATGGATGGATGGAGAGATGGATGGATGAAGAGATGGATGGAGAGATGGATGGATGGATGGGTGGATGGATGGATGGATGGATGGGTGGGTGGATAGGTGGGTGGATGGATGGATGGATGGATGGAGAGATGGATGGATGGATGGATGGATGGATGGAGAGATGGATGGAGAGATAGGTGGATGGACAATGTCCCATCATTCATTGTTGATTCCTAGCAACCACATTTTCTCCATAGTGTTTAGTCCCTAACTTGGTCCTTCAGATTTTCCAAGAGCAACCCCATCACAACTGTGAATCCATCCACCTTGTTGATGGTGTTCTCTTCTCCTCCTTCCTTCCTTCCAATTTTCCTAACATTATGGACTTCTGGGTCTTCACATGGATTGATTATCTGCCATCAGGTCAGTTCTTTTTGACCACACAGATTCTGTCTAGGAGGATCTGTCCACAACCTGGTCCTTCACTTCTTCCAACCATTGCCCCTGTGACTTAATCCTTTGACCTTGATGTGGTCATTGTCTTCTCTTTCTTTCTACCCTCCCAGTATTATGGATCCCTCAAGAGGGCTGGGTCTTTGCATTGATTGATGGATTGATTATGTGTCTTCAAGTCAGTGTGGACTCTTAGGAACCATACAGATGTTCTCCAGCAGGATCTGCCCCCAACTTGGTCCTTCAGGTCTTCCAGAGGTTCCTCCTTCATCCCTGTAACTGGATCTAACCTCCATGCTACTGATTGTCCTATTTTTCACATTTGTATTGTGGATTGATTGATACATGGCATCAGGTTGGTGATGAATCTTGGTGACTATATAGACAAATTTTCTCCAGGAGGATCTATCCCCAACCTGGTCTTTCAGCTCTTCAAATGGTGCCCCCATCATAGCTGTAACTGAGACCTTCCCCTTTGTTGTTGGTCAATCTGTTCTCCTTCCTTCCAACTTTTCTAGCATTGTGGACTTCTCAAGGCAGCCGAGTCTTCACATGGATTGATTATCTGCCATCAGGTCAGTTCTTATTGACCACAAATTTTCTCCATGAAGATCTATCTTCAACCTGGTCCTTCAGGTCTTCCCTCACCAGTGGTATTGGAACCATCCATGTTCTGTTGGTCCTCCACTTCTTCTCTTCCTTCCAACTTTCCTAGACTTATGGACTTCTCAAGACGGTTGGGTCTTGATATCCTGTGTCCAAAGTAAGATAAATTGAACCTGGTCATTCATGCCTTGAGAGTGGTGCAATGGCCTAAAGGTGGAGCTCTCGCCTCACAATCAGTAGGCTGTGAGTTCAATCCTAGGTAAGGCAGATATTTCTCTCTCTGGGCACAATGAGAATATATCTGCTGAACAAAACTCCACATTGGTAACAGGAAAGGCAACTGGCCAGTAAAAACAGTGCTAGCTCCATTCAGTTGCCTGGACTCCATCCCACAAGGGATTATGGGATTGTTAAATGATGATGATGATAACTCATGCCTTGAGCTTCTGGATTGATTTCATCCATAATTCATTGATTTTCCTGGCTGTCCATGGTCTTCTCATGAGTCTCCTCCAACCCCAAAGACCAAAACCCTCCATCTTCTTCCTCTCCTGCTTCTTCAGAGTATCCCAGAGAAGACTGCACAGAATAGCTTGTCTTCTTCTGATCTTTGGTGGCATAGACGCCTTCGGATATCTGAGTATCTTCTCCAAGCATCTTGTTCAGGTCCTCGTCTGTAGCCAGCTTCTGCCCATCTCTTCGCTCTTCAGTTCTAACCCTGGTTGTCTACCATCTAAAACGGAAAACTGATTGTGTTTGGTTCTTTGCCTACCCTTCGATCAGCAGTTTGTGGGGTGGGACCATGTTCCTCCAGTCCTTCTGAAATGGATGAGGCAAGAAGAGATGCTCAGGCCTCCAAGTTGTGGCGCTTTTGAGACGGAAGAGAGAAAGAATTGGGAAAAACCCATTTTGTTCTCAATCCTGCTTCTTAGCAAAACCGCCACAATAACTTCCCCTTCTTCTCAACTCTGACCTCTTGAGACAAGGAAGAAGGTCTTGGGCCAGGATGGTCCGGTTTTGACCTAGGCTCCCTTAGCAATTACTGTCAAAACCTCTTTTATTTACACGACTATGAATTACGTTCATTCACAGTCAGCAAGGTTGGTCCAAACAGTTTTGCAAAGGAATCTTTCTCAACGCACTTTATCTCACTTGGCAAGCTGCCACGTAACTTGTTTCCAGCCACAGTACAAGGCCAAACTTGGCACAGAGTCTCCCAGAGTCACGGAATGAACAAATTGTTTCCTGCAAAAGCCCACTCCCCATTCGCCCCTCTTTTATTTCCAATGGGAAGGGCCAATCACCTGCAAGGTGTGGCTTTACTCCTGAGTTGACCCTGCTTCTGAATTGTTCTTGTCTTCTGGCAGCTCTGGGAATGGGCTCCAGCCTTTCCTCTGCCTCACTGCTGTTTAGCTCCCTCTCTGCCTCTGACGCAGAGCCCTCGTCCGAGCTTTCCTCCACCCCCCAGGACTGGCCCAAGTTCCTCCCCAATCTCCTCACTGTCCGACTCTGCTGCCAGCTCCACTGGCCACCAGCGGGACACAACAGGTCCTACTTACCACACTGGTAGGAACTTCTTCAGCATCGCGGTGAGGGCCAGGAGAAGCAAAGCCACCCCGATAATCGAACCGAGCATTAAGGTTTTCCTTGATTCTGGAAGAGAGCAACAAAACAGGTTGACCTTCTCATCTCTAAGGTGACCCTCAGGACCAAGTGACAGGTAGAAGCTCCATGAGAAGAAGGCTCCAGAGTTGGCCTCCTGGGTCAACCCCACGCTAGTCTCCTCTGGTATTTTGGATTTGAACTCCCCAAATTCTCAGCAACAGCCATTGCAGATATTCCTCATTTGTTTAGTGACCGTTCAAAGTTACAGCAGCACTGGGAAAAAAAAACTTATGTCCCTTTTTCAGACTTACGACTGTTGCAGCACCCCTGCGGTTATGTGATCAAAATTTGGACACTTGGCCACGGACTCACATTTATGACGGTCGTAGCGTCTCGGGGGGGGCACGTGATCCCCTTTTTCCACCTTCTGATGAGCAAGGTCAGTGGGGAAAGCCGGATTCACTTAACAACCAGGGGACTAACTTAACCATTGCAGTGATTCACTTAACAACTTTGGCAAGGAAGGTCGTCCAACGGGGCAGAATTAATGTCAGCCCTGGAAATCTTCAGGGCTGCCACAGCAAGGCCAGCTGTCACTGTGGGAACGTGAGGGAGGGACACACATGTCTCACTTAGCAACATAAATTTTGGGCTCAACTGTGGTCGTAAGTCGAGGACGACCTGTAACGTGTTCGAATCCACGAGCTTTCAGAAGCCCAACCTTGAGATGATGGTGGGGAAGCCAAGGAGGAGAAAAAGGACCAAAACCATAACAAGGGCTGGGGATTCTGGGGTTACTTACTCACGCGCTCAGGAGCTGGGCCACTGTCGATGCTTCCTCCGAACCCCCGGCCGCTGCAGTGAGGAGGGGCCCATCCGTAGCTGCAGTGACAATTCTTTTTGCTGTTGCAGACCTGGAATGCATCGAGTTCATGAGCAGCCAAGAACTGTGTTCCCTTTTCTTGGACAAGAATAATCGGATTGTGGAGCCCTCGGTGCTCTCTGATTTGGTGGTTTTCTTGCAGAGGTTTCATGACCCAACTAGGGACCATCTAGAAGGGAAGAGGGTTTGCAGAGAGGAAGAGGAGGACAACTGTGGGGTCCTTGGTGCTCTCTGAGCTTGGTGGTTTTCTTGCAGACATCTCATGACCCAACTGGGTAACACCATCAGTGCTAGAAGTGGATAGGGTTTGTGGACGAGGAGGAGAAGGAAGAGGAGGAGGAGGACTACAGGATTCTTGGTGCTCTCTGTCGAAGCGTGAATCAGCCTTGTTCCCCCCCTGGGGAAACTGTAATTAATTATGGTGAATGGATCTTGTTTTCCATGCTGTATACTTTCAAAGAAAGAAAACCCGAAGTATATATTCTAAGAAACATTTTATTATAAAAACAAACAAAACTAGGTAACTACATCTTTACCGGACAAAGGGAAAAGATCAGGAAGGTAGAAAAGAAAGAATGTAGACATGTGCAGTAGCTCAGTGTCTCACAAGACCGGTCTTATCTCAGTTGCTACAGGTAAATAAAGTTCTCTGGCAAGCTACCGTAAGTCTTAGGATGGAAGCTCAGCTGGCAAATAAATAACGCAGTGACACTCTCTATGCTTGGCTGCTTTTGGGAGACGTTTCGTTATCCAAGCAGGTAACATCATCAGTGCTGTAGTAATCCTGTACCTCCCTTCCTTTCTTGCCCTGATGAAGTTGCCTAGTTGGGTCACGAAAGGGGAGGTGAGCTAAAACTTCCCCCCTCCCCAAACTTTCTGGTCCCCCGATCTGTTCTTGGAAGGTCAGCTCCTTGTTACTTACCCCTTGGTTGTTACACTTGGAAAAATCACAGTCGTAGTTCAAAACTGTCTTGTCGACACATGACCAATTTATGCAGACCTAGAAAAAAAAGAAACAATGGACGGCTGAGGAATTCTGGGAGTTGAAGTCCACCAGTCTTAAAATGACCAGGGTATGTTGGAGTGACCCCTGGGATAGGACACGCAGGGACACTGGAGTGCCAGCCACTCTCTCCTCTCCTGGCAAAGACCAACTCCATTCCGGGCTCTCCCTCCGTGCTGTGTCCCCCTGCCCTCTTCCCACCCGGTCCCCTCTGACCTTGCTGGGGCCACAGGAAGTCCCATCTTTCGCCGTTCCGTCATCCTTCCCGTGGCCCTGCTGGTGAGAGATGACACTCCAGCACAGAACGTCATCGATAGGTGTCTGAAGGATGGAGAAGCCCAGAGGAATTCTGGGAACTTTATGGACGTTAGTGCACTGGAGCCTCCCGCAAGACACGTCTCTGAGAAGACAGAAAAGGAAGGCAAAAGAGCCTGGATTGGCTTCTGGTGGCTTTTAGGAGCAGCAAAAGTCCTGCCTCTGTAGTTGATTTTCAGGTTGGAAAGAAAGGAACCAGAGCAGGGGTGAAATCCAGCAGGTTCTGAAGAACTGGTAGCGGAAATTTTCAGTAGTTCGGAGAACCGGTAAATACCACCTCTGACTGGCCCCAGAGTGGGATGGGAACGGAGATTTTGCAATATCCTTCCCCCCAGGAGTGGGGAGGGAATGGGGATTTTGCAGTATCCTTCCCCTGCCACGCCCACCAAGCCACACCCACTAAGTGACATCACACCTACCAAGCCACGCCCACAGAACTGGTAGTAAAAAAAAATTGGATTTCAACACTGAACCAGAGGTCCTTCTGCAATTTCAAGGAGCCTAAAAAGAAAGTTCTCCCATCTCTAGCCAGAAATACGGAGGAGGGAGAGTACAGGAGATGGAGCTGACTTAGCAGCTGGAGAACCTAAATCTGTACTTTTCAATTTTGGCAGCTTTTAAGATGGGTGGACTTTGATTCGCACAATTCCCCAGGTAGCATGGGCGGACTTCAGCTCCCACAGTTCCCCAGCCACCATGGGTAGACTTCAACTCCCAGAATTCTCCAGCCAGCATTGGTGGACTTCATCTCCCAGAATTCCCCAGGCAGCATAACTGGACTTCAACTCCCACAATTCCCCAGCCACCATGGGTGGACTTCAACTTTTATAATTCCCCAGCCAGCATAGGTGGACTTCAGCTCCCACAATTCCCCAGCCAGCATAGGTGGACTTCACCTCCCAGAATTCCCCAACCAGCATGAATTGAATTCTGGGAGTTGAAGTCCACCCATTATAAAGTTGTCATGATTGAAAAAAGAATGCGGATTTAGGAGTTGTCAACAAAGAACACTCTTTTTATATTCTTATTTATGTATTTATCTATCTATCTATCTATCTATCTATCTATCTATCTATCTATTTATTTTATTTAAAAAGTTTTAACAGTCATTACAACAATTTTCCTCCCTCCCACCCCCCCTCCCCCCCGACACTCACCCCCCGGACTTCCCAGAGCAAAAACAGGGTATAGCATAACAAACATAAGCTAAAATAAGCTAACTTTCTGTGGTCTCCAAACTCCCCCTTGCTCTTTAACTCCCCTTTCAACTAACTAAACATATTCAAAAAGGAAATATAGATTTCATTCATAAGCTATCTGAAATTTTTTAGTCCGATATTTGTTTTGAATATAGTCCATTACAATATATATCTTTCATTTGAATGGTCCTTCAAATACGCTGAAATTTTAGCCATCTCTGCTAAATTCACTACTTTTAGTTGTTTTTTAAATGTAAGAGGAGACAGCCTACCTTCCTACTTTTCATTTTTCTAAATTTCAAGTATGGGAGAACTTAAAGAGAAACTCCTAGGGGAAAAAAAAAAGTCTTAAAGGAGAAAGGCCTTCCCAAAATGTTGTAAAGTCAGGCTATAGAATAGTGGACAAGGGGTACTAAGAGAGCATAATTAGACTTTAGTTTCAGAATTCAGTGTCAGAGTGGGGTACAAATTTACAGATGGTTCCTATCTCTGGATCCGCCCTATGATCCAGACTGACTGGGGAATCCTGGGAGTTGAAGTTCCACCCATCTTAAAGTTGCCATGGTTGAAAACACCTTCCTGAATCCATCAGTTTTACCAAGGTAGTTCTTATGGTTATAGAAGAAACAGTTTAAAGCAGGGGTCTCCAACCTTGGCAATTTTAAGCCTGACGGACTTCAACTCCCAGAAGCAGCCATCAGTTGGTGGCCAAGGTGTTTGACGGCGGTGTGGTGGATGACGAGGTGAGAAAAGCAGTAGGATGCGAGCGTGGAAAGAAACGAGGGGGTTGGACTAGATGACCTCCAGGGTGCCTTCCAAATCTTCTGTCATTCTGAATAAAGGAGAGAATGAAGGCTTAATTCAGATAGTCCTCTACTTACAACCACAACTGAGGTCAAAAATTCCATCGCTAAGGAAGATTAATAGGGGATCGTGCCTGGTTTTACAACCCTCCCTTTCCTTTTGCCGCCGTCGTTAAGCAAATCCATGCAGCTGTTAAGTGAATCATGTGGTCATTAAGCGAATCCAGCTTCCCCCATTGACTTGGCTTGTCAGAAGCTGGCCGTGAAATTCTGGGAGTTGAAGTCTGTCAGGTTTAAAGTTGCCAAGGTTGGAGACCCCTGACTTAGATGACCCTTCTGGCCTCTTCCAACTCTATCATTCATGGCTGGCTGGGGAATTCTGGGAGTTGAAGTCCGTCAGGCCAAGGTTGGAGAGCCCAGCTTTAAAGTGCATTTGGGCTGAACTGGGAGATTAGAATGAGATCAGCTCATCAAGTCCCAAAGCACCATCAGAATAACAGAACCACAGAGTTGGGACCTTGGAGGTCTTCTAGTCCAACCCCCTGCACAAGCAAGGAATCTTGTACCATTTCAGACAAATGGCCGTCCAGTCTCTCCTTGAAAACCTCCAGTGTTGGAGCACCCACGACTTCTGGAGGCAACTTCTGTCCCCCTGGTTAATTCTTCTAACCATCAAACCCTCTTTCGCCCTTCTGACGTGCCTTTCATGCAAGCAAGGAAATGCTAGCTGGGATAACTATCTCTTTCCCCCAGAAGTCAATGAATGATCTTACTTTTCTGGGCATTTTTTGTATCCGGATTTATCCGTGCCACAATTACCGGTTCGGTCTCCTTGCAAATTCACTTCCTTGTAGCAACTGAGTGGAGCAGGTTTGGCAGCTAAAGTTTGGGAGGTTGGGAAGGGGTGAGAGAGAAAACGAGAGAGGTCAAAAGCCAAGAGCAAGATGGAGATGGACCAGGGGTGAAATCCAGCAGGTTCTGTAGAACCGGTAGCGGAAATTGTGAGTAGTTCGGCGAACCGGTAAATGCCACCTCTGGCTGGCCCCAGAGTGAGGTGGGAATGGGGATTTTGCGGTATCCTTCCCCTGCCATGCCCACCAAGCCACGCCCACCACGCCACACCACGCCCACCAAGCCACGCCCACAGAACCGGTAGGGGAAAAAAATTGGATTTCACCACTGAGATGGACCCAGCATTTAGGCAAAGGTTCACTGAAGATTATTAGTCAAAAATAAATTTCTGCTCATTTGTAATCTTTATATAGATGATATAGATTTATTTATTTATTTATTTATCTTTAAGGATTTATCTATAAGCATTCTACACCTATAATATATCCATAATTTAAATATATCTATAAATACAGTATGTAGATTTAACACCGTTTTATAGATTTAAATACATAGAAATATATTTATATTTCTGGCTTAGAAACCAGAAGATGGTGAGTTCTAGTCCTGCGTAAGACATCAAAGCCAGCTGGGTGACTTTGAGCCAATCACCAGGAGGCAGTGAGTTCTAATCCCGCCTTAGATATGAAAGCCAATCGGGTGACTTTGAGCCAACCACCAGGAGGATGGGGAGTTCTAGTCCCGCCTTAGATATGAAAGCCAGTTGGGTGACTTTGAGCCAACCACCAGGAGATGGGGAGTTCTAGTTCTGCCTTAGATATGAAAGCCAATCGGGTGACTTTGAGCCAACCACCAGGAGATGGGGAGTTCTAGTCCCACCTTAGATATGAAAGCCAGTTGGGTGACTTTGAGCCAACCACCAGGAGATGGGGAGTTCTAGTCCTGCTTAGATATGAAAGCCAATCGGGTGACTTTGAGCCAACCACCAGGAGTCGGTGAGTTCTAGTCCCGCCTTAGATATGAAAGCCAGCTGGGTGGCTTTGGGACAAACACCAGGAGACAGTGAGTTCTAGCCCTGCATAAGGCATGAAAGCAGCTGGGTGACTTTGGGCCAATCACCAGGAGATGGGGAGTTCTAGTCCCACTTTAGGCATAAAAGCCAGCTGGGCAATCTTGGAGGATGAAAACAAGCCTTGAATGCCTCCAAGCCAGGGGTGGGCTGGCACTGCCCACATGAATGCCAAACAGATTTAGCAACCTTGGGGGGTCTGGAACCCCCTCCCCATCGACTGCATCTACATTTTGCTCTTCCATCAAGAAGACCCTCCTTGCCTTTGCCGAAGAACGTCTGGCAGTGCCGGTGGATGTCCAGGCAGGCCCCCGAATAGCAGGTGCTGTCGATGCCACAGGGCATCCCGTTTTGCTTGAAGACATCCGGGGGGCAGCTTTCCGAGGTCCCCAAACAATATTCGTCCAGATCGCAGTCGGAGACGGCTTCCCTGCACACCGTCCCTTCCTTCAGCAACTACGGCAAAGAGAGACCCAGAGCTCAAACAAGGCTCGTGCCAGGCTCCCAGGTGGTGGGAATTTAATAACAGAGTTGGAAGGGACCTTGTAGGTCATCTAGTCCAACCCCCCACCCAAGCAGGAGACCCTACACCATTTTTGACCAATGGCAGCCCAGTCTCTTCTCAAAAGCTTCCAGGGATGAAGCTCCCACAACTTCTGAAGGGCCTGGTGGCTCAGCAGACTAAAAGCACTGTGATTAACACCAGCTGCCTGCAATTACTGCAAGTTCGAATCTCACCAGGCTCAAGGTCGACTCAGCCTTCCATCCTTTCAAAGGTAGGTAAATTGAGGACCCGGTTTGTGGGGGCAATAAGCTGACTATTTATACAAATATACAAAAGGATGAAGGCTATTGCTTAACGCACTGTAAGCCACCCTGAGTCTCCAGAGAAGGGCGGCATATAAATCAAATTAAAAAAAAAAAAAAACTTCTGTTCCACGGGTTGATTGTTCTCACTGTCAGAACATTTCTCCTTGTTTGGAGGGCATTTGCCCCAAAATGGAGAGAATATCTTCATTCCCACAATGGACGAACGGTTGCAAAAGCTGATGGACTTAGCAGAGATGGCTAAATCGGCCGCTTTAATTAAAAAAAAAAGAAGAAGAAAAGAACGCAACTCACTTTGTTTCCACTTGGAAACCACTTCTGGACTTAGTGCTTGAGGTGGAGGGAAAAAACGAAATGTTGATTTTGGATTTTAGGAAGGTTTGTTGCTATAAAAATGGCTAGTATACCGGTAATCCTCAACTTACAAGACCGACATTTCCTCTGCTAAGCAAGACAGCGGTTAAGTGAGTTTTGCCCCATTTTACGACCTTTCGGTCCGCCGTTGTGAAGTGAATCGCTGCACTTCATTTGAACCTGGTTTCCCCCTTGATTTGGCTTGTCAGGGAAGTCGCCAAAGGGGATTGCGGGACTCCGGGACACTGCGACCGTCATAAATGTGAGTCGGTTGCCAAGGGTCTGAAGTTTGATCACATGACCGTGGGAGTAGGGACGGTTTGAACAGTCGTAAGTGTGAAAAATGGTCATAAGTCACTTTTTCCAGTGCCGTTGCAACTTTGGTCACTACGTGAATAGTCAGTCGTATGTTGAGGAATGCCTGTAACAGGGAGCTTGTCACACAAAGGCCACAACTGTCTACTTGGGTCACAGTGTGACGTCATGGCTGGCCGTTTGCTATTTTAACCTGGTTTGTTGCAAACTCAGATGCTTATAAGTTGACGGCGACGGAAAGCAGCGAAGGGTCAAAAGCGCTTTAGGCCCCCTGGAGCTGCTCTTGGTCTCAAAGTCCTGGGCCAGGACAGCCCCAAATAGCCCCCCCAAACAGACCTACCTTGCAGTCCTGACAACAAGGTCCCTGAAGACAGTTGGCACCGGGTATCAGTTGGCAATCGTCTTGACAGCAGCCGCTGGCTACACATGCCTGCCACAAAGAAGGAGGAGGGGGCAATTAACATTCTTGGGGATTTGGACCCCCCCCCCAACAGGCCTGGATACAGGACCCCACCGAACGCTCCCCGGTCCCCCAAAACTGCCCAAAAGTCAGAAAGGAAGTCAGAGAGATCCTTCTTTCCTCCTCCTTTGCAGGACCAACGGAATCTTGGTCCACCTTCTCCAAACCTGGAAGCCTCCAGAGATGCTGGTGACCAGATCGCAATGTCCCCAATTGGGTCTTGGTTGTGCTGGGGGTGGAATTTGGGTATTTGTGGACTAGAATCTCTGGATGGGACCAGGATTTTGGGAATCCTATGAACGTGGTCTTCGGGACAGAGAGCAGGATCTGATTTTTAAGCTGATCTTTCACAGATCTCTCAAAAGAGGCTGGTTGGCCGTCTGTCGGAAATCTACAGGGTGATGTTTCTCAACCTTGGCAACTTTGAGATGTGTGGAGTGGACTTCATCTCCCAGAATTCAACTCTTAAGATTCATGGACTTCAACTCCCAGAATTCAACTTTAAGATTCATGGACTTCAATTCCCAGATTCAACTCTAAGATTCGTGGACTTCAACTCCCAGAATTCAACTCTAAGATTCATGGACTTCAATTCCCAGAATTCAACTCTAAGATTCGTGGACTTCAACTCCCAGAATTCAACTCTAAGATTCATGGACTTCAATTCCCAGAATTCAACTCTAAGATTCGTGGACTTCAACTCCCAGAATTCAACTTTGAGATTCGTGGACTTCAACTTTCAGAATTCATCTCTAAGATTCGTGGACTTCAACTCCCAGAATTCAACTTTAAGATTCATGGACTTCAACTCCCAGAATTCAACTTTAAGATTCATGGACTTCAATTCCCAGATTCAACTCTAAGATTCGTGGACTTCAACTCCCAGAATTCAACTCTAAGATTCGTGGACTTCAACTCCCAGAATTCAACTCTAAGATTCGTGGACTTCAATTCCCAGAATTCAACTCTAAGATTCGTGGACTTCAACTCCCAGAATTCAACTCTAAGATTCATGGACTTCAATTCCCAGAATTCAACTCTAAGATTCGTGGACTTCAACTCCCAGAATTCAACTCTAAGATTCATGGACTTCAATTCCAGAATTCAACTCTAAGATTCGTGGACTTCAACTCCCAGAATTCAACTTTGAGATTCGTGGACTTCAACTTTCAGAATTCATCTCTAAGATTCGTGGACTTCAACTCCCAGAATTCAACTTTAAGATTCATGGACTTCAACTCCCAGAATTCAACTCTAAGATTCGTGGACTTCAACTCCCAGAATTCAACTTTAAGATTCATGGACTTCAACTCCCAGAATTCAAACTCTAAGATTCGTGGACTTCAATTCCCAGAATTCAACTCTAAGATTCGTGGACTTCAACTCCCAGAATTCAACTCTAAGATTCATGGACTTCAATTCCCAGAATTCAACTCTAAGATTCGTGGACTTCAACTCCCAGAATTCAACTCTAAGATTCATGGACTTCAATTCCCAGAATTCAACTCTAAGATTCGTGGACTTCAACTCCCAGAATTCAACTTTGAGATTCGTGGACTTCAACTTTCAGAATTCAACTCTAAGATTCGTGGACTTCAACTCCCAGAATTCAACTTTAAGATTCATGGACTTCAACTCCCAGAATTCAACTTTAAGATTCATGGACTTCAATTCCCAGATTCAACTCTAAGATTCGTGGACTTCAACTCCCAGAATTCAACTTTAAGATTCATGGACTTCAACTCCCAGAATTCAACTCTAAGATTCGTGGACTTCAACTCCCAGAATTCAACTTTGAGATGTGTGGACTGGCTAGGGAATTCTGGGAGTTGAAGTCCACATACCTTAAAATTACCCAGGTTGAGTAATTTTGGCTTAAAGAATAAGAGTCTGTGAAAAATAATGAGTATGGGAGTGAATGTGTCCAATTATCTTCCCCCAGGGTTGAGGAAGATGGTTAGAGGGCAAGAAAGTGTCCCCAAATGTATATTCGGGGGAATTCTGGGAGATGAAGTCTTCACATCTTAAGAGTTGCGAAGGCTGAGAAACACTGTCTATGCAGATTCTCAGTCATCCAGGTCGTGGTTGTCTCAATGGTGCTTTTTTAAGAAGCAACTGGACGTTCTGGTTTTTTCTTTGAAACGTTTCCCTTCTCATCCAAGGAGCTTCTTCAGCTCTGACTGGCATGACTTGGTCTTTATCTCTGGGACATCAACTCAGAGTCTGTCTCTGTCTCTGTCTCTCTTTCTTTCTCTCTCTCTCTCTGTGTCTCTGTCTCTTTCTCTTCTGTCTCTGTCTCTTTCTTTCTCTCTTTCCATCTTTCTCTCTCTCTCTCTCTTTCTCTCTCTCTCTTTCTCTCTCTTCTCTCTGTCTCTGTCTCTTTCTTTCTCTCTGTCTCTCTCTCTGTCTCTCTTTCTTTCTCTCTCTCTCTCTCTCTCCGTTTCTCTCTCTGTCTCTGTCTCTGTCTCTCTCTTTCTTTCTCTCTCTCTCTCTCTCTGTCTTTGTCTGTCTCTTCTTTCTCTCCCTCTCTCTCTCGTCTCTTCCCTCTGTCTTTGTCTCTCTCTCTTTCTTTGCTTCTCTCTGTCTCTCTCTCTCTGTCTCTTTCTTTCTCTCTCTCTCTCGTCTTTCTTTCTCTCTCTCTCTGTTTTTTCTCTCTCTCTCCATCTTTCTTCTTTCTCTCTTTCTTTCTCTCTCTCCCCCTCTCTCTCCCAACTCTCTGTCTCTCTCTCTGTCTCTGTCCCTGTCTCTCTCTTTTAGGAAAATGACTTGGTCTTTATCTCTGGACTTCAACTCCAGAGTTGCCGGATCGTGAGATGCGCAGCCTGTAAATTCAATTTTTAAAAATAATAATAATAATAATAAAATGAAAATGACACTTGGCCTGGATGCGGAAGCGCCCACCTCCTCCGTGCCGCAGTCGCACTGCTCCCCGTTTTCCACGAGGCCGTTGCCGCAAGTCTTTTTCTCGGTGACGACGTCCTTGGGCAAGTTCAGGAAGCAGTTTCGTCCTTGGTTTTGCAAGAAGGTGAAATAGGCCTCTTTGCTGCAGTTGCTCAGCCGATAGCGCTCTCTGCAACAGAGTCGATGAGAGTGTCCTTGACTTACGACCGTTCATTTAGTGACCATTCGGAGTTAGCAGAAAAAGAAAAGTCGGCGATTCACTTAACAACTGTGGCAAACAAAATGGGGCAAAACTCACTTAACAAAGGTCTCATTTTGCAACAGAAATGTTGGGCTGAATTGTGGTCGTTAAGTCGAGGACTGCCCGTACTAACTTAACAACTGCAGTGATTCGCTTAACAGCCGTGGCGATGTAGGTCGTAAAACGGGGCAAAACTCACTTAGCCACTGACTTGCTTGGCCCTGGGAAATTTGGGGGGCTACTCACGCGGTGGTTGAATGCATGAGGCAGCGGCCGGCTTGGCTGGTGGAGTTGCATTCACAGGGCCGTCCGTCGTTTCTCGGCAGGTCATCGTGGACGAAGCCGAAGGCGTGGCCCAGCTGGTGCGCGGCGGAGACCCCAACATCTGTGATGGACGGAGAAATCTGGGCACAGCAGGACAGGAAAAGGGACGGGAGAGGAGAGGCAGTTAACCAGACCCAAGTGGAATCCGAGAATCACCGGATCCTAGGGCTGGGAGGGACCTTGGAGGTCTTCTAGTCCAACCCCCTGTCAAGGCAGGAGAGCTTATTCCATCCTCCTGGTCAAATGGTTCTCCAATTATTTCTTGATAACCTCCAACGATGGAACACCAATAACTCTGGGAGAATTCCCTCCATCCCTCTATCCATCCAACCAACACAGCTACCCACGCCCTATCATCCTTTGATCTCTCTCTCTCTCTCTCATCTCTCTTTCTCTCTCTCTCTCTCTTTCACACCCTTTATCGTCTCTCTTTCTGCTTCTCTCTGTCTCTGTCTCTGTCTGTCTCTGTCATCTCTCCCTTTCTCTTTCTTTCTCTGTCATTTCTGTCTCTCTCTATCTCTCTCTTCTTTCTCTCTGTCTCTCTCTGTCATCTCTTTCTGTTTGTCTCTCACTCTGTTTCTCTCTCTCTTCCTTTCTCTCTCTCTCATCTCTCCCTTTCTCTTTCTCTGTCATCTCTGTCTCTCTCTCATCTCTCTCTTTGTTTCTGTCTCTCTTTCTCTCTGTCATCTCTCTTTCTCTTTCTCTCTCTGTCATCTCTTCCTGTTTCTCTCTTGATCTGTTTCTCTCTCTCTTCTTTTCTCTCTCTCTGTCATCTCTTTCTCTCTTTCTCTCTTCTTTCTCTCTTTCTTTCTCTGTCTGTCTTTCTCTCTCTGTGTCATCTCTTTCTGTCTCTCTCTCTCTGTCATCTCCCTGTCTCTCCCTCTGTCATCTCTCCGTTTCTCTTTCTCTTTCTCTGTCATTTCTCTCTCTCTTTCTCTCTCTTTCTCTCTCTCTTTTTCTTTCTCTCTCTCTCTTTCTCTCTCTCTCTGTCTCTCGCTCTCTTTCTCGCTGTCATCTCTTTCTCTCTCTCTGTCATCTGTTTCTGTCTCTCTTTCTCTGTTTCTCTCTCTCTTCCTTTCTCTTTCTCTCTGTTTCTGTCTCTCTCTCCTCTCTGTTTCTCTCTCTCTTCCTTTCTCTCTCTGTTTCTCTCTCTCTCTCTTCCTCTCTATCTCTGTCATCTCTCTCTCTCTCCCCCCCTCTCTTTCTCTCTGGGGAATTCTGGGAGTTGAAGTCTACACGTCTTAAAGTTGCCAAGTTTGGAGAGCCCTGATCTATAGCAACATGCCAGTTTCAGGGATCTGCCTGGCACGGTCTGAGCCCTCCAATTCCTGCCCCCCCCCCCAATGTGCCCCTTTTCTTACTCGGACCACAGAAACAGAGATCTGGTTCTGAAGACACTCGGGCAATTTCCACGTCCTTGCGAACACGTCGTCTTGAGCGACATTCCTGCGAGGGAGACAACGTCCAATTCGAATGAGAGGATCCAATGTTTCCTACTGTTTTTAGGTTATTCACTGGTTTTTATGGTCTTTACCTGTTTTTTGAAAATTTGAATACAGGTAGTCCTCGACTTACAACAGTTTATTTCAACTCACTGAAAAAAGTGACTTATGACCGTTTTTCACACTTACGACTGTTGCAGCATCCACACAGTGACGTGATCAAAATTCACAGGCTTGCCCAACTGACTAGCACAGGGGTTTGGGTCTTGCCTCCAAATGGAGCCCCACTTGGAGGCAAATCCTTGGCTCAGTCTACCCGGCAGGGTTGTTGTGCATTGTAAGAACCACATCTGGCTGGCGGATGGTGCAGTGTGTTCACTGCAAAATTGGGAAGATCTATGCCCTTCGGGTGCAGTTTCCACCTTTTTAGAACTTCTTTAATTGGTTTTTCTACATCTTGAAGAGGGTTGGACTAGATGACCTTTAGGGTTCCTTTCGATGCCATCTTTTTGGGATTGGCAGCGGGAGCAAAGCATGGGAAAGGTATTGCAAAACGATGTTGCCTGCATCCTTACCCCCATCCCTTGCAAAAAAGGAAATCTTCTATACCTCAATTGACGACAATTGAGCCCAAAATTTCAGTTACTAAGCCAGACAGTCGTTAAGTGAGTTTTGCCCCATTTTACGGCCTGCCTTGCCACAGTTGTTAAGTGAAACACTGCAGTCGTTAAGTTACACTTAACGGTTGTTAGGTGAATCTGTCTTCCCCATGAAACTTTGCTTGTCCGAAGGTCGCAAAAGGGGATCACGTGGCAGTGCGACCGTCATAACTACGAGTCAGTTTGCCAAGTGTCTGAATTTTGATCACGTGACCATGGGGTTGCTGCAATGCAATGGTTGTAAAGTGTGAAATACGTTCCTAAGTCGTATTTCAGTCTGGAAAAGTTGGTTCCTATTTTGGCCGTAAATCGAGGACTCCTTGCGCGTGGGAATGGTGACCCCATGATTGGGGGGGGGTCAGGCAAGGAAGAGAAGGACCCTGAATGTCTGCCTCTCCCGTAGCAAACCCCACATTCTCACGTGAATAACGTGGCGTGATCGAAATGGGTCTGGCCCTGAAGCTCGGAATTGGCGTAGCTGTGGAACGCTTGCGTGGTTTCCCCGAAGGATTTGCCGATGGGCAGGTGGTCCTTCCCGGCCCACACCTCCATCCCCGTCAGGACCACGTGGAGGCCGATGTCGTTGTACACCTGCCAGGGGGAAAGGAGGAGTCAGCGTTCTCTTACCTGTAAGAGGTGAGTCACTCTGGAGATGGACGGACGCCTGACGGCAAGGGTGGGGGGGGGGACCAGGGGCCATTTTAGGACTTGTGGACTCCAACTCCCAGAATTCCTGAGCGGCATGAGTGGCCTCCAGTTCCCAGAAAAGATCGTTTGTCTGGGATGTAATAAGGTCTCCTGCCTTCAGGCCCTGGGGGTTGGACTAGAAGACCTCCCAGGTCCCTCCCATTCTAGGATTCTATCAGACAGGTAGATAAGACACAGACAAAGACAGATTAAATAGAGAGATAGGTAGATAGATGGGTGAGTGGATGGATGGAAAGAGAGATATGGAGCTATAGATATAGATATATGTATAGATTAGATAGATAGATGACAGATAGATAGATTGTAGATAGATTGTAGATAGATAGATGATAGATAGATAGATAGATAGATAGATAGATAGATAGATAGATAGATATAGAGATAGGATAGATAGATAACATAGATAGATAGATAACACAGATAGATAGATTAGATAGATAGATAGATAGATAGATAGATAGATAGATTAGATAGATAGATAGATAGATTAGATAGATAGATAGATAGATAGATAGATAGACAGATAGATAGATAATTGATAGCTAGATAGCTAGATAGCTAGATAGGATAGCTAGATAATTGATAGAGATAGATAGATAGATAGATAGATAGATAGATAGATAGATAGATAATTGATAGAGATGGAGATAGATAGATAGATAGATGATAGATAGATAGATAGATAGATAGATAGATAGATAGATAGACAGATAGATAGATAGATGATAGATAGGATAGATAATTGAGAGCTAGATAGATAGGATAGATAGATAATTGATAAGAGATAGATAGATAGATAGATAGATAGATAGGATAGGATAGATAGATAATTGATAACTAGATAGATAGGATAGATAGATAATTGATAGAGATAGATAGATAGATAGATAGATAGATAGATAGATAGATAGAAATAGAGATAGATAGATGATAGATAAATAGATAGATAGATAGATAGATAGATAGATAGATAGATAGATAGATAGATGATAGATAGACAGACAGACAGACAGATAGATAGATAGAGATAGATGATAGATAGATATGGATGGACGGACGGATGGACGGAAGATTGCCCTTGGAATTCTGGGTTCTCAGTTGCTGGAGTCTCTCAAGAAAATACCAGACAGCCATTTGTCCAAGATAGCGTAAGCCTAAGGTCTCCTGCCTTGGGCCCCTGGGGGTTGGACTAGAAGACCCCCGAGGTCCCTTCCAGTCCTTGGATTCTCGGATTTACTCACATTGTGAACGACGGAGACAATCTGAAGCACCATCAGCATCAGCTGAGTGACATTCTGGTTGGCCCACTGGAACTGAGGAAGGAGGAGAGGAGAACCTTCTCAGCAGTCATGTGCGAACGCCCACCATGCCAGGTTCCTTCTGCGGGGCTTCCGAGGCCCCCAGGGATGGTGGCTCTGCTCCAGACCGGCCCCTTCCTGCTCCTTCCCTCACCCCCAGTCTCTGCTTTCAGATCTCCCTCACTGACCCATTCGGAGGAGATTAAGGCCATGCAGCCGCTTCTGGAGAGGCTAACCGGGAACTAACCTGGTTAACCTATGGTGGTTACTTACCACAGAATGGTCACACACAGCAAAGTATTCTAGATATCGTGATGACACGTTCTTTCCAGGAAAGCGTAGCTGAAAGAAAAGTAGAGACCTCGGGTGGGAAGGAAAGGTCAAGTTACCAGGACAATTACCAGGAGATGGTGAGTTCTAGTCCTGCCTCAGGCATGAAGGCAACTGGGTGACTTTGGGCCAATCACTAGGAGACAGGGAGTTCTAGTCCTTGTTTTAGATACCAAATCTGGTTGGGTTGGGTGACTTTGGGTCAATCACTAGGAGACAGGGAGTTCTAGTCCCTGCTTTAGACACCATATCTGGCTGGGTGACTTTGGGCCAATCACTAGGAGACAGGGAGTTCTAGTCCCTTCGTTAGACACCAAATCTGGCTGGGTGACTTTGGGCCAATCGCTAGGAGATAGGGAGTTCTAGTCCCTGCTTTAGACACCAAATCTGACTGGGTGACTTTGGGTCAATCACTAGGAGACCGGGAGTTCTAGTCCCTGCCTTAGATACCAAATCTGACTGGGTGACTTTGGGCCAATCACTAGGAGACAGGGAGTTCTAGTCCCTGCTTTAGACACCAAAGCTAACTGGGTGACTTTGGGCCAATCACTAGGAGACAGGGAGTTCTAGTCCCTTCCTTAGACACCAAAGCTGACTGGATGACTTTGGGCCAATCAGCAGGAGACGGCAAGTTCGAGCCCCGCCTTTGCCAGCTGTGTGAGTTTGGGCCAGTCCTTCCCTCTCAGCCCAGCCTACCTCACAGAGTTGTTGTTGTGGAGGTCAGGAAAATAGGAGGAGGGGGGGAGGAAAGTATAACATTCATCACCTTAAATTATTTATGTAAAAAAAACCCCAAATCAGTTGAATCCCACGCATCTTAAAAACTGCCAAGGTTGAGAACCCGGGGCTCGGCTCCCGAAGGGGAAGGGGAAAGGCTTACGATGGCGTCCTTGGCCTCTGGGGTGTTGACCATGGGAGGGACCCTCGGGCCCATCACTTCCCCCACCGTCCCTCGGCAGGGGGTGTGCGACTCCGGAGCCTGGCGATAGAGGAGGTGCCTGAACCCGGTGAAATTTTCGATGGGCTGGATGGCGTACATCAGGTTCCCAATCTGGATGTGTCCCCTGAGCATTTTAGAAGGAGAGGGAGAGTTCAGAAAGAGAGTCCCCCCCCCCGCGATAGAGGTCTTCAAGAAAAGATCCTCGACTTACGACCATTCGTTTAGTGACCGTTCGAAATTCGAGCGGCACTGAAGAAGGGGACTGACGACCGATATCTGCATTCACGACCGTTGCACGTCAACTTTTGGACGTTGGCCAACTGGCCCGTATTTATGACGGTCGCAACGTTCTGGGGGGGGTTCACGCAAGCCCCTTTTGCGTCCTTCAGACAAGCAAAGTCAATGGGGAAGCCGGATTGCCTTAACCAGCGCAGTGATTCGCTTAACGACTGTGGCAAGAACGGTCGTAAAATGGGGCAAAAATAAACTGCCTTAGCAAGAGAAATGGAGCCTCGGTGGTGCAGCGGACTAAAGTGCTGTGAAGTGCTAGCACTTAGCTGCCAGCTGCCTGTGATTACTGGGAGTTCGAATCTCACCAGGCTCAAGGTTGACTCAGCCTTCCATCCTTTCGAGGTCGGTAAATTGAGGACCCGGATTGTGGGGGCAATAAGCCGACTTTGTATAGAACAACACCGCTTGGCGGGGGGGCGAAAGCCCTACTAAGCAGGTATAAACATAAAAGTATGCAGGCTATTGCTATAAGGCATTGTAAGCCGCCCTGAGTCTATGGAGAAGGGCGGCATATAAAGTGGACTAAAAAATAAATAAATAAATAAAAGAGGGAAGGAAGAAGGGAGAGAAGAAGGAGTGGGGAAGAAGGAAGGAAGCAAAGAAGGAAGCAAGGAAGCAAGGAAACAGGAAGGAAGGAAGGAAGGAAGGAAAGAAAGAAAGAAAGAAAGAAAGAGAAAGAAAGAAAGAAAGAAAGAAAGAAGGGAGGGAGGAAGGAAAGAGGGAAAGAAGGAAGGAAGCAAGCAAAGGAAGGAAGGAAGGAAGCTGTCAGGGTTCTGATGGATGCCTTAATTAAATCATGAGTCTTGAGCCAAGCTCAAGGAAACAGAGGAAGGAAGGAAAGGAAGGGAGGGAGGGAGGAAGTAAGCAAGCAAGCAAGCAAAGAAGGAAGGAAGGAAGGAAATAGAGGAAGGAAGGAAGGAAGGAAGGAATGGAAGGAAGGAAGGGAGGGAGGGAGGGAGGGATGGAGGAAGCAAGCAAGCAAGCAAAGAAGGAAGGAAGGAAATAGAGGAAGGAAGGAAGGGAAGGAAGGAGAGAGGGCGGGAGGGAGGGAGGAAAGAAGGAGGGAAGGAAGGGAAAGGGAAAGGAAGGGAAGTTCTTGTCTTCTGGTGCTTTGGAACATAAACTGACCCCTCTTCTTTGGGGCAGCCCCTCAAATACTGGGATATTAAATATTTTAAGGACTAAAACACTTTTAATTTTCTTCTGCAGCTGATTTCATGGTCTGGTCTCCTTCGTGGGTTGATACCAGGGAGTTTAAAAGGACAAGAAAATGTCCGCTTTCCAAGGCTGGGTGAAGGTATCTCAGGTGGGACCCCTCGCTTAGCCTCCGCGAATTTCACTTCTTCTCCAAATTGATCCGGCTTGCAACTTTCCAGGCTGAGGCAGCCTCGGCATTCAAGACCCACCTGTCTCTCCCTCCCTCCCTCCCTCCCTCCCACCCTCTCGATCAGGTCCATCTTTGCAGAAGCCCGGCCCCACAACCGAGCCGTTACCAAAGACCGTTGCAGGTGGAGATGACCACGTCCGAACTGGGCAGGTCCTCCACGTATCCACTGTAATAGCAGTCCACCTGCAACGAGAGAAGGGGAAAAGGACAGAGAAAGGCTGCTCCAGATGTGATTAGGGGGCATTTGGGGTGAGGCACAGAGGGGCAAGAGAGTTTATAAGGCCTTGGTAAGGCCACACCTGGAATCCGGCATCCAGTTTTGGTCGCCACGATGTAAAAAAGATGCTGAGACTCTAGAAAGAGTGCAGAGAAGAGCAACAAAGAGGATGAGGGGACTGGAGGCTAAAACATACGAAGAACGGTTGGAGGATTTGGGTACAGGGGAGACATGATAGCAGTCTTCCAATATCTCAGGGGCTGCCCCAAAGAAGAGGGAGTCAACCTTTTCCCCAAAGCCCCTGAAGGCAAGACAAGAAGCAACGGATGGAAACTAACCAAGGAGAGAAGCAACCTGGAACTTAAGGAGGAATTTCCTGGCAGAGCAATTAACCAGTGGAACCGCTTGCCACCAGAATTTGTGGGTGCTCCAACACTGGAGGTTTTTAAGAAGAGATTGGACAGCCATTTGTCTGGAAGGATAGTGAGTTTCCTGCTAGAGCAGAGGGTTGGACTAGAAGACCTCCAAGGTCCCTTCAAACTCTGTGATTCTTCATTCTCTGGGTCAGAAGGGACCCTCCTGAGTTTTGGGGAAAATGAAATTAAAGGAGGTGTGTGGACTGCTTTCAGACTTGCAAAACTGTTCTTTTTTTATTTATAATATATAGATATAGAGAGATGATAGCGAGCTAGCAGAGAGAGAGAGAGAGAGAGAAAGAGAGATAGATAGAGATGATAGATAGATAGATAGATAGATAGATAGATAGATGGATGGATGGATGGATGGATGGATGGATGGATGGATGGATGGATGGATGCATGGATGCATGCATGGATGGATGGATGGATGGATGGATGGATGCATGGATGGATGGATGGATGGATGGATGGATAGTAGGTAGACAGACAGCATAGCTAGATAGATAGATGGATGGATGGATGGATGGATGAACGGATGGATGGATAATAGGTATGTAGACAGACAGCATTGATAGATAGATAGATGGATGAATGGATGGATAGATAGTAGATAGTAGGATAGTAGACAGACAGCATAGAGAGATAGAGAGATAGATAGATAGATAGATAGACAGACAGACAGATAGATAGATAGATAGATAGATAGATAGATAGATAGATAGATAGATAGATAGATAGATGGGTGGTGGGTGGTGGGTGGTGGTGGGGTAGATGGATGGATGGACGGATGGACAGATGGGCAGATAGTAGGTATGTAGACAGACAGCATAGGTAGGTAGGTAGATAGAGAGATATGGAGGGATGGACAGGTAGATGATTGATAGATGATGATCATAGACAGAGACAGAGAGGGGGAGGGGAGGGGGAGGGGGAGGGGGAGAGAAGCCCACATTTTATAACGGGGTGACTTACTCTTGGTTTTGGATGCTGGACAGTTTTCACTCCTTTTAAATCCAGAGAGTAAATAGGCATATTCTGAACGACAAAGGACCTGCATAGGAAAAGATAGAACCGGGAAGGGATTTGCTCTTGGACTCAGCAACCGAATGCAGATGTGGGCTCCTCTTTGGCAGCGCAGTTGGCATGAAGAGGCAGCCCGTCCTCCCCCTCAACGCCCGGGGAAAGCTGGCAGTAACCACTTACTTCTGATAAAGGCGGAGGATCCTGTGAACGCCTTCGATTTTCATCAGGTAGGATATTTCTTTCTGGAACGTACAAAGAAACATGTATATTCAAACCCTTGCCATTCTGTATCAATGGGTGTCCCACCCCCCATGACCCCCACCCCCCGGTGGTGGACGTTCACCGAAGGCTCGCAATATGAGCCCCAAAGACTGTGGGGTCCTTGGTGGTCTCTGAGCCTGGTGGTTTTCTTGGAGACGTTTCATGACCCAGCTAAGGAACATCATCAGTGCTAGAAGGGTGGGGGGTTTGTGGAAAGGAGGAGGAGGAGGAGGAGGAGGAGGAGGAAGAGGAGGAGGAGGAGGAAGGAGGAGGAGGAAGAAGAGGAGGAAGAGAACTGCGAAGTCCTTGGTAGTCTCTGAGTTTGTTTGTTTTCTTGGAGACGTTTCATGACCCAGCTAGGGAACATCATCAGTGCTAGAAGGGTGGGGGGTTTGTGGAAAGGAGGAGGAGGAGGAGGAAGAGGAGGAGGAAGAGAACTGTGAAGTCCTTGGCGGTCTCTGAGTTTGGTTGTTTTCTTGCAGATATTTCTCTTTATTTATTTATTTTTATTTATTTATTTATGTAATTTATATGCCGCCCTTCTCCCGAAGGACTCAGGGCGGCTTACAAAGAAAACATTCAACAATTCGAAAATTACATTTAAAAAATTAAAATCCAATTAAAATTTATTAAAATGATTTCAGTGTAAAAATCCCCCAACGGATCAGCCCATTTGATTAAAAGAGCCACGTCTTCAGTTCACGGCGGAAGGAGAGGAGGTCGGGGGCCGTCCTAAGCCCGGTGGGCAAACCGTTCCAGAGCGTCCCACAGAGAACGCTCTCCCCCTGGGGGCCGCTGGGGTAAAATTATCAATGCGAGGGAGACTTGGGGGGGGTGTTTTGCTCTCTATTTATACAAAATTGCTTGACCTGTCAGTGTTGGTATAGGTGGGGTTTTCTTCTTGGCAGACTGCTGGATTGTTTGTCTGGAGTTAATCCCTGCTTATCTGGGTCTAGACTGCAGAGCAAGCCACTCTTATAAACAGGGAGCAAACCCAACCCTCACTTGCACTGATGATGTTATCCAATTGGGTCATGAAAGGTCTGCAAGGAAACTACCCAGCTCAGAGAGCTCCAAGGACCCCACCGTCCTCCTCCTCCTCCTCCTCTCCTTCCCTTTCTCCTGCACTCTTTTACTAACTCTGCAAACCCTCATCCCTTCCAGCACTGATGATGTTCTCTAGTTGGGTCATGAAATGTCTTCAAGGAAACCACCCAGCTCAGAGAGCTCCAAGGACCCCACAGTCGTCATCCTCTCCTCCTCCTCCTCCTCCTCCTCTCCTTCCCTTTCTACTCTGCAAAATCCACTCCCTTCCAGCACTGATGATGTTCCCTAGTTGGGTCATAGAAATGTCTTCAAGGAAACAACCCAGCTCAGAGAGCTCCAAGGACCCCACCGTCCTCCTCCTCCACCTCCTCCTCCTCCTCCTCTCCTTCCCTTTCTCCTGCACTCTTTTACTAACTCTGCAAACCCTCATCCCTTCCAGCACTGATGATGTTCTCTAGTTGGGTCATGAAATGTCTTCAAGGAAACCACCCAGCTCAGAGAGCACCAAGGACCCCACAGTTCAACCCTTGCTGGCTGGGGAATTTTGGGACATGAAGTCCACACCTCTTAAAGGTAGTCTCAGAGGGAGAAACACTGGTTCAAAGGAACCTCTTTCTCCATGCCAATCCTGGTTTTGTCATGGTTGCCATCCACTATCAGCTCACAACCCATTTGCTAGCCATCCTCAAAGGGACTTGATATCTTCAACTACAGTTCCCATCAGCCCCAGCCTTTGGGAGGAGCATCAATGGGTCTGTGAGCAGAGGCACTCCAGTGTACGTTATCTCAATGGATGTGGGGTGGGGAAAGCCCCTCTTAAACCCTCAAGGAATTTCCTTACTAGCCAGAGTCAGGCAGCCATTCAAATGGTGAAGCTCCATCTGGATTACCTTACTGAAGGCACCAATGGGCTGCTCCAGCAACGTGGGTACAGTCACTTCTGAATAAAGGTAGCTGGGATCTTCCATCGATCCTAGGAAGAAAGGGACAAAAATGACCTAGTCCCAAGTTAACATGGCAGAGGGGTGGGATGGATAGCCTCGGGAGGACCTCAGCCCAGTCACCAGCTCACATCCACTAACTGCCATTTTTCAGGGTTGGGGGTAAACTGTCTCTCTGCCTCTTCTTGAGTCCGGCAAAAGAATAAACTGGAATGACACACGCGGATGGAAAAACTTGGCTCTGCCTTTAATGACAGATTGGACAAACATTTGTCTGAGATGGTGTAAGGATTTCTGCTTGGTCAGGGGGTTGGACTCAATGACCTCTGAGGTCCCTTCCAGCCCTAGGATTCTATGAGATAGATAAATTATGATAGATTAGATTAGATTAGATTAGATTAGATTAGATTAGATTAGATTAGGATAGGATAGGATAGAATAGAATAGAATAGAATAGAATAGAATAGAATAGAATAGAATAGAATAGAACAGAACAGGGTAGGTAGGTAGGTAGATGATAGATGATAGATAGAGGATAGATATAGATATAATAGATTAAAAGATGATAGATACAGATAGATAGATAGATAGAGAGAGAGAGAGGATTGATAGGTGATGGATGGATAGATGATAAAAGATAGATAGATAGACAGATAGATAGATAGATGATAGATAGATAGATAGATAGATAGATAGATAGATAGATAGATAGATAGATGATTGATAGGTGATGGATGGATAGATAGATGATAGATGATAGAAGGTAGATGATAGATAGATAGATGATTGATAGGTGATGGATGGATGGATAGATGATAAATAGATACTACAGATATAATATTAAAATATGACAGATAATAGATAATATATAGCTAATATATATGATAGATTAGAAGGTAGAAGATAAATGACAGAAAATGATACATAAATAATACATATACGATAGATGATAGAAAATTGATTAGAAGATGCATGATAGATGGACAGACAGACAGCTGAGACAGCCTGCCTCCTGTAGATATTTGGGGATCTAGAAGTCCAGGATTAGTTACGAAGACTATGCAAAGGGTAAAGCCGAAGCGGATTTGCTTCCTCTGGTGCTGGGAAGGCACTCTGCAGATGCTCAGAGGCCTCTCGCTCGGTTTATTCCATCCGATCCTACAAGCCAGCGGCACCAACTTGGGGTTTGGAGCTGGGCATTAGGGACCACGGAGCCTCCAGGGATGGGCAGAACTACAACTCCCAATATCCCTCAACTTGAGCCTGGCTGCCTGGCTTCTGGGAGTTGTAGTTCAGTTGCTCCTTGCCACCCCCCCCAAGTATTTCTACTCACCCAGTCTGAAGAGGACCCAAAGCAGCAGCAGCCAAGCGCCCGACATTCTTCGCTTTCAGGGCCGAAAAGAAGGGAGACAGACCCCCAAGGGTGCCCCCTCCCTCAATTCCTTCCAGTAGGTGCCCCCATTGTTCAGAGCATTAACTGTCACCCAATTCTACTTCTCAGCAGCCCTTCAAGCTCAAGGTCCCGCCTGATTGGCTCCCTCCGGCTTAAGTCCCACCCCCCGTAGCTCTGTCACAATGTGCTTCACAATTCCAGCTGCTGAGCACACCAGCTGTCAATCAGCTATCAGAACCCACCCCTTTTCTCAGCCAGGTGGGAGCTCCTCCCCTTTCTGGGCCACAATTGTCTGGGAGTTTCAGGCTCCGCCCCTCCAACGCCCCATTGGCTGCTGCTGGTGCCTGTTCTGTTTGTGACATCTTCAACAGGTGGCAAGGGAAGGACCGAAGGTCTCAACCAAGGCCAAAACTGACCTTCATGGTGGACACTTGAATGAACTTTAAGGTGGTCTACAAACCTTCATTCATGGACATAATGAATGGAAACTAGACTACTGTTGCTTCATGGCAAGCCCTTGACCTTGGTGGTCGAAGCTAGAATAATAGAGTCGGAGGGGACCTTGGGAGGTCTTCTAGTCCATCACCACTGCACTCAAGCAGGAGACCCTAGAGTCCATTTCAGACAAAAGGCTCTCCACTCTCTTCTTAGAAACCTCCAGTGTTCCTGGTGCCCACTCTGTGGATTTTGCAGGTGTCCACAAGATGATGTCCAAGAAGCCAAGATGTTGGTTACCAAGATATCTCAAGGCACATGAATCACACCTTGGTACCAACCATCTTGACATGTGGACCACACGCCTTGTGGACCTCCCTGTCGGCCTTTGTGTTGGGAAGGTCTCTCCGGAGAACCCCATCTTCATTTGGTTTTGGGTCTAGGGCACTCACCCTCCAGGACCCCAGGTAGATGGACTAGCAAGAGGCCCAACACCAGAGCAGAAGCTGCGTCCTTCTGATGGGACCCCATCCTTCTCCTCCGGCAGCCTCTTCTCCCAACAGCCAAGCAACCAACTGGCCATGGACGTTCCCAGTCTTCTCACAGATGGCCTTGAGTGGTGGTCCCATGCCATCAAGGCTCTGGGTTCTCTAGACTGCCATGAGTTGGTCCAAGCCTTGTTTGAAGCCAACCAAGTGGATGGCCAGCTCCAGAGCTCATGATAGGAATTCCAATGTTGGATTAAGAGTTGTGTGCAAAAAATTCTCCTTTTGTCCTGATTCTTCTGGTAGTCAATTTTCCTCCCTTCCCTCCCTCCTTCTTCCTTCCCTTCCTTCCTCCCTCTTTCCCTTCTTCCTCCTCCTCTCCCTTCTTCCCTCCCTCCCTTCTTTCCCTCCTTCCTCCTTCTTTCCCTCCTTCCTTCTTCTCTCCCCACCTTCTCTTCTTCCTATCTTCCCTCCCTTCCTTTCCCCCATCCCTCTTTTCTTCCTTCCTTCTCTCTTCCCTCCCTTCCCTCCCTCCCTCTTTCCTTCTTCCTCCTCCTCTCCCCCTCCCTCCTCTCCCTTCTTCCCTCCCTCCCTTCTTTCCCTTCTTCCCTCCCCACCTCTTCTTCCTATCTTCCCTCCCTCCCTTCCTTTCCCCCTCCCTCTTTTCTTCCTTCCTTCTCTCTTCCCTCCCCCCTCATTCTCTCTTCCCTCCCCTTCCCTCCCTCCCTCCTCTCCCCTTCTTCCCTCCCTCCCTTCTTTCCCTTCCTTCTTCCCTTCCCACCTCTTCTTCCTATCTTCCCTCCCTCCCTTCCTTTCCCCCTCCCTCTTTTCTTCCTTCCTTCTCTCTTCCCTCCCCCCTCATTCTCTCTTCCCTCCCCTTCCCTCCCTCCCTCCTCTCCCTTCTTCCCTCCCTCCCTTCTTTCCCTTCTTCCCTTCCCACCTCTTCTTCCTATCTTCCCTCCCTCCCTTCCTTTCCCCCTCCCTCTTTTCTTCCTTCTCTTTTCCATCCCTTCCCTTCCCCCTCATTCTCTCTTCCCTCCCCTTCCTTCCTTCCTTCCTCCTTCCTTCCCTCCCTCCTTCCCTCCTGGCCTCCTTTGCCCTGCCTTCCCTCATCATGAGCTCTGCCCTTCTCATCCAGTGGTCTGTTCTCCCAGTGGCCCACCAATTGCCCAAGGAAGCCCACCATCTCACAGTAGACGGCTTTCACTGCCATCAAGGCTCATGGTAGATCTGGGACTTATCTAAAGGGTTCGCATTGGTCTGACTGGAGATCTGGAGAAGGAGGCTGTGTCCGTTCTTCTCCTTTTAGACCTCTTGGTGATGTCCTTCTGGAATGCATGCAGGACTTGGAGGTCTACCCTGTAGAGCAGTGTTTCTCAACCTTGGAAGCTTGAAGATGGGTGGACTTCAACTCCCAGAATCCCCCAGCCAGCATTGCTGGCTGGGGGATTCTGGGAGTTGAAGTCCACCCATCTTCAAGCTTCCAAGGTTGAGAAACACTGCTGTAGAAGTTCTGCTCTTTGATAAGATGGTGGTGATGGAGAAAGAGGAGAGGCTGGTCCAGTGGGGGCTCCTTTGTGAGATGCCTTGAGGTCTGGGGCAGGGGTGAAATCTAAAATTTGTTACTACTGCTTCTGTGGGCGTGGCTTGGTGGGGGGGTAATGTGACTGGGTGGGCATGGCCAACTTTTTTTTTTTAAAAACTTTTAAAAGCATTTTTTCTACAAACTTAAGAGGTTGCCGGAAAAAAAAATGCTTTTAGAAGCTTCTGACGATCAGGCAAGTCAGCTGGGATCACCAGAGGCTTTTAAAGGCATTTTTTTCCCCCTACAGCCTCTTCAGCTCATAGGAGCAGAAAAAAATGCTTTGAAAAGCCTCTGCCGATCCCAGCTGAGCCGCGCGATCATCAGAGGCTTTTTTTTAAAAAAAACTTTTAAAAGCATTTTTTCGGCCCGAAGAGGTTGTAGAAAAAATGCTTTTAAAAGTAAAAAAAAAAAAAACAGCCTCTGATGATCGCGTGGCTCAGCTGGGCATGGGGGAGGGGGGTGCAGGGATTTTTGCTACCGGTTCTCCGAACCATCCTCCGCCATTGCTACCGGATCGGGCGAACCGGTCCGAACTGGGAGCATTTCACTCCTGGTCTGGGGCTGTTCTCACTCATGCCCAAGTGTGGGGAACCACACAATGGGTTCAAATTATAGGAAGGTAAACCCAGGTAAACTTTACTGACCCTTCATCGTAATAAGAACCACTTGACTGTGAAACCAGTTGACTGGCCAGAGAGACGACGGACTTCTCATCATTGGATTTAAGGGGTTGGACAATGACCTTCTGAGGAGGCTTCGATTTGGACTCCTCGGTGAGAGTAAAAAGGTGGAGCTGATGGCCTCAGGGATCCATCTAACCTGAGAACGGAACAGAATAAAAAATTGGAAGGGACCTTGGAGGTCTTCTAGTCCAGCCCCCTGCTCAGGCTGGAAACCCTATCATTCCAGACAAACGGTTGTCCAATCTCTTCTTTAAAAGCTTCCAGTGATGGAGCACCCACAAGTAGTTCCTCTCATTAATTGTTCTCCCTGCCAGGAAATTTCTCCTTATTTCTAGGTTGCGTCTCTAACCTCCTAACCTCTGATCTTCATAGACATATTTCGGAGTTCTGCTACTTGTCCAGGGTTGGGTGTATCGTCTGTAGGACATCTAGCTTTTGAAGCATGGGTGCCTATCTGGGCCCCGCAGGTTAAGAAGGCCTCAGAGAAATGGGAACAGCTTCAGAAATGAGCTTTGAAGATGATCAAGGAATTACAGACCAAAATTTAATGATACAGATGAAGGAGCTGGCCATGTTCAGCCTGAGAAGAGAAGGCCAGTCTTCAAATAATGGATAGGAGGCCATGGAGAAGAAAGCCAAAATCTTCCTTTTTTTTGCATTTCAGGACATGGAATGAGGGATTTAAGTTACAGGAAGATGCCTTCTGAGGCAGCGCTTGGAAAAAATTCAGAGCTTAAATCCCTCCTCGGAGGTATAGCATCTATTCATCCCCACTAAACCGCATATTTTAAAATCATGGTTTGTTGATAAAGTTGGAACAACTAGCTCCCCGTAGAGCAATGATGTCCTGAAATATTAGTCTGGTGTTTTAAAACACAGTATTGAGGATTTAGAAGCAGCAGAGAAGAACTTGACGCACTGGGTGAATCCCAGACAATGGTGGCTTATTCAACAAACTATGGTTAAATGAATACTAACGATCACAGAGAACCAGGAGTATGGTAGTCTTGGCTACAGTGACTATATCAATAGTTCTGATAAACGGGGTGAGAATTTTGTATTTTTTTTTTTGTATTGCTGGCTGGGGAATTCTGGGAGTTGAGGTCCACAAGTGTTCAAACTACATTAGATGTGGGCTTAATGCTTTCATTCATGAGGCAACAGCACCACCAAGTGGCCAATATAGTTCTTGCAGCACGAAGTCGTCTGCTTTCCGTGGATAGCACGTTTCTTCCATTCTTATGATCCCCTTCTTCAAGCTGGTCCCCCCAACTCCAGACCTACCTGGACCACAACTCCCAGAATCCTCTAGCCAGGTTGCTCCAGGAAATCTACAAAGGTTTTCCCCACCTCAAATAGTAACAGAGATGGAAGGGACCTTGGAGATCATTTAGTCCAACCCCCTGCTCACGCAGGAGACCAATACTAGGGATTCGAACCGCTGAACTTTCTGATCAACAAGCTCAGTGCAGGGGTGAAATCCAGCAGGTTCTGACAGGTACCGGAGAACCGGTAGTGGAAATTTTGAGCAGTTCGGAGAACCGGCAAATACCACCTCTGGCTGGCCCCACAGTGGGGAGTGAATGGGGATTTTGCAATATCCTTCCCCACGAGTGGGAGGGAATGGGGATTTTGCAGTATCCTTCCCCTGCCATGCCCACCAAGCCACGCCCACAGAACCGGTAGCAAAAAAAATTGGATTTCATCACTGGCTCAGCGTCTTAGCCACTGAGCCACCTAGTCAGGATCACTTCAGGATAAAACCTGAAGACTAAACACTTCAGGATAAAATGAGCCTGAGTGGCGCAGCAGACTAATGCTACTGTTAAAAGGTAGTATTTAGCTTCCAGCTGCCTGCAATTACTGCGAGTTCAAATCTCACCAATCTCAC